TCAACTGCAAAAGGCGAATGCAATTTTTGTGTAAACAACGCCATAAATTCCAATGGAACTAAACAACAAAACGTTTGGCATTGGCAGACAAGGCCGAAGCCAAAGGCGCGGGGGGAAAAAGGAAAAGCGCGGGCGGAAAAGCGGGGGGGAGGGAGGCGAAGGGCATGGGGAAAAGCGGAAAAGCAGGACGGGCTTCAATAGCCCAAGAAAGAGCTGGAAATTATCATGAAAATGCTGCTTCGGTTATTCGCTTATTCTTTGTTGAAGTCGAGTTTGGTTGAGCGCTGCAAATTTACACGCAATTACTGCGAATGAATGCACCGCGAAAGGAAATGCCCACTGGAGTATTTTATTTAACAAAATTTAAGCTGGCAAAGAAATGCTAAGAAGAAACCATTGTCAACTCAGGTTTGTCAGATTTCAGGTCAGATTTTAAGGGGATTTCCCCTAACAATTGGATTGCAAGCTTGTTAGTAAACAGATTACATTCATTATTATTATGAATGAATTACGAACGATAGGTAGCTAAAGTCTAACAATATATTTTTCCAAGTGTTGTGTTCTTCTTTGTTTACAATTTGTTGGCCAACTCATTAGGGAATTTGCCTACAGCCGAATTTCAGCCACACACACTGTCTGTGTGCGCTCACTTATTCATTAATTTTGTCCTCGCAGAAATGCAAGGAACAAAAGGATCCGGGAGTAAACTAATCAGAAGCTCATGGCACATTTGGAAAACCCCAAATGTGTGTGTGTGTGTGTGTGTGTGTGTGGGTCAGTGTTGAAATAGACCAAATAGACCAGTAGAATAGACCAAACCAAACCAATCCAAACCAAACTGAACCAAACTAAACCAAGCCAGAACAGAACGGAGCAGAAATAATTATTTAGAGGTCGGAAACAGCATCTGAAAGTGGGGAAAGTGGATGTGCGAAAAACAAAAGGGGGAGGGAAGGGGAGGAAAATACAGGAAAGTACAGGAAAATTGCATTTGGTCGGCAGCCAAAAGCACTGTGCTTTAATTAGAAGTCGAGGTCAGTCAGTCCAGAGACTCCGATTTCCATTCCCATTTCCCACTTCCCATTTCCCATTAGCCATTACTGTTTTGAATTTCGAAGCCGTATGGTACAAAGTATTCGAAATGAAGTCAAACCATTCGAATGGAAATTTAATTGCCCCTGGCTTTATCAATTAACAGCTAAGCGTAAATGGCCAAAGACCAAGCAAGTTTAGTTAAATATATTTTAGAGCACAAAACACGACTGTCACAATGCAAACGAATTTATTTACATGCTGTACAATTGCCTGCACTATGAAAAATATTTTTAAGCTCCAATGATAACTTCATATCACAAATAAACTGGCTGTGGTGAAGCAATTTGCGAAAAAGCAAGTTGTTCTTCTCTCCCGGAAAAAGGGGAGAGAGTTGTTGGCCAGTGTAGACAGAGCCATGAACACTTGTTTATGTGTGTTCATTTTTGTGTGTGTGTGTGCTTTTGACAATAAACACATTTGCAAGTGCGACGTTTGCGGGGCGAAAAACACGCAAAGCAATCATAAAATGTGCTTTTTTGGCTACCTTAATGTGATTGTCATGCACACAAAGTGACACACACACACACACACCGGCAGTCGATTAACACCAGCACACTGGCAAACGGCCGACACACACACACATGTTTGGGCAATATAAAGCATACGCCGCGTATGACAGGAAAAGTCGAGCCCAACAAAAGCGGTCGCCGCAAAGGTCCGTTTAACTTAACGTTTCCCACGCGAGCCACAACCTATGGTACATACAAATGTGTGAGTGAGCCACACACACACACACACACCGGCCAAATCGCACACCCACACAGTGTCGCATAAAAGTCTCACACCTTGCCAAATGAATAAGCAAGTGTACACTTTTGAAAAAAATCAACCGAAAATTTGGAAGTTCACCTGACAGTTCGATGTTTTCAATGAAAAAATGTTTGCAGGCATTCTAAAAAATATTCGTGAAGAGAAGTAAAGCATTTTGATAGGAAAATTTACATAGCTTTCAGAAGAAAGAAATACCTCAAGAATACAAATCCCTTACTGAATAATATTTTTGTCCACGAAGTTCCACGAAATTTGTTGACAAGTGTAGCAGGAATTTAGCATCCCCATCAGGAATCCCGAAGCCATGTGCTGCTCAAATTACTCGACGCCGTCTAACGGCCTCAAGGCTCGTTTAAGATGTTTAGACCGACCGCAAGATGTGGCCAAAAGTGAGTACACCAGATGGCAATGTCTCCGGGCTCTTTGGCCGTACAAAATGGGGTAGGTCAATGCTGATGGCACAGAGTCTCGCCCATAAAGAAGTTGCCAAAGAGATTCGAGAGTTTTTCTCACTTTTCTACTCGTTTCCCCTTAAAGAGAATTGTTTAATGCAGCTTAAATTGCTAAAAAACAAAAAAGAAAACTGGAAAAAGCAAACAAAGCAGCATTTGGCACATAAATAAATTCAGAAATGCTGCATTGTCACATGGAACGTTCCCATCAGTTAAATAGTGAATTTCGGATCCATTATTTCCCCATTATGAATCTCATATTAGCTGTTTTGCAATTAAGGCTTCGCAGATTAAATTGATAATTTATATTTATTCGTTTGTTGTCAACCGACCGAAATAAGTTGCACCTAAACCCTAAAATCGGGAAAATCGGGGAAAATCGGAAAAATGTGATGCGAATGCAAAGGCCTCCTGGCGGCATAACCATTCGGGATTAGCCAGAGCCATTAACATTGTTCGATTTCCCCCGACTTTCCTCCCCCCTCATGTCCGCCTGGTTTTCCCCCAATTTCCCGATTGCCCAACTCCCGCGGGACATGGAGCATTATATATGCTCGCATTATGGTCATTGTGCGGCCCATCGTTTCCCTCCGACAAACTCAATTAATGTGCGGGACATTAAATTAATGATATACGCCGATGGCAACGCCCCCACCGCGCGCCCATTTGTATGGGGCTAATCTGGCTGGGTCGCTCTGCTAATTAGCTTTTCGCCCGGGATCTTGGCTTTGGTGACCTCTCCCCTCCCAAAAAAAAAAAAACAAAAAAAATAAGGGAAAAACTAACATATTTGCGGGTGAAGGCATCCTGCAGCGAGGGAATAATGTGGATGGGAAATCTTTTAATTGATTTATTTTCGCTTTGTCTGCGACTTTGGACAACATCTTCATCTCCATCTCCATTCCATCTCCACACCAATCCAATTCAATTCAATCCGGTCGTCGTCGGCAACTATTTTAATGCGCTTAGGCCGCAGAAAGAAAGGGCGACAGTATTTTTATATATGCCCCATGTTATATAGTAATGATAAGCTGATTAGCTTAAGTCTCGCATAATGACATTGGCGACATTTTACAGCTGGCTCTTCTTCTTCTCCCTCGCTTGGCCTTCACTGGTATTTCCATCTCTTCATATCTCCAGCTCCCCCCCTTTCTTCGCCATCGCCTATTGCCCGCTTCATTCCGATTCCAAATCAGATGCAGACTAGCATAGTGCCGATCCGATCCGAGGCAGGCTAAGCCAACCCGCCGGCGGATGGCTGTCGCCCCCAGGCGAGGATGCCAATCAGGCTCGGCTGCTGAGGCCCGCCGCCCTGCTTTGCATGTCAGGCTGCACTGAGAGAAATTAACGAGGGAAATTAACATTGAAAAAGATACATAGAAAGTGCTCTTTGGGGATATTCACTCGAATGAGTTAAAAATTATTAAACATAAAACGTTTTATATTTAACAATTAGAGGTAATTGTTTGTTCAACTGTTGAAAATCATTATTTATGAGTTCTTAAAAGTGGGATATATATCAGATACTTTTCCAATTAGTGATGCGTCTGCAATTGTTTCCAGTGTAATGGCTCTACTTAGTCGAGCGGAGCGGAGTAGCAGCAACAATGGAGGCGAACGCTTGACTGAGCCATTGGCCACCCGCTTGGTTGAATCCTGTCGCTCCCCCCTCCCCCTTCCCCTCCCCCTTCCCCTTTCCCCTTTCGCCTTCCCCTCTCTCCTTTTCATTTCCCCTTTGCACTTTCCCTTTCCCCATTTCCACCACTTTCCCCAGATCCTGTTGCCCTGACAGCCCTTTGCCCATTTGCTCTTTGCCGCTATTACTTGTTGTTGTTGTAGTTGCTACTATAGTTGTTGTTATCGTTGTTATTGCTGTTGTTGTTGTTGCTGTTGTTGCTGTTGCTGGTGGTGTCGCTGGCATTGACGGCGCATTAACTCATTTCCTGCATCATTAAGGGGCACCTGCAATTTTCGCACATTTACGCCGCAGACGTGTCCAGGATGTAGCCAGATCTCCATCTCCATCTCCATTCCCCTCCTGAATCCTGAATCAATTTAGTTGCAGGACTTCACATAAATACGCTTCGAGTGACGGAGGTGCGAGTAGTTTGATCTTGGGGAATTTAAGGAGTTTCTCTTTAGCTGGGATAAAGAAAATTAAAGCTATAAATGCATTCCATAAATACCTGAATGTATCATAAACTCCAGATGATTTAGGAGTAAATTATTTTTAATGTAATGTACACTCTATTTCGTAAAAGGTGTTAATCACTTTGATAGGTTTGAAAAAAACAATTAAAATAAAATAATCCAAGCAAATGGTTCAATTAAAGCTAAAAACTGGAAAACTCGACCTGTTGGTTAACTGAGCTTCGATTGGCTGGAAACTTTTTTTTTTTTTTTTTTAAATTCCTAACTGTGGCGTGAATACACACTTATCTCAATGTTTGCTGTTTCCGGAACCAATGTGCCTGGCACACAGAACTGCAGAGCTGCAGCAATCGAGTGCGTTTATTGAACGGCCCGTGGGCGTTTCGAGCTGCAATCGGGGGAAATCGGGAAAGTTTCTAGCCCCGCAAGCAACACTCACCCACTCACCCACCCATCAAACAAATCCATCGACCCACCGACCCACTTTTATGCTTTGTGTGAAACCCACTTTGATTCCAATCCCATCCGCAGGCAGCACAGCGAATCCGGATGCGAAGCGATTGTACGACGATCTGCTGAGCAACTACAACAAACTGGTCCGCCCGGTGGTCAATGTGACGGACGCCCTCACCGTTCGCATCAAGCTGAAGCTCTCGCAACTGATCGATGTCAACCTGAAGAACCAGATCATGACCACCAACCTGTGGGTGGAGCAGTCCTGGTACGACTACAAGCTCAAGTGGGAGCCCAAGGAGTACGGCGGCGTCGAGATGCTCCACGTCCCCTCCGATCACATCTGGCGTCCCGACATCGTCCTCTACAACAAGTGAGTCTCTATATATATATATATATATATATATGATATATAGTATATATATGATATGAAGATATGCGTTACCCAAAAATATCTGAACAAATTGGTGTTTCATTAACATTACCTCATTAAAGTGTTATTAAATTTATTTAAATATAAAAAGGTTATCTTTTATTCTTTTAATATAATATATATTTAATTATAATACATATAGAATTGCTTTAATTTTTTATAAATTAATTTCCTGAGTGAGTATCGATCGTATATGAAGGAAGATATGCGTTACCCAAAAATATCTCAACAAATTGGTGTTTCATTAACATTACCCAATTAAAGTGTTATTAAATTTATTTATGTAAATATGAAAAGGTTATCTTATATTCTTTTAAGGGTATATTTTATATGTATTGCTTTAATTTTGTATTAATTAATTTCTGAGTGAGTATCGATGGTATATACGTTACCCAAATATATCTCAACAAATTGTTGCTTCATTCATATTACCCACTAAAGTGTTATTAAATTTATATTATTTATATGAAAAGGTTACCTTATATTCCTTTAAGGGTATATTTAATCCTTTTTATTAAACTTTTTATTCATTTATTTCCTGAGTGAGTAGTGATCGTATATGAAGATATACGTTACCCAAAAATATCTCAACAAATTGTTGTTTCATTCATATTACCCACTTAAAGAGTTATTAAATTTATATGAATATGAAAAGGTGTTCTTTTTTTTTCTTTAAGGGTACATTTTATCTTTTTTGCTTAAACTTTTTATTAATTTATCTGCTGATGAACCTTCCAGCGCCGACGGCAACTTCGAGGTGACGCTGGCCACCAAGGCCACGCTGAATTACACAGGACGCGTTGAGTGGCGACCGCCGGCTATTTACAAGAGCTCCTGCGAAATCGACGTCGAGTACTTCCCCTTCGACGAGCAGACCTGCGTCATGAAGTTCGGCAGCTGGACCTACGACGGCTTTCAGGTGAGTCCATACTATAAAACATACAAGGTATATAACATATAAATAAAATTTTTCAAATGGTTAAAGTAAAGTGAAAAATATAAGCCATCTTATAATTATAATAAAATCACTAATATAACTTCCATAAGCTTCTTTAAATTTAGTTTAAGGAACATACTTTCTACTTGCTAAATTTTACCCAAATTATATACATCTTAGCAATTTGATGTCCCTAGCGAACCCATTTCATTTGCTAAGACCAGAAAACAATGGGCTCGCTGGCAGACAAGATTTCATTTTCCCATTTGGAAACAAATCCTGGATGTCCCTTTTATGTGTACCGCAAATTTGGCTGGCGGCTTCTTGAAAACTCGCCCCTTTTCTTCCCCCCCGTTTAACCCGGAAAATCCCCGCGGCCCACACACGTGATCCAATTTAAACCACACACAAATGAAAGTTTCTCGACCGTCTGGCCCTTGGCTAATTGGTTTATAAATCTGTGGCAAGTGTTGCGAGTCGGTGGAGGAGGACATATGTATATATCAGAACATATATATTAGGCCAGACATGTTGCCATTAAAGGATGTGTGCCACTGGCCACCCAAAAAACTCCTTATCTCCGTTCTATTCTGATTCCCCGATTCCCATCCTCCGTTTCCCGATCCCCGGTGACCATCTCATTTACACATTTACAAATTGCTCACCTGGCGGCTCCTGGCTTTCGGTTTTCGGTTTGGGCTTGGGTGTCTCTGAGCCCGGTTTAGTGGTCATAAACCGAAATACGGTCATAATTCCTTTTTGGAATACTGGCATGGAATTTCTCACGTTTTACGGCCACAAAACACACAGCAACAAAGAAGGGAAAGACGGCAGGCAAATCGGTTTGGAATAGACACTCCGACAGACAGAGGGACAAAAAGAGACAGAGAGAGAGATAGAGAGAGAGAGAAAGGGACAGTGGACCACAGGGAGGCTTCATAAAAACGTCTCCAGTGGTTTTTCGGCCAACAAGGAGCAAGGAGCAGGGGACGAAGGACACCCAGAATGGAATTCGGGGAACAGGACACTAAGCCAGCTTGTCACCTGCCTGGGAATCGTTGGAGACTGGCGGTCGAAGGCCGCGTTAACTCGTTAAATTCCCTGCACCACACAAAAATGCAATCCAAGGCAGCAATACACGAAAAGAAAAACCTAGAAAAAAGCATAAACTATGTTTTTTAAGAGCACTAACAAGAAATGTTACAGCAATAAACATGAAATTTGTGTAAATAATTTTTGAATTGCTAGCTTTACCAAAATCATACTTTCAGTAAAATAGTTTTTAAGTCCAGTAGTAGGTTCTAATTAATTTCTGGAGCACGATTTTAATTTTTCTTTAAGTGTGTAGCTTAAAAAGGAATGAGCACCCAGAGTTAGATGCTCTGTGGCTTCGTCCTGCTGTTGGATCCTTGCCAGCTAATAATGAACCGGCATTAGGTAGAATCTAAGTCAGCCTGCACCACTCCCACCGCCTCTTCCTCTTCCTCTTAACCCTTCATTCAGGCGGAAAAAAGGCACAGGCGGGTTAACCACATGCATCTACAGAACTGCATTAGCCAGGTCATAAAGTCGCCGACCAGGTCACGCTTGAATTGGAAAAAAAGTATAGTACAGTTTCCGATAGGCAGAACAAAACCGAAAATGGTTTGATATCCTTGAAGGATTTCTTCCAGCAAAAAGTTAAATACAATTTTCCACACTAAAGATTTTTGCAGTTTGTGAATCATCGTGTTAATTTTCAATAATCAAAGGCTGCTTAAAATAGATTTAAGCCTGTCAAACACTTTGTCATTTAATATCAATTTAGTCGCCTTGCGTCTTTGTGTTATTAATGCACCAACTTTGACACCCATTCCCCCAACAGCCAATAGATATTATCTCACTAAATATCGACAATTTAATGGCACACGTGAAAATTAATTCTCCGTGGAAATGGAAAATTGGTGTACTTTGTTTCAATCACTCAATTAACAGGGCAGATTAAGTATACGCATATGTACGTTATATCTGTATATATCTTGACTGAGGCAGAACCTAAGTTTAATTGTCGTGACAATTAGTTAAGTGTCGGTACTTTTCCTTAATTGCTCCATCTCTTTCTGGCCCACATGTATGCGTTCAAGCACACACATACGCACACGCACACAGAGACAAGTTGACTAATTTGGTAAAAAGCTAAATGCTCATTTACTATTAAAAAGGCAAGGCGCTAACAAGCATTTGACATGAAAAGTGGGCTGGGAAATGGAAGGTGATGCGGGTGAACATTGTCTGCGATGCACAGGTGTGAGGGCTCAATGCACTGAAATAAATGGGGAACCGAAAAAAAAATATGAATATATTAAGGCAAGTAAAAATTGGGAAATCTACTTTGAAACCAGTTAAGGTTCTAAGATTCTTTCAGTAAAAAAAAATATGTATTAAATCATAGTTTCCAAAATATTAGTACCTACACAATTTTTTGGGAATTATTTTTGCTGGTTAAAAATTAATACTAAATGTTTATTCTTCTTTTTGTTTTTCTTGTTATTTGTTTAATACACTGCTACATTTAATCAAAGTGTCCCCGTATTTTGTAATGAAAACTGTAGCATGTTGTCTTCAAGTTGACGCATAAATCAACCGCAAAATGAGCGATATCCCACACAGCCAAATAATTTATGAAGTCTCCGGGGGAATGGGCTCCGGATTCTGAAATTCTCGTATTCTCGGATACTCGGATTCTAGTTCATCGTCGCCAGTGGCAGTGGCATCAGTCTGTTTTCTGTTTGCCACAGCGGAAATATTTCATTAAATCATCACTTCCTTATGCTGAAATACAGAAATTTCCGCAACCACTTAAAATAACAATTTCCGCTTCGGCAATTCCAGCTGGCGGCACAAAAAGCAGCCGGGATTCCATTGCACCTGCCAAGGTCCTGTGGCCTCCCCCACATCCTGCCTGATTATTTCCCCTTGCGACACAGCTGCATCTTCGCAGCCCGTTTTTCATTCATGTTCAGCAGCCAGCGTCGATTTCCTAATTTCGTGTCAATGAGCCAAGCTTGAGGTGGCAAGTCTGCCGGTGGAAAATCGAGGAAAGCCGAAGAGAGCCGAGGAAAGCGAGAAGGAAACCGGGGAAATTCAGGAGTCAGAAAGGGGGAAAGGACAAAAGGCAAGGGCAAGTTCATAGGCTCAATTTTCACACTTGATTTTGCACAGGAAAACGCCCACACACACACTGTTTACAACAACAATCCTGACAAAAGGAAAAACATAAAGGGAAAGGGGACACTTTTCCAATTTTATAAACATAATAATTTCCCTTAACTTTTTAAACAGTGTTTTCCAAGCCCACAACTATTTCCCTCGTTTAATATAGAATTATCCTGAGAAGCAGTGACTACCAGAATTATTATTATATTTTATAATAGGACACAGGCAAATATCAACGTTACTTATTTTTCAAAGTGCAGCCAAGCAGAAAGTCAGAGCTTAGCAGAAAAGAAAGAGAGAGTGGAAAGTGGAAAGTGGGAATGGAAACGAGAACGAGAACGAGAAATCGTATTAACGTCACTTTTCAAATTTCACGCTCTTCCAAAAATGCCACCACCCACTGCCCTCAATGTCAACTGGCACCTGCATCAGTTCCCCTCCCCCATTTTCCCCCCTTTCCTTTTCCTTTCCCTTTCCCTTTCCCTTGTTACCTGAATCCCCTCCTCTCTCTCCATACAAGAAAAACGAAACCAGCCATGGAAATCGGTGAGGCGTAAATTGGCAGACAAAATGCTTTAGGAAATTCAGTCGAAGAAAGGGAAAGAATTAAAAATTGCTGATGGAATGAATGCACTTCCGGGTTAATATTCAAACAGCAAGTGCACACAGAAGAGCTGACTTAGCTGCCCAAAAGCTAGATAATGCAGTTTCGGGAAAGGCTTTATTTGCCATGTGGAAAAGCAGAAAAAGGAAAACAGAGATAGTAGAGTGAGCGAAGGGAACTCAAAGTGGTTAACCTAAAATACATTTTCTAAACTGCAAAGAACTTTGGATTAAGGAAACTAAATTTACAGAGATATTTTTATTAAAATACATTACTATAATTTCAATTTACAAAATCACTTGCTTACTTCACATGAATTGTGGTAAAACTTTTAATTCTAAAAAGTTTCGCTTGTAATGAGAACTTTCAAAATCTAAGAAGTGAAAATCCAGTTGAAGTTCTGGAGTTGAGAATCAAGTTCGATAGACTGTTGCAATCGCATGTCAAGCACTATAGAACTATTCGACCCCGGGGCCGAAGGAATGCGAGAATGTTGCCACTACTTCAACTCGTGCTCATCCTCATCCTGAAAGCCAGGTGCTCTCCTGTCGCCAGTCCTCCGCATCCTTCGATTCCCATTCCGTTTCCCATTCCGATCCGAATGTCGATGTCCATGTCCTGTCAGCTGCAGTCGTGCCGAACTAAGCAAAACTGAGCACTGGAATTGAAGTGCGGCCATCGCATGTTTGTCCATTTCGGTATCGCTATCGATGCAGCCACCATATATCCACCATCTACCATACCATACTATATAGCAACCATATATATATAGCTCCTCACCTGGCCACCCACCCGCTCCCTTTTCTCCCAGACTCCTTGGATCCTCTTCCCTTTTTTTCGGGACTGACTTTGACAGCCGAAACGAACTGTGGAGTGGAGTGGCTGGTCAGAAGGGAGAAGGAAGAGGGAGTCTGGATGGGATGGGATTGGAATCGAAGGCCAAAACAGAGACATCTGGCAGAGAGTGCAGTTCAATTACGTTCAATCACTGGTCAGAAAGGACGAAGGCAACTCAACTGCTCTTACTTCTTCGCACAAAAATTCAATTCAATTTGCAGTTCCTTGGCTGTCTAATCGGGAAAAGGTGGAAATCAATTACCTTGAACATTAAGTATTTTACACTGAAGTTGAAAAAACTGCCAACCAAAACAAAAGAGTTTGTAAACAATAATTCAAATTTAGTAAGCTTTGTATTTAGAAAGAAATTTTAAATAAATTATTATAACTATTATATACAAACCTTATGATAAATTAATTATATAACCAGTATTCCAATGGAGAGTAACCACTGTGCGTTAATTTGCAGGTGGATCTGCGGCACATCGACGAGCTGAACGGCACCAATGTGGTGGAGGTGGGCGTGGATCTGTCGGAGTTCTACACGTCGGTCGAATGGGATATCCTCGAAGTTCCTGCAGTGCGGTAAGTGCCAGCCAACCATCCCACCCACTTACCCACACTTACCCACTTACCCACTTACCCACTCACCCACTTACCCGGTAGACAACCGCCCAGTAGCCAAGTAACCAGTTATCATCCCACCCACCGAGAAAAAGCGGCAACAACAATTATTTTTGGCAGAAACTCCTTTGGCAAGTTCTGCGGAAGCTTTGGACGCTGTCACAAAACACAAACACAAATCTTTCAGGATGTCAAAACGCACACACACACATACACACACTTACGCAGGTCAAGGATGCAAGTGAGAGAGATAGACAGATATGCCTAAAGAAAGAGACGCAAGAATCGGGATGGGCTGACCTGAGTTGTCGATGCTGATGATGGTGATCTTTGGGCGTTGGCGTTGGCGTAGGCGTGGCAGTAGAAGTGGGCGTGGCTCTTATTTACACTTTACACCTCCCTCTTGCCCCAACGATTCCCCAATTTTGCCTTGAAGTTTTTAAATTAAAAAACTTTGGCAAAAGGAATTGCCAAAAGAAAAAAAAAAACAAACAAAATTATACATATAAATAAATAGAAGCAGGCCTTGCTTCTTATGTTTCAGCATTCTGCCCGTCTGGTCAGGCATATGTGTGCGTACAGCCGCGGTCAAAATAATAGTTTTGCTTTAAAAATACAATACAACAAAAAAATCATGCTCTTCGTAGATTTCAAGTTTTCGCATGCTTAAATCAAGTTTTCTACATGTTCTGTAAACAATAACTACACTGGTTTATATTTATAACAATTACAACAAGAACTAATAAATAGTTATATTTTTTTTCGTCTACTTTAAAGTCCATATATATTTTCAAATATTTTTTTCTATTCATTTGACTGCAATTGTACGAAATGTGTGACTTTCGCCTCTGCCTGTGAGAAAGTGAAAGCTGGCCGAATTTGTTTCCTTGGCTCGGAGGCGGTTGTTTAATTGCCACGCCCACTTCTGAAGCGAAGAGGTCGGCACGCTTGTGTGCACACAATGGAAAGAGGAATAGGAAAATGGGGGAAAAGGGGTGGAAAGGGGGTGGAGGGGGCTAAACGGAGACGGAAGTTCTTCTACAAGAACCTCGTCTTTAATGCATTAAGCCCCAGACAAAAGGCAACAAGAAATTTTTGTTTCACTTAGCGCAACTTTGTTTGAAATCTCGGGATTGTTGGAAGCCAGCAGGTGAGTTTTGTGGGCGGCCATGGGTTAAGCAGGTTGAGTGCTGCTCCTGCTGCTCCTGCTGCTGCTGTGGAAAAAGGGGTGTTAAGAGGCGTGGTGGCAATACTGTTGAGTGCTATTAATTAGTTGATGACACGTGCTAGATGAACTGGGAAAATTCAGTTTAGAAATACTTTTCATTAGGCTAATTTGCCTGCTCGACTCTCTCAGATTTTCACTTTGATCTTACTTTGTTTCCAATATGGATTTCTTCCCCTCATTTTAGCCAGCACTTGTTTTCAAAAATCTTTTATTTTAGAAAGCTATATTATACTATCTAACATAAGATCAAAGATTGATTAGCTTTGCTTGCAACATTTTTATGTTTTCTGGGATTGTTTTCTTGTTTTATTGCCTGAAATTCATTGGTAAAGAAAGTGAAGGCAGTGAATTTACTTGTTAGTTTTTGTTGCAAGTTTTTATTTTGTTTTTTTTTTTACATTTTCCTTTCCATTTATTGTTGGTATTTTTGCCGTCGTCATTGGCACGCGTGGAAGCCACAAACAAGTCGCGACTCCGGTCTCCGAAAGTCATTTTATTTTTATATTAGTATTACAACGTCAGGGGATAAATGGGCGGATTTTTTCGTTGCCGGGTTTTCCGGCAGAGGCGACGGGGTGGAAAAGCGTGCAGATTGTCCGTGAATGTCGTGAAAGTGTTGTTTATGTATCCCACCTTTCCACTAAACCGAACCGAAATGGAGGACAAAAAGCCGTAAACTCTTCAGGTGAACGAGTGAGGAGGAGCGGAGGAGTGAAGAAGGGGAAGGCGGGGGGTGAAAACTTGGGAAAGGGAAAATCGAAGCGAAAAGAGAAAGTGGAATGGCTGCGAGGCAATAATTTCCTTGAACTATTTTGAAGTTGCGTGTAGGGCAAGAAATGGTCAATAAATCAGTGGCAAGAGTTCACTTCTCTCTCTAAACATTTTTTCTTTTTTCTAATATTTTTACTTCGCTTTTCTTTTCCTTTTACAACGCATTTTTTATCGTATTTATAATTATATATTTTTAAGAAAAACAAAGTCATTACACCGGTTTCAAAACAGCAAATATTATTTGCCATTAAACTCAATTTAAAATTCAAGTACGAACAAAAAAACTCATCATAGACCCGCAACATTTTGATGACACCTATGAAACCCCCGAAAAAAAACTGAAACAGCTTAATGCGTTTGCCCTTTGACCTTCCCACTGATAGCGACCCCCACATTTTTTTTTACCCCAACTCATCCACCATATTTCATAAGCGGCACGTGACAGACGGAAATGACAAGGCTGAACTACAGTGAGCAGTGAATAAATAAAACAAAGCGAGAAAGAATAATATGTGTGAAGGCGTTGATGTCAGAAATACCCTTGAAAATTATCCCGAAAAAATGAATACTACATGATAAAATCAAGAGGATTTAACTTTATTTATTATCTAGAAATCTATTTAAAATTTAAGCTTAACTATTTCTGTTTAATGTGGACCTTATATAATAATTTCATTTAATTAAAGAAAACCAGCTCCTTGGGCAGTCCAAGTTTTGTGTGCGTGACAAAGTTGTTGGCCAAGTTGAAGCACCCCGAAAGCCAGGGTATCAGTGGCAGGTTAAGACCTTTTGCCAACTGAGAGCTGAAACCACTGAAAACGGGGCTCAAGTCATTGACGGGAATTAAAAAGTTGACAGCACCAGTTACGTGTGTGTGTGTGTGTCTGTGTGTGTCTGTGTGTGTATACATAGAAGTGAGTGCGTGTGTCTGCGCGTGTGTGTGTGTATGTAAGCGTGTGTTGAAGTGTACGTTGGTTTATTTGGCGTGGCATTGGCAGTAAATTATGCCACAAGTGCGTGACACACTCACAAAAGCGGCCGCCGGCTGCGAGTCTCTCTAAACCTTCCGCCCACTCCCCGTTTTGGCCGCCTAACCAACGTCCTTCCAGCCCCCTGAGAATCCACCATCCCCCACTCTCTCTCCGTCCCCGGAAAGGCCACCCCTCTCTTGACTTACTCCCTTGGCAGCTTTTATTGTCTGCAGGCTGCCGCTTCTGCCGCTTTTGCCGCTTCTGCCGCTTTTGCTGCTGCTACTGCGCCTAAAATGCTGCAACACAATTCACAGCACGTAGAGCAATTTTCCCATGAAGCCAGCACCTCCTCCTCCTCCTCTTCCTCCACCGATTTCCCCGATTTCCCAGCTCCTCCTGCTTCCAAAAACTTGTGCAGAGCCTCCGACAGGATTCAGTTTTAATGCGCATCGACAGTTAAATTAACTGGGCGACGCAAGGAGGGGCGTGGCAGGCCGCAGCACGTACAGGTGGCCAAGGGGGAGAATGGGGGGTGATGGAGGGTGGAGAGTGAGGGGAGGGGAGGGAAGGGGGAAGAGGAGCAGCAGACAATCAGGCATTGATTGACAGGCGGACAGGTGGGCAGACCACCAACCAGCCAACCAACCAAGAGAAGCTGAGACAAATACGGGAAAGGTGAAAAGGGGGAAAGTGGGGAAAGTGGGGGTAAATCGAAAGTCGAGGCAATCACGAGCCCATAAAATTAACCCTGCTTATTCCCGTTCAAACCCTTTTCTTCCGATCCGATAGGGAAAATAATGACATTGCGCAGGGCTGGCAATTTGCAGTTTATAGTTTCTCGCCGCCCCTTCAGAAAGAGAAAGTGCCCGAGAATGCGGCAAGGTATTGGGGATAAAGACATATCATTTGGATTAAGCATTAAAAAGAAAGTAAAGAAAGCAAAGTAAACTACTTTCTTTGGCTTCGGAGTGTTGTTAAGCCGCCTGTTGTTTTAGAATCCTCTTTATTAGGTTGTATTTTTAATTGGATGTTTCTTAACATACTTATTTGTTGCAGTTAACTTCCCATAATTACTTTACTTGCAATTAAATTTCCACTGTCAACTCCCCTTTTATTTCTTCAATGAGTAAGTAGGACATAATTTATTTTATCAACTGGTTGGCATTAAAGCCTTAAAGCCCTTGTCTAATAAACTCATTGTTTGCCCAATTTCTGCGACTTGCCTTCATCTTTTATATCCGCTTATAGAGTTGTCTTTTCGCATTGCCATTTCCCAGCTCCCAGTTCACATTTCCCATTCCCCCGGGGGCTGTATTTTGTTTAATTGCCGCAATGGGTCTTACGACATCAAATCAACACGCAGGGCACATACACCACGAAAACCGAGCGAGGAAAACCCTCCTGTTTTGCCCCTTACCCAACTTACCCAACCCAACCGAAGGACTTTCTTTGGCAACTTTGCTCCCTTTCTTACCTTTCTGCCACCAAAAAGAAGCTTGATTACCGGGCACAAATTTTCGGTTGTGTTTGAGGTTCGGCGGCTCCCAAGACTCGTTTCGCGTTTCGCGTTGCTCGGCTTTATCACAGATCGATTAAAATCATAATTAGCAAACTTTCCAGAGAACCTTCAGCCTTCTCCCCTTTTCCGCATTTTCTTTTGCGGTCACACCTCAATTGCCACGCCTTTGGGAGACTTTCCCTGCGAGGTTTCCTCTCCTTCTTCTTTTTTCAAGTCATGCAACGAAGCGTGTTTATGTTAGTTATTAAAATTCTATTACTTACTTTGATTTCTGGTTGGTCCCTATTCAAGCATCCTTGCACGGAGAGAAATACAAGACTCACATCTCTTCGATTTTGATTGGTTCTGACAAAAGCTATAAGCATTTTTATATACATTTTAACAAGATAGATTCTTTGTGGATCGAATTTCTCACAGTGCAGTAGAAAACCGAAGAAATCGAGGCATAGAAAACACTTGAAAGCTCATAGAGAACTTTTGGTTCAAAGTTGTCGAAATCAATCAAGCGTTGAGACCTATCTCGGCCCAGAATTTCCCTTTCCCCCGATTTGCCACTTAGTAGGTGGCAATGGGTGGCAATGGGCGGTGCTTTCTTTGCTCCGCTTTCTCCATGTCCTCGTCTCTTTTTTATGTTGCCAATCATTTCGTATTTATGCGTTTGTTCTTTGACTCCAATCAGCAAGCTGTTTCCCCTTCAATCCCCCATTGGCATTTCGTTCCCCGCTGTCAATCAGCGATTTGACCATTTTCGGTCACTTTAGTGCGGTGACCCCAGCCCAAAAAAAAAAGAAATAGGAAAAAAAATAGAAAACAAAAAAGCATGAGGGAAACCTCTCATTTCTCAAATACGTGCCCAGTTCCACATTCAATTTCGCTGGAATTTCACTTAATTTTTGTTCTTTTTTTTTTTTATCCTGGCGACCCGAAAGCGCAAAGAAGAAGAGCGGAGCGAGTCGGTTGGAAATCTAAATAACATTTGATTTCAAATCTGTTTCACTGGAAAATCATTCAGCAAGCGCACACAAAGGCCGCGAAGGAGGGAAAGTGGAAAATTCGTCTGCTTTCGATTTCCCTTGGCTTTGAACATTTGCCAGTTACTTTCGCTTTAGTTGACCCCGCGTAATGCGTTATTTAAATTTAAAGTGTTTAAGGAACTGAGGAGAAGTAAAAAACAGTTTTTTTTTTGTAAGCCGATTAAAACACTTCGAAGTATATATATTTAGAATAATTTAAAAAATAATAACAACCAGTAAAAATTTATGTTGCTTCAAATAAAACAGTTCAAGTTCAGTTAGCTCTTGCGTATACTTAATATCACGCATACGCCATGTTGGCCTATCACTATTATAGTAGATAGTTTGTACTATATGATTTTTTCAGCTTAAAAAATAGCTAGCAGTGTATTAACGTCTGCGACTTCCCATCATTGAGCTTCGTACACATTTCTATTTCGGTTGGCTTATCCTTTATTACGCATACGCCGCGTGGCCCAACGCATTGATGAATTGTTGCCAATTTCGGAATTTCCCGAAGAGGGATGCGGTGTTTTCATGGGGGGTGCGGAAATGTGTGGGAGTGCCATGTGCCATCGAGTCAAATCAAACTGAAGTTCTGCTGGTCTTGGCTGGTATTTGCTTTTGTTGTTCTAGTTGTTGTTGTTACTGTGTTCTAGTCTTTTCTCTATTTGGATCTCTTTTTTTTTTGCTTTTTTTTCTTTTTTTTGCCTATGTGGCGCCATCTCCCGGCGCCGTGTCCGTGTATCTTTGCGTGTGCGTGTGTATGTGTGTGTGTGTGTGTGGGGCACGCGTGTTCTTTTACAATGTGTGTGTGTGTGTGTGTGTTTTTCTTGCCTATTTTATGATTTATTGTATGTTTTCCCATCGTGGTTGCTAACCAACTAACCCAGCAGCAAACCCACCAAGTCACCGAGCTTATTACACTGACCTTTACACGTACTAAGCCACCCACTCTGCACCACCCTCTTTGGTCCACCCTATTCGCCGACTTAAGGGTCTGCCTAGCACCCAATCCCCCTGTTTTCGCCGCTTTTCCTTTTGGGGAAAGTGTCTCTGTTCGTCTGCTCGTGTTTCCCTGTCTGCGGGGACTTAACTTCGTGGAGCGAAGAGGGGGTAACCCCCCCTCCACCCCTCCTTTGGGTGGACACTCCACGGCCTGTTGACCAAAGCTCACTTTAGCAGACTTAATCTGTAGCCATATTACATTTTTCGCCTGCGATCGCAAGACTTTCGCAAGCCAAGTGGGCTAAAGGATATTGGGTCTTAGTGTTCTCGCCCACTTGTGTTTTGCCGTATTTAAATGTATTTTTAATGGACAACACAAAAGTTGAGCGAGGTGTTTGGTTAGTATGAAGAAATTAATTTAAGGTGAAACAATTGATAATATGGCAACACTTTAAATTGTTACAGGAATAATAATTGATATAAAAGAAGGTTACCTCTTTTGTATTATTATTTCTTTAATAGTTATCTCTGTATTTCTACTTATAAAATATATTTATGTAATTCAGTTTTATCTTTCATTTAAAAGTAAATAGTAAACAGTGTTTTACTGTGAAAACTTTACCATATTATATCTTATATTTCTCGCCTCCTTTATCTTATTCAATATTTCCTCCCCTCATTTTCGCTTTGAACCTTTTGAGTGACTGACATTCGGAATTGGCTTGGCAAATTATATTTTATTGCTGCAGCCATCAAAACTAACCCACAAGATGCTGGCCCTCAATCCCGGATTCCCTATCCCTCGCTCTTTCTTTCACACACACATACACACACACATACATAGTCATTTTGGAGTGGTTTTTGTGTTTGTGTGCCTATTGCCACATACTTCATTTCTATTTGGAGGGAAGTCAACTGCCACAAACAGTTAGTTGCCTGCCGGCCACATCCTTGTCGTTCTCGTTGTCGTTGTCCTTTACCTCCCCCTCCCTGCTCCCCCCCATTCCCCTCCCCCTCGCCCTTCCCACTCTTCTTTATCCCTGGTCCTTGCCTTGTTTATTATTTATTTACAATATTTTCTTATTCAAAATGAAGCCGCAAGCCTCTCGGAATTATTGATGGCCCAACCATATACCACAGCGAAAAGTTGAAGGCGGTTTGGTGGGGGGATGGGGGTTGCTTCACCCCTTTTTGCCCGGCAGTTATGATTTTTCTTTATTTATACATTTCTTGCTTGTGATGTTGTTGTTGTTGTTGTTGTTGCTGTCCTTCCACTGGCAGGTTTGGTTTCAAGAGTTTTTCAAGTGCGACGCGGGGCAAAAGCGTACAAAAAAAAAAAAAAAAAAAAAACAACAACGAAAAGTCCGCTCGACTCAATTTACAAAAATTCTCATTCTTTTTCTTCATTATTTTTTTATTGTCTTTCTTTTATTTTTCGGTTGGCAGCCATCGTCAGAGATTATTAACTTGTAAATTATTCATTGGTCCGGAGAGCAGGGAAAAAAGGGCTAAAAAATGGGTAGAGCTCAAAGTCTGAATAACTGTCGAACTGATTAACGCAAATGGATTTGAGTTTCAGAGAGTTAGTAAGGTTTCTTTTTATTTTTTTGGGTACACCCTTAAATGGATTATTTTTGAAAGAATTAGTTTGATGCAAGTTTTGATACTTTATTAAGTCCTTAAAAATATTTGTATTCAACCTTGACAAGCCAGCTAAAAAGCCTTCTGCTTCATTGAACCTCTCAATTATTCTTGCGCACTTTGAAAGTTTTGAATTCGCAGCTACGCAAAAATACACAAAAATACAGAACATACCATTTTGACACTCAGTTAGCAGTTAGGCCAATATTTTTTCGGCATTTTACAATATTTATCATGCGGCCGATGATTTATGTGATTGGTGCGCCATATATCTGGGGATATATGCGTGTTTATGTAAATAAATATAGGTTTCGGCTGCCAGAACGAATACTGTGGATGCTGCAACGGCACCACAGCAGAAATAATAAAAAAAAAGCACACACACACAGAAAAACCAAAGAACCCCATCCATCGATACAAAATACATACATATATGGCATCGGCAGTCGAAATGAACCTTAATAAATATTTACGCGCTGCGTAGCAATTTGCCTAGCTCATGGCTCGATTTCCCTGCTTAATTTATTGCAGGAACGAGAAGTTCTATACGTGCTGCGATGAGCCATATCTGGACATCACCTTCAACATCACGATGCGTCGCAAGACCCTCTTCTACACGGTCAACCTGATCATCCCCTGCATGGGCATCAGCTTCCTCACCATCCTCGTCTTCTACCTGCCATCGGACAGTGGCGAAAAGGTGAGTCTCTACAGTCCTTAAAAACTATAATATGTATTTTAATACCTCGGAAAATGAATTATGAAATAAAATTCAGTTAGCTTGTAAGCAAGCAAATCCTAACTCGCTTCAATAGAAGCTATTCCTTCCACCAAACATCCAACGCTAATAAAAAAATAATTAATGGGATCCGCGCTATAAACCAAAAAGGAAACTCTTTGCCATTTATTTGCCAGAGTTTTTATTGTGTAGCCGAGCGACTGATAAACGGGCTCAATTAATGAGCTAAAGTTTAATTAAATCAGTCGCAAAATAGTTGCGGTTCGGCTGTCTAAAAGCTTTATCTCTGCCGCCATTGGATTTATGCTAATGATATGGTACACATGTTATTGCCTACTATGAATAAATAGTAAAATTAACCATTAGAATCAAGTTCATCCGCAGCTGAAATGCATTAGCTTGAATTTACCATTTACCATTTACCATTTCCACCGATCTATTTGCTCTGTTCACATATGCTGCCATTTTCCCCTCCTGCTTTTCACCATTCTGATTTTTTTTTGCATTAAACCAATTGCCATAATTTATTACCAGCTCATCCCGTTTCTCCTCGCCCATCCGCTCAAAATGTGCTTTTAATTAAAAAGCAAAAAAAATACAAAAAAAAAAAAATAACAGAAATAATTTCACACTCAAATGAAAATGAAAATGCATTTCAACATTTTATTCGTTTTGATTTTAATTTTTTTGTTTTTTTTTTTGGGGCATTTTGGATCGCTTTCTGTTTGGTGTGTGTCTGTGTGTGTATTATTTTTTCGCCCAGTTTGCCATCATTTAAGTTTGAGTAAATAAAATTACACGATGTATTCAATTTAATGCGAACAAAAGTCTGGCGCGTTTTTTTTTTTTTGTGCGGTTCTTTAGCAATTCTGTGAGGGAAAAAGCCAAACGAGAACGCAAACGAAAATGAAAACGAAAACACGAAATGGCATAATGCATAAATATAAACATTTACATGCTGCCTGGGACTTATGAATAAATTACGGCCAATTTTCAAAATAAATAAAATGCAAAAATAATTTGTGTGCGCAAGCGGTTTGTGGATTACTGATGCTGATGTTGATGCCGATTTTGATGGCGATGTTGATGTTGTTGCTGAAGCTGAATGATGATGCTGCTGGTGATGCCGATGCCATCCGACATTTCCACATTCCACATCGCTCACGGTACATAATTTATGATATAAATATTGACAGCGCCGGGCATTTGATGGCCCATCCCGGCTGGCATTATGCAAATTCCCCGATTTGCCTGTGCATTATCGAGTTAAGAGCGGTCGATTCGATGAGTACTCATCGAATAATACGCGTATTAAACCGACCTGTCACCCGAAAAACGAAACACCCAAAACGACCTGTTTGAGTGAGTTTCTATTTGTCTAAGCCCCTCGAAATTGTGTTAAGCTGCTCTGATCACCGTTTGTGTTGGTATTTTGATGGATGTCGGATAAGGGGGATATTACATGGAAAACAGCGAGGTTTTGGGGTTTGAAAAAATATATTTTGTAAATAAGATTGATGGTTTGTTTGTTTATGATTAAAAGAAAATTACCTGAAATCGAGAAGAGTTATGTACATGAAAGTACTCCTTTAAATATTTTTTTTTAATTAGAAGTTAATTTTTTTGTTATCAATATTCGAGCAATAGTTCTAACCTAGTTCTCATAGTTCTCTGGTCGGGAATAATCAATTCGAGCGTTATTATTTCACCAGAAGTTTTTCGCTCGCTTTTGCAGTATCACGTTTCATTCCTTTTTTTCGGGAAGACTTTTACGATTTGAGCCGTGTGGGCACATTTCATGGCACTGTTGTCCCTTTTATGGCTCTGTACGCACACACTGAAGCACTCTTACACTGACACACTCACACACTGACACGCTCACACATGAAGCGGACAAATATTTACGCCTAAAAGCAGGCAGCGAAATAAAACAGGACACAAACTGCGGAACTGCGAACTGTGCACCAAAAATTCCCGCCACTGGTCAGTCTGCAGTTAACTGTGGCAACTCTGGCACGTCCGCCACGCCCCCCGCCCCTCGCCTCTTTCGGCTTTTGGAAACCCCGTGGCCGAAGTTCCAGTATTGCGATGGCATCGCAATTGGAATTGGAATTGCCAATTTACATGCATATGCGCCACAACGCACTTCATTCATGCAATTGCCGATTGCGGAGGTGCGGGAAAACGTGGGGGAAAACGGGGAAAGGCGGGCGATCCGAAATGGGTGCGACACACTCGCAGAAAATACCCCCCAAATCGATCGCTGTTGAGTGATTTCTTAATTGAATTAGATACCTAGAATATGCAGTTGAACAGGAGGGTAAAAAGGGAGCAATTTAGCTACACAAAATGTTGAGTATGGAAAATAGTTATTCCCATAAATACATGTCAAAATATATACAAATTAATCTGCAAATAGAATGCTAAACAAAATCCCTACTAGAAATCTCTAAAATGGGTTTAACCCCTAATGATTTCTTAGCCAATTTCTTGATAATGACATGTAAATCCCTTTTTTTCTGTGCAAAAAAAGGAGGAAGGGCTACTTTCGCAATACTAAGTAGCCGCACTGTTCCCAATTCCCCTGCGTTTATTTGCATCGTATTTTTATGGGCGAAACAATTACGTTTTACGAACAGGGTCCAGATTGAAACTGTCCCATCAGCTGGCCCATTCGGAAGCATCCAGTTTCGAGTTTGAGTTGAGTTCAACTTGACCCAACAGAACCGAAATCGTAACCGAAATGCATTTGGCCACCTTAATTACACCGAGCATTTGCATAAATAATGAGCGACCTGGACTGCCAGTGATGCGAGCTAAATGCGATTGCACATGGATTTCTTCACTGCTCGGTGCCAAACATTTTATTGCCTATTGGTGCACTGAAAAAAAAAAACAATTCTTATTTGTAACATTTGTACTTCATTTAATATAATTCATTTCTGGTATGATAAGTAATCACTTTATAGCTAAGTTTATATTTTAATTTGATTTGATTTCTTTTGAAATGTTTTTAGCACACAAAGTATTATTATTTATTAAACAGTTCTTATTTGAATTTGGCTGATTGCCCAGTACATTTTTCCAGTGTATATAGTCAGTTGAAAGGTCGTCGCTTCTGGCTTTGGATTTGCTTGGCAAGTTGTAACCTTAATTAGGCAACGTCACTAATCGCTTTACAAGCGCTGGCCCCGAAAACTAAGGCTAATTATCATAAAATCATTAAGCATCGAAAATTTATGCCACACACACACATACACATGCACACACTGACAGGGACAGACAGCAAATCGCACACACACACACACACACACACACTCACTTTGACAGAAGAGAAGCTCAAATCGCGCGTCTCATTTTCGACATTTAATTACTTTCGGCAAACCCACACACACACACACACACACTCACATCGAAACCCATACAAACACACTTCATTACAAGCGGCTTAGGCATAAATAAGGTGAGCTGCCACGCCCCCTTTTCCCTTCCCCTTCTCCTTCCACAAATCATTTTGCGCTTTATTGAGCGCTCTGAAAAGTATGCCGCGTTTTCATTTCCATTTCCACGTTTTCCCCTCCTCACCTCACTTTCTCCCCCTCCCCCTTGTCCTCCCCCTTCTTCTGCTCGTCTTTTTCGGCATTTTCCGCTGCCTTTGCATATGATTTGTCGGCCAGCTTTTGGCAAGGCCGCAATTGCCGGCTGACAAACCGCTTTTTCATACGCCCATTGGCCTGGCTTATTATTTGCTTGTGATGCCCGCTTAGGCGTTCTAAATCAATTTGGATTTGTGGCTCGAATTGCCCGCCAAGCGAGCGGAATCGGAATCAGAATCTGGATCGGAATGGCAATCGAAATCTTGGCGATTGTCTGCCACTGAAATTATAACCTGCAGAAGCAGGAAAGAAGTTTGCAAAGAAATAATGAGCCAGTTGACAGCTTTTCATTGTCAAATAAAAACTACAAAACCTGGTTTTTTTTATTGGCTTGGAAACCTAATATGTTCAATTAATTAATAATCAAACTAAGTCTATTATTTATTCATCTAAGCAAAAAAGGTGTAGGCAACTTCCTCTTATTAATTAACTATGTCTCTCGCAACTTTTCCATATTGAATAGGGGAGAGTGGTCCCATACCGACCGGTCGTACCATACCGACCCCCCCCATGTTTCTCAGAGATGGCGATGCTAGCCGAATTGTCGGTAACTTCAGTGAAAAGCTGTTATAACACAGACATTTTGGAGATAGATAGCCAATTTGACTTCTTTTGTTTCACTGCAATTTTTCCGTTTGTTTTGTTTCAACGCCTCTGACATTCAGTTTTTTTTCTTTACTGAACTTGAGCTTAAATATTTTTAAAGTTTTTTTTCTTCGCATAAAAATCGGAGGGTAAGGTTTTCTGATAGTTGATAGTCCTAGCTGTCATTCACGCTATTAGAATTACATCGCTCTTTGCGTCATTAGATAATGGCGAGCAGTTAATTAGAAAAGGTTGTGGTGGTCCGAAACCGACCGCGAAGTGATGGTCCGAAACCGACCCCCATTTATTGGCAGCTTAATATGTCATAGCGTATTTTTGAGGGAAAATATGAAAAAGTAAACAAGATTCAGTAAAGAAAAGTAACAGAAACAGCAAAAACATCAGACAGCAAGCGAAGAGACAGTCATCAACGAGCGGCTTTCGAAAAACAACGCGAAAACAACGCAAAAACTTACTATGAGAAAGGGGACAACTCAGACTTCATCAATTGACTACAGTGCCCTTTATTTCATACATTAATTTTTATTTTCTGGAAAGAACCTTCAATATATTTCTTAATAAACGTCAAAATCATTAAATTCTATTTTATGTTATTAAATTGCTTCTGTTAAGAAATAGGGGGTCGGTTTCGGACCACTACTTTTGAGTACGACCAAAAAGTAGAGTTTTATATTTGCCTGAATATCTAACGCTTCAAAGCACCTACGCACTTACTAATCATTTAGATGTATAGTAAACTGATCCCTCTACATAGTACTTTTTTGAACTGAACTGAAAAATTGATTTTTCTCACCTTTATCGCCTTTGCCTTTTAGGGGGTCGGTATGGGACCACCCTCCCCTACGTTTTACTAAGCCACAAAGCCAGCTTAACTGTTTTATGTTCATTAATTAATCCAAGCGGCTTAGGTTTCCTTCCTTCTAATGCTTATTAATCCAAACAGCTTTTGTGATTAAAATGTATTAGAAAAATATAAATAACTTTATTCAATAATTATGATTTCTTTAAAGATAGTATTACATAGAAAATGCGTAGAAAATCAGAAACCAAACTTTGTAAAACTGTGTAATCGTTCTCCCACTGAGAATTATTTATTTTTCACCAATAGTTCACAGACACCTGATACCTGTAAACAGTTTTACGTAATCGATGTGTATTCCCTGATTTTCGGGAAAGGGGCACGGGGAAAACGGCAAGTTTTCCGCGGGGGGAAACCGGGGGAAAAGAGCTTAAGCCGAGTTCGAGCAATATTTATGCATTATAAATGAGAAACCTTATCGGAACGGGAGTTTCCCGTTGTTGTTCGCAGTTCGCAATTGTCGCTTCTTTATGGCGCTTTAGATTTTCCGCTCGACGTGCAGCTCAATCTGCCACGCCCCCCACCGCCCATTTCCTGTCTCGCTTGCTCACTCACTCCAAAACCCCTGTACTTTCTCTGTATATATTTGCAGGTCTCATTAAGCATATCCATTCTGCTGTCGCTCACTGTGTTCTTCCTGCTGCTCGCGGAAATCATTCCGCCCACATCGCTGGTGGTGCCGCTGCTGGGAAAGTTCGTGCTCTTCACCATGATACTGGATACCTTCAGGTGAGTCCACACCCCCTTGTGCCCCTCCCCTGCCTCCTTGTTGTGCCCCCGCCCCCGCCCTCCGAGTCAAATGTGCCACTAATGCGGCCCCAAGATGCCAGATACTCGCAGCATTTCTTACCATTTCCATGGGGTATTTATGGGAATTATAGCAGAGCCAATATTCTGATGGATATATAAATATTATAATTATATAGTAAAAAAAAAACAATATTCATTAATCATATTAACAAAAAACGTTTATTAAATCATTTGAAATTACGGTTAATCAGGCAGAGAAAATCATTTAAATGCAATTTATGGCAGCAATAATTTCTCATATAACAAATAAAAAATGCGTATTCAAACCAATTTCTTTTGCTAAAAGAACCTAAATTCACGCGAAACTAACTATTTTCAAAATCTTTAAAAAAAACTTTCTTTTGATATAGTTAAAAAAGTTTTTGGAACTTCCGTTGGTTTTTCGGAGAAAGTTGGCCAATCGTCGGCCGAGGGTAAAACTCGATTCGGTGGCCGTGTTCGACTTTGCTTGGCTTAGTGCCACGCCCATTCCCCGTTCAGCCGCCCCCCGCTGGGGGCCTATTAAATGGCTGCGGCAATTTACAGTCATTTGCCACGCCCACAAGGCGGTGTGCTGGCCGGCACACCAAATGATGGCCGCCTAATTGTTGGTAAACAAAAGTCGACTGCGACCAAGAGTCGGAGTCTGCCAACAATGGAATCGCCAGTGGCGCAACAGGACCTCGCCTCAAATGATGTAATTAAGGCTGGCAGGACACCCTCCCCCTTCCCCCTTTCCCCCTTTGCCTCTCCCCTCTCCTCGTTCCACCAAACCCCTCCGTTCAACGTATTCTTTTCCGACGCCTTGGCCAGCTGCTAATTAGACGTGGGCGTCGAAAGTTAATTACCCAGACTAAGAGAGCAACTCACTTAAGTCCTTTCTGCATGTTCTCACCCACCCTCCCACCAACCCTCTCGCCACCCCCTTCGCCTTATCCTTGGAAAACTCTTCTGCAGAGGACCCAGAATATTGTCACAATTTACCATGCACATATAGATATTAATGTCTGCTTAGTAAATATTGCGGCAAGGACATTAAAGCAAGAAAAATAACAAACGCGTGTTTATATCAACTTGGAAGATGACACAAAATTATTATGGAAAATTTTTGAAATTTGTGTTTTTTTATATCTTTTTACTAAATTTTGTAACCACAAATTGTTAACTCCAAATTTTACTGAAAAAAAGGCATTCCTTGTCAATATTCAATGATTTTTGTGTGTTTTATGGAAATTTAAAGGAGAAAAAATTTTACAGGTACCCCTTTCAAAATTTAAAAAAATTATTTGTCAAGCAAATTTTTTTTAACCTGGTATGCAACTTTTTTAAGGGACTAAAATAACGAAAGAAAAAATTTTCCCCGTCAAAATAAAATCATTTTTAACCATTTTACGCATGTTTTACCGAATGGAAATGTATAAAAAAGCCATGTTTTCTGTATTTCATACACCGAATTGTTCGCCGTGCAGCATCTGCGTCACCGTCTTGGTGCTGAACATCCACTTCCGGTCGCCGCAGACGCACACGATGGCTCCTTGGGTGCGGACCGTGTTCATCAACCAGCTGCCCCGCTTCCTGGTCATGCGGCGTCCGCTGTATCCGATCAGCGAGATGATGTGAGTGTGCCCCACCCGAAAGGGTATACCTTAGATATATGTTAGAGGTTCCCAGAGTAACGTCCTTGGTTCCCTTTCACCCACACAGAAAGTCCTCGCGCCGCCTGATGGTGCGCACCTGCAACGGCCTCGAGCTGAGGGATCAAATACCACCGCTGCCACCGCCGGTGGCCTTGTCGCGGTAAGTTTCAGTTTAGGGTTCACCAATCCGTTCATAATTGAAGGTAAAGGTTGAGCCAGAGGAGAGATCCATCCGCTGTAGTTGTGTCAGGCATTTTAATTGGATGCTATTTATAAATATGTACAGCAAAGGATAATTAATCCTCAAAAAAGTCTTGGCAAGTGTTTATAAGTTTGTAAGGCAAATAGTTTAAATATTATTTATTGAAACAAAGCAAATTCGTTGAGTAAGCTCACACATTTCTTTATTATTTACGGATATAAATGAGTGATTTATTATTATATTATATATCATATAATATTTAGTAATGTCGCATGTTGTTCCTCCATTTAGAATGCACCACAGCCCGAAGACGACTTCGCGGAGCACCTCGCCGCATTTGCAGCACCGCGTGCAGACCTACAACCTGATGGACGAGTGCGGCATGGGAATGGGCATGGGCATGGGCATGGGTATGGGAATGGGCGGGGGGATGGGTGGTGGAGGCGGTGGTGCGTCGACCATCACCGGCCACTTGAGCTCACTGTACCCGCCGACAATGTCGACGGCCAACCAGCAGACCTCGACGACGTCCTCGCTGATCGACGCCCAGTACCACAATCAGTACCAGCAGACGGGCGGCTCGCTGCTCGACCACCCGCTCACGCCCACCAAGTTCCGCCAGATGACCTCCACCTCCAGCCAGACGGGTCAGAATGGCGGCAATGGTGGTGGTGCAACCAACTATCAGAGCGGAGCATCAGGAGCAGGAGGAGGAGGAGGAGGAGTTGGAGGAGGAGGAGGACACTTGTATCGGCAGCAGTCGAGCTGCTCGGCGAACTTTTCGCCGCTGCCGCAACACGCCCACCAGTCGCACGCCTCCACGACGACCAGCGATCTGGGCATGGCCAATCCGAATGTGATAAAGTCGACGACGACGGTTAACTCGGTGGCCACCGCCTCGACGCTGGCGGACTCCTGCTGCAGCGGCACCATCCAGATCCACCAGGGAATGGGCGCCGGTGCCGCCTGTCAGTCGTCCGAGCTGCTGCACCACCAGCAGCTGCACCACCAGCAGTTGCACCACCACCAACAGCAGCAGCAGCAGCAGTCACAGCAGCAGCAGCACCACCACCAGCGACCCACCACTTCGGCAGCAGCAGCGGCAGCGGCGGCAGCGGCAGCAGCAGGCGGTCCCAGCACCTCGGCGGCGGCAGCAGCGGCGGCGGCGGCAGCGGCGGCCGGTACGCCACCACCACCGCCACCGCCGGCGGGCGGTATCTGTGATATTCTGCCCGCCTGCCAGCGCGAGGGCGGGCCGCACTGCTGCTCGGGGCGTGGCAACGTCCGCCAGCGGTGGCACACCTGCCCCGAGCTGCACAAGGCCATGGACGGGGTCACCTACATCGCCGATCAGACGCGCAAGGAGGAGGAGAGCACAAGGGTGAGTGCTTGGCACATTCTAAACAAATATTTACATTTAAGCGGGTTTCGAGAAGAATTCAATATTCAATTCAGGGCTTTACATTTCCAACTTCATTTTTTGTAGCATACTCTTTGGGGCAACAAATATAATTCCCTTTTAAATGGTAAAAGGAAAGTCTTACGCCTTTTTACGGGAGGAAATGCTGCCTTTTATTTTGTTTCTTGGAAGTGAAAAATACTAAGACTTCCATTATTCATAATCAAAAAAGGCAACATTGCGTATGAGTAACATTATTAAAAGACAATGCGCAGATCCTAAAAAGATTTTATTTCTTACATCTAGGTTTTGATATTCGTATTGAAATCCATCAATACCTTACACCTAAGTGGCTAAATGCTTATTCAAAATTTAAAGGCAACAGTGCGTATGAGTGATAAACCTTTAAGCTGTTTATAGAGTGCCGCATAAATACACAACTAAACAGGGCAAACTGTGCCAAAAAACCTTGCTTATTTACAAACCCTTCCCCAAAGCATTTCGTAAAGGCGACATTTTCCACTCTATTAATAATGTATACTCCTTGCCAGCATCGCCAGATGCATTCAACCTTTCGCCGATAGCCCGTAAGCCAATATTGTTCGATATTCCCCAAAAAAAAAAAAAGCTCGAATAATACTTGCTAGCAATAACCTAAGTACACTTAAGAATTTCGATGATTTGGCCAATGTTCCGGGGGAATTGGCTTTAAAAAGGAAATCATTTTTCGTGTCCCATTGGAAAAAGAATTTTTTCCCCAGCTTCTCAGGAATGCCGCAATTGCAGCACGCCAGTGAAAATAAAGAGGAGAAGCGACTGGAAATCCGGAGGAAAAAAAAACCCAAAGAAAGAAAGCAGGACAAGTGGCCCGAAAGCCGCTTAACGTTTGCTCCCGACTGAGACGGAAATACCTGAGACGGAAAGAGACGGAAGGAGACGGACGCTGACGGGGCGGAAAGAGACGGAGATAGATGGAGGGAGTCTGTGTGTGGGCTTTGATGTTAATAAGCCTGGCGCAATAAATTAGAGCGGCCTAAGGCGGGATTTATTGGCACGTCGATAATCGATGGCCAGAGAACTCGACTCGAGGACTCGAGGACTCGACTTGAACCCAAGACTCCGGTAGCCAGTAGCATGTAGTATACCTTGGCCAGGACCCAGTTGTTGATGATGTCCGACTGTCACTGCCACTGCCACTGCCACTGCCCTTTTGTTGACCTTTCCCGCTTGCCCGATGTCCTGGTGTCCCGATGTCCTGGTGACCCGATGTCCTGGTGTCCCGATGTCCTGGTGTCCCGATGTCCTAGTGTCCATATGTGTGTCCGTGGGGCATCGTCTCTATGGGCGCACTTACGCCGGCTGCGCCAAAAGTTTTAATGACTTTTCATGCGCCTTATTGAGCAGCGACTATGGCCAGTCCGGCCATTATACACTCAGCGAAAGTCCATGTTGCATGTTGCATAAAAGCACAGGAATTAATATTGAGAAATATCCTTATAAATAATATTCATCAATCAAAATACTAACAATGGTCCTACTACCACTTCTCCAAGTATTCAACTAATTAAAAATGTTTGAAATCAGTAGAGGGTTTTTCTTCGAGTGCAGCTCCTTGTTCGCCTGCTTGTTCGCGTAGTTAAGAGCATTGCTGTTGCCGCTGTCCTCTCATCATAATGAATGTTTTCTTGTGGCATCGAACAAAATGCCAATAAAAGTATTTTATTAAAATTACGCACACATTCAATCATTATTGGAATGTCCTGCCAGGCTTAGCGGCGATGGCGGATGAGAAGGAGGAGTCCTGGGACTGGGAACTCCCGGACACTTGGACAGAACTAGGGCACCTCCGGGCGGAAAGTGCAGGACAAAGGACACGGGACACGGACACAAGACCCAGGACACCGAATCGAGGAACAGTGTTGTCATCTGCAGATAACCAAAATATGTTCTTATTATTTGATTTATTTTAATTTCAAAACTATATAATATATATATAATTTAAATGTTGCATAATGGTCATTATTTTTACCGCTGAGTTAGTTTGGTTTCTTTGACAATTTTCCAAAAATATATACCACAACATTTATTACAACTTTTAAAAGATAAATAATATCTAGTTTATTTATTTTGTATATTTCTCCTTTTAAATGTATATTAAGTATGGCCTTATCTTGTTCAAAAATCCCATATGGTAAACATTAGTATACCTAAATCGTTGAATATATATTCTCGTATATATATTTGGCTATTAAACGGCCAAACTGACTACACTGTAACATCGAACGCTGAGAAATGCGAGACAGCTTCGCCGGCATTTACATTGAGTGCGTGTCATTTTCGCCACGCCCCCTGGGTGATAAGAGGCGGTGGCAAGGACGGGGAGGGAAGGGGAGGGGAGGGTGGGTAGGGCGTGGCAGCGGACTGACTGGGGAATTAGTCGCAAGACGCGTGGACAAAGATGAACATATTGGCTGGCTTATGAACTCCAGGCCCAGCGAATGAATATCGAATGAATGCCAATCGAAGGGGGGAAATCATCCCTGCTAAAAAATTGAATGTTTTTAAAGACGATCCATTTGAAATATTTTACAAGTGAAAAGGGATTAATAATCTTAAGAGTTGTGGATAGTCATTATTGAAATTGTGTCTGTGTCTGTGGTCCTTTTTGAAATCATTAACTAAACACTTAACTGTGTGTGAATGGGGATATTTGATGGGTGGATGCAGTTCATAAATATTTATGAAATATATTTACCTAACCACCTGTATTTTTTTTACTCCTGCGAACAGGTGAAAGAGGACTGGAAGTACGTGGCCATGGTGCTCGACCGCCTGTTCCTGTGGATCTTCACAATAGCCGTGGTCGTCGGCACCGCCGGCATTATCCTGCAGGCTCCGACGCTCTACGACACCCGGATGCCCATCGATATCAAGCTATCGGAGATCGCCTCGACTACGGCCAAGCCCAATGTGGCCAGGCCCGTGTTGTAAGCGGATCGATAAGTCGATAGATCGATCGATCGATTGCCAGTTTCGCGGAGGGCAAAAACAACACACACCACACACAGTCTGAAGAAGCCAACAAAAGCAACCACAAAAACACAAGTAATGAATGAAATTCGCATTTGTTTTTTCTTTAACAACAACAAAACAACAAAAACCAAAAGAGAGGGGGTAAACAAATAACCAAAAAACTTGTTCCAAAAATAACAACAAAAGAAACGAAGAGGAAGAGGAGAATCCAAGTAACTATAACTATAACATTGTATTTGTTGTATACATAAAAGGTATAACTAACTATAAATAATTTGTACACTAATGTTTAAACAGGCAAAACGATGCTAAACAAAACGGTTTTTTTTCTAGGCAACTTAAATGAACAGAGTCAAACGAAAACAAAACAGCAAAGAACAAAGAATTAAGTAAAACTAGTTCAACTGAAACGAGGCGCAAAACAGTATGCAACAGATAATTAAATACGATTTATGGTAATAATTGAGAGCGAAATTAAATTAGTGAAATTAAATTAGCCTAGCCAAACGTCAAGAATAACGAGGTAAATTGAAAAGAAAAGTGTATTTGTTTAACAAGAAACCGAGGAAATGGAGGACAACATTAGTTAGCTAAGCGAACCAAAATAAAGGAACAGGAAAAAGCCAACAAAAAGGCGTATATAGGTATGTATGTGTGTGTGTGTGTGTGTGTATGTACAGTGAGACAAATTGGAAGAAATGTAACTGAGAATTCCCAATTTATGAAGCTTATCTTTAAAAGTTTTAGGACAAAAAACATTATTCAAATTTAATCTTTTTATCTTCAATTCAATTTCAATTTAGCTTCCCTTACAATTTAAACTTAAGTATTTTTCTAACGCTAGAAATCTCTAGAGATCTTCATAAATTCGGAATTCTTCTTTACAACTCTTTTCTTCGTGTGTCAATGTGTGTGTTGCCGTGTGTGCATGTGTGTGAGTTTGTTGAGTGTGTGTGACTGCAAATGAGGCATGCAAATTAGTGCAAATAAACCGAGGGAAAGTGAGAGAGTGAGACAAGGGGGAAAGTGCAGCCCCGGGCCCCCGGAAAAGCCGGAAAACCCCGAGCCCCCCTCCACGATTTCGCCTTGGGGCAATTAGTTAGCACAAAGCTTTAGTTATTATGCCCAAGTGTACGTGGACCTGTATCTGTATGCGTGTTGGTGCGAGCGCATGTGTGTGCATAGTAAATAATCACCATTAGAAATTCAAATTCAATTTTGGCGCTTGCACTGCCTAATTGGCAAAAACGCGTCCAAGTTGCTCACGTTTTTCTTTTAGCCGCCCAATTAACATTTCCCACGCTCGCCGCACTCATAATTTATGCTAATTTCCGGTTGCATAATTCACTAAAAACGACGGAGCAAAACAAAAAAAAAAAAAAACACAGAACACAAATAACAAGAAGATACCTGCCAAACATAAAAAAGTTGGGCCAAAAGTTTCCTTTGCCTTCGCATTTTTTTCTGCCGTTTGGCGGCGATTGCTTTATTTGCAGCACCGTTTATTTCCCTTACACTTTTTATTGCTCATAAAATCAAATGATGCCTGATTAGGAGGAGCCAACAAGCAAAAAAAAAACAGCAAAAAAGAACAAAAAGGACATCGGCTGCTGGGGAATCCCCCTTTTTTCTTGAACAACCAAAGTTTAAAAACATTAACATGCTTCTGTTAAACGAGGGAAATTTTAACATTCGACAGGCAGCAGAGGTTTCGCTTTTGATTTGCAGCCGAAGATTAGGGATATTTTTTATTGGATGTTTTTTGTTTAAGAAAAAAATAGAAATACGTGTGCATGCTATAAAATTCATAATTTATCTGTAGTTTTGTTTAGCAGAAAAATATTGTCTGTTTTATGAAGCAATAGAAATTTTTATTTCACTTAATTTTATTTATTAATTTTTTATTCATAGATTTTTATTTTCTAATTTTCTTCTAGGTGAGTAACGAAAGCATTTTAGTTTACTTTGTTGCCTGATCCAAAATTACTGCCGAAGGCAACAAAAACCACAATGCGTGTGTCGTCACAAGCAAGTGTCAATCACAGTCACCGCGCTGCAATTGCTTCTGCCACGCCCCCTTCCCATTCCCAGCCCTCTTTCCCCTTCCCCTTTTCCCGTACATATCACACACACACAACACTTTTCCAGTTTTTAATTAAATGAAATGCAAGCGAAGAGTTATAGCCGACAGTGCGCCAGAGGGAGAAAGCAGATGAGTGAAGTGCACACAAAATGAAAAGCCATTAACGAAATATTATATCTGAAGATGGAGAGAGTGGCGATGTCAGCTGAATCCTGTTTGGGATATAAAAACCGCACAAGTTTCGCAAGTTTCTATGCAGAGAGAGAAACAGTTGTTTCCTATAGTTCGAGGTGGGTGTTTTAATTACCTAACAAGAATTCATTTCTAAAAGTTCATAGAGATAGGCAATATTCCAATTTGCAAACTGCATAACCAAGTATATAGTCTTCGAGATCCCCCAACTCTTTACTTCTCCAAATTCCTCTCTTGTTTTTAAGAACATTTCACTTATTAACTATTTTCTTGCCGTGTGGCTTTGATGTTATTTAAGACAAGGCATTTAATAGGTACCCCCAGAAATATATGTACCATAGCTCCAGCGAACTGAGGGAGAAGTAAAACCGGAATGGGGGCAGTTGGAGACCGCAAATCATAATTGTTGCGGGCACACAAGACACAAGGCAAACGAAAAGGGGGGAAATTTTGGTGGGAAGGGGGAGTGGCTGGGTGGCTGGGTGGCTGGGTGGCAGAACTCCTCAGAGAAGTCGTAACAATGCAAACTGTGTGGCCACACACAAAAAGGACATTAGCTCCTGCTCCTTGGCAGTTCGCTTCGCCTTTTGCTTTTGGCTGTTGCTCTGGCTCCTCTGCCTCTTCCTCTTCCTCTGCCTCTGCCTCTGCCTCTGCCTTTGTTTTCCCTTGCTTTGTTTTGTTTCGTTTCGTTCATTTAGGTTTTCTTCTTCATCTGGTTTTCTTTTTTTTATTTCCTCTTCTTTTGGCCGCCAATGAGCGATGCGTATCAGTAGCGAAACGTGGCCAAGAATTCGGCCTATTTGTTTGTTTTCACTTCTGCGGCCTAATGTATTTACAGTGGAATGTCCAATGGCAGGGAAAATTAACTGAACGGCCAGTCCGTCCCGATGGGAAAAGTGAATTAACCAGTTTCCCGGAAGAACCAATTTGCTTTTCTTTCTCTTCAATTACTATCTGCTGATAGCAGAGTTTCAATGAAGACCACTTAAAAATGGAAACTTTAGTGATTCGCAGTGCTCGAGGCTTTCAATTGCATATCTACGATTCCTCCGCAACCGGTTGTAAACTTAAATAATGCACACTCTGTTGAAACATTTAAATCAATGCAGTCCACCCGAAACCATTCCAATAAACCATTCATTTCGAATTAAAATTTAAAGCTTAGCTCGGCAGCAGAACAATGGGAAACCTGCAGCACGCCGATTGAAAGGATCGCAACAGAAAAAAAACGAGAAAAAAATATATATAAAAGAGAGAGGAGAGTGGAGAAGGGAGAAGGCATCGGCTTAGCCGGAAATATCCATCATTGAGCATTTCCCACTGTACCGGCATTTTATCTATGGACCCGAGTGTCGCGTGACGGCCCCCAAACGCAGTGGGCAATACAAAAGCAATCATAAAGTTATAGCCCGGTCGAAACAGTCGCTACTTCGGGCGACTTCCTCGTTGCCTCGTTGGCCATTTCCCACTACCGTTGCCGGTTTTCGGTCCAGTTGCCAGCCAAAAACTGGGAGCAAAAACCAACTTTACACCCTTGGGCGACATTTTCCGCCAGGCAGCCTTTTCCGCACCCACATTCGGGGGCTTCCCCCCTTTCTCCTCTCTCCTCTTAGTGGAAAGTCCTCCCAACCATTTCTCCCCACAATAGTGTTGTCTATCTGTCCTATTTTCCTGATAGATATGTTCTTTTCGCCAAAGCCATTAGCCAAAAAGCAAAAAAAAAGGTGCCAAATAATGGATAATCGAAAGTACGCACTGAAGATATATTTATAAATTTATTTATACCTCACAATTTTAATTGATTGGAAAGTTTTTAAATAGTAGTTGAATTGTCTAAAGATACAAATGAATTGTTTGTTATTTTCTCCTTTTAAGTTTCTGCTTTTGTTGCTTATTGTGGGGTTAAATAACAGAGCCTTGATCATATTCTTTTCACTTAATTTATCTATATATTTAAATAAATATAGTACTGGCATCTCTACATCTGCAGCCTCCCAAGCTTTTCCCTCCCCCAAATCGTTTAATGTGCTATCTATGTTTCTGCTTCTGTTTTCGCCCACCTTTTGGCTCAATAAGAGCGGCGAATTTATTGCTTGCTAATAGGAAAACAGCCTCCCTCTGGACTTTTCCTCGGCTCCACACTTCATTTCCCCCACAGCCCCACAGAAAAATTTCCCGACTGGTCAGGAGGACAAAGTTTGCCGACATTTTTCGTTTTTTTTTGTATTTTTTTTTTTTGGGGGGGGGGGGAGATGGGAGCCCCTAAAGCAGAGGAAAAATATGTTTTCAGCATAATTTCATTCATTATATTTGAATTGTTATTGTTGTTGCTCTGTTGGCGAATGCTGCTGCTCATTTTCAGCATGCTCATTATCGGCCACGCCTCCAAAAATACACAGACACAAAGGCACACCAATACACCGACAGACAAACACACCAACACACCAACACCTTGGACGGGCATTTTGGCTAATTTGAATTTGATTTCATTCGGAAAGTTTGCCGCTTTTGGCATTTGTTTCATGGCGCTGTTTTGATTCGTGCGACAAGTGCAAATGATTGTGTTCGTGAGTTGATTAATTAAAAGTGGATGCGCGATGGTGGGGGAATTGATTTTTATATTTTCGCTAATTCAACAAAAAGTCAAATGGAACATTCCCGTCGCTTCGCAATTATCTGTAACTTAATTGAAATAAATTGCAAATGGTTGAGATGTGTGGCTCTGCTGCAAAGGGAAAGTTGCGAAAATGCCCTGAAAATTCGCTGAATGCATCCATTGTGAAGGCTTAAGAAACTTTTTTGTTCACACTTCTGGGATTAGCAAGGAAGTTCTGTAGTTGTAGAGCTTTAAAACAAATCGAATGCATTTTTAATGTTTTCCTCGAAAATTCAACGAAATGAGAAAGGATAATCAGTTTTTGGCCGCAACGAATTGTCTTGAGATTCGGCGAAAACATCCTTAGCACAAATAAAATGAACCTCTAAGGTTTCACAGGAATAAACAAATTGATGTTCCATAATTAGGGAGTTACGAATACATCGCTCGATCCAAAACTTTTCGCGTGAGTGAGTGTGTGTGCGTGTCATTTATATCACTAGTCACTAAAAAAAAAAGAAAAATAAGGAAAACAAGCAGGCGTTGAGAAAACTTATTTAAAACATATTTATATGAAAATTGGAGCAAGCAAACGAAAAAGAAGAGTATTAGAAAGAAGAGTGTACCATAAAAACGTTTGAATATTTTTTTACAAAACAAAGCGGGAAAAACTAACGATAAAGTATGCCAGGGGTCAAGGGGTTAAACTTTGGACATTAATTGAACTCGACTTTTTGGGGTCGCTAGCATTTGCCGCAAGACATTGTGTGCTCCAACAGTTTATGCATAAACACATAGATATATGAATATATATATATACATATATATATAAAGATTTTTGGGATCGGGGGCATCGCGGGGCCGGCGAAACTAACACTAAAATTATAAACAAGGAAATCGCATAAAGGGAGACATTTTTTTTAGAACGTACCTTAAACAGAACGATTAGAAAGCGTTCACGCAGAACAACTAACACTAATTTTAAAGCATACGTTTAATAGTAAAATTAACATTAAACTAAAACTAAAACCAAAAACATTGATAAGCGATATACACAGCGAAGAAAAATTAGCGAAATTGTTTAAAAATAATGAGCGAAGCAACCCAAAAACGAATTGAATTAACTTTTAAGAACATAACAAAAATTAAAAAAAAAAAAAAGAACAACAAATTAAGAAAAGATATTTAAACAAAGCAAAGAAAAAAACTATAAAATTATACGATTTACAAACCTAAGAAACAAAAAAAAAAACAATTGTAAAAATAGAGACAACTTTTTTTTTGCTCAAAGCCAGGGGGCAATCCCTCACCTCATTCACTTTCCCCAAGAAAATTTAACACAAGAATAAAATATATTTCGCGGCACGTAAAAATTTGTTCGTCACGAAGGTAAACCACAAAAATCCAACACTAAAAGATTTTCTAAACCAAACATTTTGCAAGGATTGGCCAACCCAAAACAAAATAATGTTAAAAAAATAAACTAAAGCCAAAACAAAAAGTAAAACCACAAGAAGATAAGAAAAAAACAAAAGAAATTATTATTAAAGCAAAAACTTAGCTTCTAGTGAGAGAATTTTTAAAACAGAGAAAACAGAAACGATAGAAAAACTGCCCCGAAAACCAAATTAAGAAACAGTGTTAACAAATCGAGGAAAGATAAATATTTAAATGGAATCATAGGATCGGCCAGCCGACACTGTAATACCCTTGCAATCGATTGCCTATAACTCTGAATAAAAATCGCCCAAACTCTTGTTCCAAGTATTTAAGACGTTTCAAAGCTTGAAAACAATTTTTGTATTTAAAATGAGCAACGATTCTTATTTGGATTGTAGAACAATAAGTAACTAAAGAATACATTAAACATCTTGTAAAAAAAAAAAACTAATGTTTTGTATATTTTTCATTAGCAAGATCCATTTTTGCAAGCAAAATTTTAAAACGATTGCAAGGATATGGAGTAACGTGTTTCTAAACAAAAAAGGCCAAACCTAAAACCAAATGAGAAACCGAAATTCAACTAGAGAATTCTTTTCAAATATCAAATAAAGCAAGAAAATAAATAATATAATATTTCAGCCACGAAAAGAAACCCAAATAAAGTTAAGAAGTAAATAAAACGAAGGCAACCAACCAGTAACAACAACACACACATTTCAATTGCGCTCGTTTAGCCCATATATAGTATATTTCAATTAAAAAGAACGAAAAAAAAACACATTACAATATTTCAATATGTCATTAAGTCACAGCGAATAAACAACAACAATAAGTTGAAGGCGACTTACAAATCTAAAGGATAGAGAATCTGCGTTCGCGTGTGCGAGGGAGAGAGAGAGAGAGAGAGTTGGGGAGATATAGTAACTATATATGTATATCAGCCGAAGCGATCTCCGTTGGCGCCGAATTCGGGCGATATTTTATTGTATTTTGTTAAGGGGTTTCAGCCGCTTGGTTAATGCGTGTTTGCCAAATCGTGATTGGTTAAGATTCAAAATTTATCTAGAGGTTAAATAAATAATTAATTAACTAGTTAAAACAGCGTTACAATTTTTCTATTATAATACGTTTCGTAGAGTGCACTTGGCACCTATCAAGATCTAAAATTATTTTAAATATTCCTAGTACGTTATCTAATGAGCCTCATTATTTGATTTATATTTTGATTTTAGCATCTACAATTTAGAATTTAATTTTGGCTTATCAAAAAAACAAGATCAAAGCCACAAGAAAAATGGTATCATTTCACATAGCTAGCTTTTTGATTTTGATCTTAAGATTTTGAACAAACTTGTGATCTTTAAGGTTGCCAATGTGCACTGTACGTTAATCACGACTTAGCAAACTAACATAAACCTCAACTTGACTGTGAGAGAGAGCGCTACATATAGCATATAGCATATAGCCAGTGGGAGGTAGTTTCAACTTTGTGAATTTATAGCCTAAGCAGAACTTGTGTCTTTTTTGGTTTAAGGAAATGTGTGTCTACGTGTGTAAGAGTGTGCGAGGTCCTGGCTGCTCAAGTTTATTAGGTATCGGTGGCCAGGTCATCGTTGTCATCCTCCGGCTCGTGGCCACGTCCCTCGCGAATCCGCTTCAACTTGCGCTTCAGCATCATGACGCCTGCAAGGGAAATCAGTTGCATGAACCAATAAATCATCTGCTGATTGGCGTTGAAAGCTTACATTTTATGGCCTGGAAGGTTTTGGCCGAGGCCGACGTGGTTTCCGAGGGCAGCGAGTTGGACGTGGTTCTAATGTGGGCCAGCTTCACCTCCAAATAGGCCTTCTTCAGCGTCTTGTAGTGGCGGAACTCGCTGGTATCCTTGACCAAGATGCACCTACAGAAAACAATACAAAAGTTAGCTTTCGAATGCAATAATAGGTGGGGGAGAAACTCTTACTTTGCTGCCGATCCTTCGCCCGAACAATCCGATGGTGCGGTGTGGTAAATCTGATGGTAGAAGTACTGCAGCACCGGGGAGTTCCAAATCGAGAGGCCGTACCACAACCAAATGGCCACGTTCAAGGGCAGCTTGAAGTTCTTGGCGAAGAGCGTGGGTATGAAGTACTTGAAGGGCAGCAGGTTGACAAACACGTGTGCCCACACCACGATCCGCAGGCCAAGGAAAAACTGGTAGATCAGCCGCTGCGCATTGGTGCTGGGCAGGACCAACAAGGCCAGCACCTCGGTGAGTATGCTGTACAGACCCACCGTCAGATTCAGGCCCACAAAGTAGTTCTCGTACCTGAAAACAATTCGCAAGCATTGTTTTTATCAGTGACAATGAACTTTTGCTGCGTTGGCTTTACTTTTCTGCGATGATAATAAGTGTGGTTATATTTTTTAAAAACAAGAAAGCACTTTCATCAGCATTACATATTCGCTGGATATTTAAGTTCCTATTGATAAGCACCTACATATGATTTTCAGTAAGAATGGGATTAATATATTGAGCTTACGGTCTTACAACTGAAAACTTTATGGTTTTGGGTAGTTTTTCAAATGGCCCCTCTTTTAGGGACCAGGCCAAAAGCAAACACGTTTCGACTTGCCTGTAAACATCGATGGCGATGAGAGCCAGCAGGTAGAGTCCCTTGGAGCCCACCTCCAGGAAATCGGCGTCCTTGAAGTCCAGCCACGCCCCATGCAGGTAGAACGTGATGATGAAGATCGAGTAGAACTGGAACTTCTCCGCCTGGTACGACCGATAGAAGATCAGGTTGTCCGAGGAGTAGAACAGCGAGTAGCGTCCCTGGTTCTTCATCAGCTGCGGCAGGATCATGAACTCGTTGTAGAAGTGCAGGAACAGGCAGCTGGCCGCATAGAAAGCGATGTTCCAGATCACGCGCGCGAACAGCCGCCGCTGAAAGTGCTTCATGTTCGACGACTTGAGGAAGAACTGCAACGAGGGAGGAGAGGTGGAGGATGGGCAAGCAGTCGAGCGTTGGTCTCGGGTCGTTACAGATAATGGTTTATGGTCAGCGCCGAGCGGTCGACGGTCAACCCATTATGCTATCGCTGATTCCAGGAGTGGAGTGCTATCAAAATGGGAATAAGAAACTTTCTCGGGGGATGCAAATTACTTTTTACCCAATCATGCACTTTAAAAACTGGTGAACATCAATATTAATATTATTACATTTTGTTTGTTTGGGGATAAGCAATCAATTTCGTTGAGTACGTGCGAGTCAACCTATCATTTGCCGGTAACGTGTGGTTGAAATCTACCGATACTTCCTGTAAACTCGCACGTTTGTCGATTTTAAACGGTTCCAAAGTGTTGTAAATTAGAAATTTTGATAGCCCCACTCGGGTGGCATCCCGTTTGACCCCCAGATCCGTCACCGTGTCCGCTCTGTTTATTTATAAACGACAATTTGGCCGAGCAACCCCTCAAAAGAATCGTGCAATCGGAGGTGCCACATCGGGTTTTCGGGAATCAAATCACGTTCGCCCGGAAACAGGACCCACCTGGAAGAGCCGCTGGAAGGCGTAGTAGCCGCAGGACAGCGACACAAATATCCAGAAGACCCCGTTTATCAGGTAGTAGAGGTCTATATCCCGAACCATCGAATCGAAGCGGTCGTTGGTGATTAGATACTTCAGCGGCAGGAAGAAGTTGCTGACCTCCGCCCAGTAGTCGGGCGGACCGGCCTTCATGTCCAGTATGGAGGTCATGCTGCTCCTTCAGCGGGATTTCCCTTTCGGCCGCCCCAGACTCGCGATTGGATTTTTCTTGTTTTTCCGATTTTTTTTTGTTGTTTTCTTTTTTGTCGCGACTTAGCCCAGATTCGGCATGGTGTTGGTCAACGCCGCGTGGCGAACAGCTGACGCCTGGCTAACAGTGACAGTGTTGGCAAGCCGGTCTCAGCTCTGTTACGGTTGACAGTGGGCGCGAAAATTAAATTTCTGCAAATACTCGAACCACATTTACTATTTAACTTATCCCTAGCAACATGACATCCGCCTTGGCCAAAATCGAGGACTTTCCCGCCGATCCCGTGGAGTTTTTTAAGGAGATCCTACAGGCAGCAGCCAAAGAACATCCGGAGGGATTCATACAGGAGATGAATCTAGCCACACTGGACGAGGAATATGGAGTGCTCAATCGAACCGTTTTGTATCGAGGTCTCACCCCGGATAACTTTGTGTTCTACATAACGCATCGGTATACCCGCAACTTCAAGAACCTCCAAGCCAATCCCAAAGTCTGCATTACCTTCTATATGCCGGAAGTCAAGGATAAAACCGGAAAGGGTAGTTCCTGGCAGGTGCGTCTGATTGGAGCCACAGCCGTCGAGCTTCCCGACAGCGAAATGGATGCCCTATGGGCCAAAGAGAATTTGGCGGCCCAAATCAGGGGTCACATCTGCCCCTGCGGAGTGCCCGTGAATTACGATGAACTCAAGGCGAAACACGATCTATTCCTGAAGGAACATAGTGGCAAACCCATCGAAAGGCCGAAAACCTAGTGAGTACATAATATAATTGATCAATAATTTGGTTGTTCTTTTTATTTGGCAATTTCTTTTTTTAATTCTCAAATTTGTATTACTTATGAATGTAAATACCTTTCAGTACCGCTTGGAAATTCCAGCCGCAGCGATGGGACTTTCTGAAAGTGGGTATAAATGAAATTGCCGATCGCGTGCAGTATCGCCTGCAAAGCGACGGAAAATGGGAGTCCATGCATGTAGCCACCTAAATAAATGAAAACCCCACCCACAAATAATAAACTCCGATTTTAGACGATTTAATTTTATTCAACAATATCTTTCTACAAACAGCTAAACATAGATTCTAACAACTAAATTTGCTTCCTTTTCGACATGTTTAACATACAATTACAACATAGTTAATAAATATTACACAAAACAGCAAAAAAAAGGACGTTTAAAGAATAGTTAGAGTAGAGTTAGGTTCGAGTAACATTAGAGCAGGTTAGTTACATACATATTTATGCTTAATTGGTTGCTACACACTCATAATACCCAGTGAGTTCGGTTCCGTTTTCTACACAAATGCTGGTGGGGGCGTGGCGCCGCCTACCTTGGGGACTACACCGCGCTGATCGTCTCGCGGATCCATGCGGCATTCGAGGCGATCTTGTCGTACATCCTGGGCCGTTCCACGCCCGTTGGCCCGCAGGCGATCCTCCACGACGAGACCCCTATTAAAGCCCACTGGTTCGTTCCAGGGATCAGACACTGAACGGGTGCTCCCGAATACTCCTCTTGCTGTAAGTAAACAAAATCATTAAAACATGGGATATAATAAGTGGGGGATAATATTTGTTCGATGCTTGCAAAAAATTAATTTTCTAATTTTTAATTTAAAATGCCCTTTATGATCCCTATAAAGTATGCAATGATTTGTTGCATCATCAAAATCTAAAAGAAAGTTTCAATTTTGAATTTACAAAAATGTTTAAATAATATTACTAGTACCTAACTAAAAAAATTATTTGGTGAAGTTAGGAATTATAATTTTTAATTTATGAATTTATACTAAATAAAAATAAAAATATTGTATTAAATTCAGTAAAAAAATTATTTCAAAGAAAAAAAATTGGTCCACTCTATCGAATTAATTTCACCATAGAAGTAAACTCGAGGCAACCCCAATTGGCGCTCGTGACGTCACACGCACGCGACATGCAGAAACGCGTTCTGTGTAAAACAACAACTACAAGATCAGTCGAAACAAAAATTGAATGAGTAATAGGAGAGACTCTCTCCCTAACTCTCTCCCGCTTACTCTCCCCAACTGCCATTTGGGTGAGCACGAGCGAAAACTCACACTGGCAGGCAGACACACATTACCAACCCCCGTTACCTGCGAAGGTTTACCTAGGATAGCAAAAACAACAACGGCCAAGAGTGCAGCTGCAGGCAGACAAAAGAAAAAGGCAGAATAATATAAAAGGGAGCGCTGTCAGTTGCATTCTATTCATTCGAGCAAAAACTGTCCAAGCGAACACGTCGCGGCCAAGAGTGATAGAAGAAAGTGATCAAGATCAAAGTGATATTTAGTTTACTATACGAAAATCAAAGTATGGCGGATACCAAGAGCAGCTTGAAGATCCTATTCCGAGGCAAAACGAACCTCATCACTTGTGGACTCTCCAACACCTACGAAGAGGTCATCTCCCAAGGTGAGTCACATACAAATATAGTGGCATCTTTTGCAAAGTGATTTCGATCCAAACATTAAAATCATAAAATCTTGGCTTAAGTACACAAACAATAGTAAAAACTGTTCTTAAAACAATATTTACGTTTTTCATTTAATTTTGATTATTATTAACTTATAAACGAAATTAAATTCAGTCTTTGCAAAATAAAGTGCACCAAATACATTTACATACGTACATATTTACATATGTATGTTTTAATAAACGAACATATGTATGTATGTACATTGCGTTTACCAAATCCCTTATTTTTTGTTTTTTAAGTATTTTAAAAACCACAAATTGCTATAAATTAATCCGATCAAATAACTAATCTTTTGTCTTTTCTAGCCATATCCCGTTTCGGTATCCCCAAGGATCAGAGGGACGCCCTGATTCTGACCAATGGCGAGGACTACGTTTTCGAGGCTCATTTGCTGGAGTATTTCCTTCTCCTGTTTCCCTGCCCGGAGATGACCTTTCATTTGAGGATCGACTGGTCGCTGATGCGGCGAAGTCTTAGTCAAATTGAGTCCCGCAAGCGAAAGCGTCCAATCGACCAGGACCAGGATCAGGATAAGGCTGATGAACAGAAAACGGAAGAAGACGAAGAAAAGGAGCCACCGATGCAGGAGTACAAGCCGGTGCCCGTTTACCGGATGAACTGCTTCCTGGGATCGCTGCCCAGTTCAGGAGCTGTTCCCGTTCATCGCCAGAATAGCTTCCTCAGGGAGCAACCGCAGCAGGTGGTCGAGATTCCCCTGCCCCGATTGCAGGACGAGGATCTTCAACAGCAGGAGCCACTGAAGAAGCGCCTTCGCTTGGAGGCCTGCGGAAAGTCCAGACGCACTGCGTCCACCTCAGTAGTTTCCCCCCAAGTTCCTGTCATGCGCTCGATTCGCATCTGAGTCGCTGATCAGCATTTGTACATAGCTATAGTACGTATACGATACTCCACTCAAATGTAGTCATAAGCTAAATGGTTGAACCGCTGTTCCTAAGACTAACTCTAATTCCTATCACACCAAACAATCGTCCAAAATCTAATGTAAATAACTAGGTATACTAAATATTTTTGTTAATATTTTAAGTGACAGGTTTTTTCTACCCTGTCTGCTGTCTTTGGGCAGCATATAATTTAAGATTTAACTGATTACCTAATTCTTTTAGTTTCGAAAAACAAACTCACTTTTATATAAATTAATCTCACGTACAATTCCATTTTGGCTCTTTTTACAAATTACTTTTTCAATTGAAATTATTTTATGGATTCACGAAATCTTTTAATTTAAAAAACAAATGTACTCTTTTTAATGCAAATATCTTCTTTCAATTCAAACAACATCCTGAACAATACTTTGCTAATTTTTAAGACTTTTAGTCACCTTGAAATGTTAAAATTCAATAAAAATAAAGTAAATATATTTTTCAAAATTATTTAAAGCATTGCAAATACTTTTGTCTCTGAATTTGTTAAGTAGTGTTTACTCACCGTGCAGTCGTACTTCTGGTAGGTGGCCTCCATGCACATGGAGTTCACGGTGGCGATGGACACGTTCTCGCAGGGCGCCATGTCGCCAATCTTGAGCTGGACCCGCTGCAGGTGATCCCGCTGCCTGGACCACCCGAGGGTGTTGCAGTTCGTCCAGACCTGTTCCTGGGCAGCGGGAACGACTGCCGAAACGGCTACGGGTGCCTTGGTGGCTATCCTGGCCGAGGATGTGGCAGGGGATCCCGCTGAGGAGGAGCCACCGCCGCCGTAGTAGTTCACCTGGGGAGCATGATCCGGAAGGGGATAGGCGTCCAGTTCCTGGTGGAGAGCCTCGGCCTTCGGCATGTAGGAGGCGGCTGCCTCGGCCCCGAAGTTATCCTCCCCGCCGTCCTGCTCCTCCTCCTCCTGGTTCTCCGTGGAGCTGTCCAGCTGCTCCTGCGAGGGGATCAGGAAGAACTGCTGGTTCTCCGCCGACAATCGACTGCTCCTCTGCTGCACCGGCAGCTGTCCCTCCAGCCGCTCCGCCACCGGCACATGGGATCTCCTTTGTGCGGGCTGCTGCTGGAGCAACCGACGCTGCAGTGCGTCCGGCAGGCAGATGGGTCGCACGTGGTCCGAGTAGCTGACCGGCGTCTCGAGGCGCACCAGTGCCGCCGTCGATCCCTCCACCGGACTCTTGATCATGCCGATGATGCGCCGCCTCTGCGTCCACGGCGCCTTCGCCGAGAGACGCACTGCACCCACGATGGCCATCCAGGTGGCGCGCGGCTGGCCCTGGAAACAGCCCTCGGTGGTGAGGACCCAGTCCTGCGAGATCAGCGTGCCGTCGCAGACGTGGATGTCCTCGCGGAAGAGGGCCACCAGCCAGGGCCAATCCCCGGGCGCCGACATCTTCGGCAGCGACAGATGTTGCTTGGCGTTGAAGAGCGCCGACTGGACGCCGCAGCGCAGCTCCCCACAGCCCACGTAGAGGACCTGCCGCCGCGGACAGTGCGTCCTGATGAAGCTGATCTCCGGCGCATGCGGATCCAGGACACGCACGTAGTCGTTCAGCTGCTCCGTGTCGTTCTGCACGTCGAAGATCTCAACGGATCTGTGGAGGAGCGAAAAATTTTAATGGTAAATGCATCTGAATCCTTTGAAAAATCTATGTATATATTATAAATAGATATCCTTACTCGTATCCCAGCGACTTGCAGAGCGACTCGGAGACGGTCTGGCGCACCACCAGCTTGGAATCGCCCTCCAGTCCCTCGGCGCACAGTTTTCCCACCACTCCCTTTTCGGAGAAGACGGCGTATCCGGCGGAGTGGAAGCGGGAGAGGTACGGAACCAGGGGCTCCGGCTGCAGCAGATCAGCAGCCAGCGGAGCTATGGAAACTGTAAGTAACAAGTCAATTATGATTACAGATTAATAGTCTCAAATTGGAAAAAGAGTATATATTATAATCCCCTCGGAAATATCTACTAAAATAGGCCCATAAGTCTTTAAAATGTAATGCCTCTTTAAAATGTAATTAAAATAAGAAAACTTATGGACTGAAAACTAGAGAATTTTTGGTCCATTTTCAACAACCCCATTTCATTGAAATTTGGAGGAGGGGTTGTATCATAAAAATTAAAAAAAAAACGACCAAAAAATAAATAATTTTTTTCTTGTTTTGTAATCGTTCTTTAGGTCATGGCTGTGGCAAAGAACAGACAGAAGGTCTGCTGCGAACTGGTCTCCCAACTCCTCTGGGAAATCCACATAGCATCAGCCTAGCCAGCGAACGGGGACACAGCGTTGGATATTAAATTAAAGAATAGTTAATTGACTAGAGTCGCATGTAAGACTCACAAATTTACGGTTTAAGCCTAGGGAATAGTTATACTAAATAATGTATAATAATAATATTAATAATAAATAAACTAAAACTATTGCAATTGTATTATACTTTTGGGGGCTCCCCCTCTCTCAATTGGAAAATCGTAAGAGTACCACCTACAATTGTATTTTGTTCGCCTGGTACTTCAAATGATTTTGACGAAACCAGTGGGAATTCTTAGATTTCAAATACCAGGCAAACAGAATTCATTAGATTGTTTCTGGCCCAAATAACAGACAAATTACCAATGGAAAAAGTTTTTTTTTGCCCAAAACTACAAAAAATGGCTAAAAAAAAAACCCATTTTTTTGGAATATCTGAGAAAGTACTCTCCCAAATGTGGAGTGGCATACATCGTTGAATTCGTAATAAAATTCTGATTCCGATGGTATAAACACCCAAAAAAGTGGAAATTTTTTTTTAATCGTCCAAAAAGTGATTGGGCTCGTTAACTGTGGTCATGAGGTGCTCAAAACAGTGTTTGGTTCCGCTGTAAGTCACTAATTGGCCTTATAACAACCAAAAAACCACTCAAAATATAGTGTTTTCAACCGGAATTGTCAACTAATCTCAAATTAGCTTTTATTAACTAACTGAAGAATCATAATTTTGGTTTTTGATCTTTTGTGTGGGAACTATCCGATATAGTCGCCCGATCGGGCCCGTTCCGACTTATATACTGCGTGCAATAACTACACAACTTTTGGTAGAGTTTCAGCCAGATAGTTTTAAAACTGATAGACTAGTTTACAGACAGACGTATTTTGATTCAGATCGTGATGCTGATCAAGAATATATACACTTTATGGGGTCTGAGGCTTCTCCTTTACTGACTGAAATTATAATACCCCCCCGCAATGGTATAAAAAGTGGCCTCATTCACAAAACAAAAACCTTCGCAAAGATTTAAAGCGCGAGATTTCAGTGGCCTCCCCCTTCGGCAGATATTTATTCCCGACCGGATAGCTCCCTCCAAGGGCAGCCCATTACTTACGGCAATCCTTTTCATCGGCTCCATCCGGACAGTCGGCCTTGCCGTCGCAGCGCGCCTTCCGCGGCACGCAGGCCCGGCCACGCCCACAATAGAGGGCGTTGGGGGAGCAGAAGGCGCAGCTGCGCTCGTCGGACAAGTCGGGGCAATCGGCGTAGCCGTCGCAGAGGCGCGGACTCTGGACATTGGACTGCATGTCGCTGACGCAGTGCGGCTTCTGGTGGCACGACTGGGTGCCCGTGGACTCCGGGAAGCGTTCGCAGTCGAAGAAGTGCCGGAAGCGCTGCGGCAGCCGACCGCCGCATCCGGCCATGAAGGACTCGCAGTACTCGCGGCAAATCTGGCCGGGAGTGGGCTGCAAATCGGCGCCGTGGGTGTCGCATGGTGGCTGGAGCAGGCGGCACACGAAGTCGTACGCCTCCCGATGGCACTCGCCGTCGACCAGTTCCCGGAACACAATCACATCCTCCGCCAGCTGCTCGTAGCTGGCGTGGCCCAGCAGATTCGGGTAGGTGGTGATGTTGTAGCCCACCTGGCGGCAGTACGGCAGCTCCAGTGGCGAACAGCGGCGCGGCGGAGCCGGAGTGGTGGTCACCACCGGCTCGGTGGTCTCATCGTGCCCGCCCAGCGGCGAGCTGGACATCACGGGCTCCTCGATCAAACCGGTGGTCTCCTTGATGCTCAGACTGGCCACATCCACCGTCATGTTGGCGAAGTGGCGGCGCTGCTGCGGCGGCTGGGTCATCTCCTCGTGGAAGAGGGCCAGGAGGTCGCCACTGCTCACCAGACCCGCATAAGGATCGAATATCATGTTGAAGTGCACGATTATGTTGTTGTTGTCCTCACTGCTGCGGTTTGAAGAAAAGAAAGTTATATATTGCAAAAGGTAAGAGGCAAACCAAATATATAAATATTATATATCTATATATATATTATATTATATAAATATATATAAATTTATACTCCTCAAAACTAATTAATTTATTTAATATTTATTTATTCTTAAATATTCATCAACCAATTCCAATCAATCTCTCCTTTAAACTCACCCATCTAGAGCCAGAATCTCGCTGCCCTCGTAGGCTTCCCTCAAGTCGGATCTCCGCAGGGTGAGATTTATGCGCTCCCGATAATCGCGCGCCTTGTGCTGGAACCTCATCGAGTTCTGGTTGGCCAGCTCCATGTTCCACTTGTCGTTCAGCACCATGAAGCGGCCACGGAAAACGCGATCCGGCAGCGGCTCCGGCCGGAAATAGGTGTCTTCGGGAGGTAAGCAGTTCATTAATAAAATTCGTATAAGAAAGACTAAAAGCTAAGGGTGTGTTATTAGTTTTCGTATTATTAAAAATTCTGAATAAAAGATTATTTTAAATGCAACCTAAATAAAAAAAAAATTTGAAATGTTTATATCATTTAAATGTCATTATTAAGTGAATTTTATGTCTGAATTAAATGTCTTCCTATCTATAAAATTCTACAATTATTTGAATGTTTTTCTAAAGCAACTTTATTGTGTATAAATTTATCATTATTTCTTTTCAGATTCCAACTTACATCCCACATAGACGAAGACGCCGGCGACGAGGAGGGCGATGAGGAATCCGGCGATGACGGCGCAGCCGCACTTTTGGCCGTCGCCCAGTTTCCGGCGGGTGAAGCGGATGTCCGAGTCGGTGGACAGGACGGACTCGGACTTTCTCCTCAGGTTGTGGTTGTGCTGGTGCATGTGGAGGTGGTGTTCCCGTTCCCTCTCCCTCTCCCTGTCCCTGTCCCTGTCCCTTTCCCTCTCTCTGTCCCTTTCCCTTTCCCTCTCCCGGTCTCTGTCCCGCTCGCGATCCCTGTCCCGATCTCTTTCCCGCTCCCTTTCCCGCTGCTGTGTCGTCTCCAGTGGTGATCCATTGGCGGTGGCTACTCCTCCTCCTCCTCCTCCTGCTCCTGCTCCTGCTATTCCCCCACCACTTAGTACTCCAACTGCAGCCGCAGAAGCCGGCGTTCCGTTGCCGTGACTGTGGTGCGGCTTGTGGTGCCTCGTGCATCGGGTGTTGTGGAAAACCTTTGGCGGCTGGGCCGTGGTGCCCACACCAAGTCCGCCGCCATTCGGATTGGGATTGCTCTGGACAATGCCCTGCGAAAAGCCGAAAAATGATACCGAAAAAAAAGAGAGAGAAAAACACAAAGTTAACACTCGTATTCCATCTGTATCGAGCACTTTTCGGCGGACTCAATAATTAAGCAAGGTCGCTGACCAGCTAAGCGCCTTAAATGCTGTTGATTTTTCAGCCAAATCATGCCGTTAAATCAAATCACGGAACGAAGCTGCTGAGAAAACTCTGAAACAACACCCAAAAAAACAAAAAAAAATACATACTCGAAAAACTCGCACTTGAAAATGATTTTTTTTTTTGGCAAAGCTCTAATGCCGCTGCAGCATGCAAATGCAACATGCAACATTTAGATTTTAAGCGAGGAAGCAACTGCATTAATTAAGGAAATTCGTATAACATTGCGGACCGACTTTTGTGAGTATTTTCTGGTTACTTTTTGTTTTAACTAATTAATTGAAATCACCTGCGTTGCCAATTTAATGAAGCGTAAGAGGGCGTTGCCGGAGATAATTTGAAAAGTAATTAATACTAATTGGTGAACTTTCTGCTTTAAAATAATTTCACATTTACCCAAGCTACTTTCAAGTGGAGCTGCCCTAAGGTATTTTCCTGTTTGAATTCTGATATACTGGGCCAAAATGAAATAATTAATCATGGCTGGATAATCTCCACCTTTTTAACAGTTTTGTTTTGTTATTGTTGTTTTTGTTTCTTTATTATTTTTTAGCCAGGCTTAAATAGCACGTAACATAGCGGACGAAGAGACGAGGGAATTGGCTTTTATGTTGCAGTTGCGAAAGCGGCTAAAACAGAAAACAGAACGCAGACACGGGCACAATTTAGAAAAACAATTAAAGCGCAACTAAGGTAAGAGGAAAAAACCACTGCTGCCTGCTGCCTGCTGCCTGCTGCCTGCTGCTGTTGCCACCGCTTTTCTTGGGGCCAACACTAAAACGGGTCAGCACTCGGCCCAGTTTCAGTTTTCCTCGTCTGCTGCGTGATTCCATGTGATGTGATGCTGCCAACTCAACACTGGCAGTAACAAAAACAACTACAACAACAACAAAAACAATAAGCATTGCAATAACAATAACAATGCAAAATAAAGTCCAGTGAACAACATGTAATTAAACTCGAATGGCTTCCTCGTTTCATAATCTCATCGCATCGGTCAACACTTTTCGCCGGCCAATTCGACTCTTAACACTTTTACGCACTTTGGCACTCGGCCGCCCAGTTTCCCAATCACACGCCACATTTCACTAATTATTTGTTGTTTACTGCCGAAGAAGTGTTGAAAAATAACGGAGAAATGACTTGGCTTGTTCGGCAGTATAAGCTGATTTACAAATAGTCAACACTAATTATTTTTTTCATTTTTGTGTGGTTAATAATGACTCAAAACATCCAATTTTTTAAAAAAAAATTTATATACAAATTAAAAGTTTTATTAGTACTCTCTCTTCAAGATTCTTGGTGAGTGACTAACACCATCGTAGGGTTAAAGATCATCAGAGCATCAGTGTTTTTGCAATTGTATGAGCCAAAAGTCAGTCGGCCGCATAACGGTAACGTGCGCGGCGCACGTGCAACGATATTTTCTTTCGCAGTTACCTCATTTCATTTCGCACTTTTCGCACTTCGCGCATTTTCCGCATTTTCCGTATTTACCGCCCACACCACTTTCGCTAGCTTGGGGTTTTTCTTAATTTCCTTAATTACCGCATAACTAATTGCGCTTACCTTCCAGTTTTTACCGTTCGTTTGCATGCTCTTGTCTTTGTTGCGATTGCTGCAGTTGTTGTTGTTGTTCTTCTTATCAGCGGCCGCCATATTTGCGGCACTTGCATTGGTATTGGTGGCCGCCAACGAGGCGGATGATTTATCCACGTCGCGAGATTTTTTCATCTGCAAATCAAAAGGAATTACAAATTGGTAAACATTTTAAAGCGGAAAATTTACTTAATAAGTTCTAAATAACATACAACAATAATTCTTTTTTTAAAGGGATGGCCTCCTAAATCTGTGAGGTGTTAATTAAGAAACAACAAAGGCAGTTCCCGGAACCTCTATCTTAAAATGATCAATATATATTTGTTACTTTTGACAAGAATTTGTTTGACTTGCACAAAAACGAACAGATTAGTAGACAAATTGCAACGAAATCTATACAAAGAAAACTTAATTTTCTCAGTTAGGAACAACTAATTTATCAAGCTTTATGCATCAGTTTGCGCTGCTATCTATCGCCGGAGCCCCAAACAAATTTTGGCTTAGGTTAATAACAATCGCCCACGGCAAAACTAGTTATCTTTGTTAGGAGCACAGTAAACCGAAAACAATAAACATACAAAACACAGTGGTCATCAAGACATTAGCCTATGTTTTTACTTCTGATTTAATCAGTTTCACTTTCTTTTGCAGAAATGTTTGAACCGAATGTAATTTAATACAAGTCCGCTTATGCAATGTAAAAGCATTTCCCAATCGCATTCGATTATAAATTATTTCCATCACACGCTTTCCCACATTACGAAGTGACAAACGGTGTAATTAAAAATACGTCACAAGCGTAATTGCCCCCTTTGGCTTTGGCTATAAATAACTCGCAAAGGAGAAGGTATTCCGGGAGTTCACTGTACCGCGCGATCAGCCGGCCAGCGAGTGGCGAAAAGCAACACAACCCATTGTCGAATTGTCAGGTTGTCGGATTGTTGGATTGTCGGATCGCCGGAGTTGGAGAGTTGGAAACCCGGTAATGGAGACGACATGCGCCGGACGCCCGAAACCAAGCGACTAACCAACCGGACAGGTGCTAATTGTGCGACTACGAATTTAGCACGGTCAGTACCGCCGACCACCGACCGCCGACCGCCGACCGCCGACCGCTCCCCCCTCCTTCCGCCAAACAATCTCCGTTCAGCGCCCTCTGGGCCATTTAAACTTGGCTCGAAAACACCAACCAAAAAAAGAAGTCAAAAAAAGGTGAGTAAAGCTTGCTCCAGTTTTTAGCCAGCGAAAGACCAAAAGCCATAATGCAAGCGGCCCAATGTCAAGAAAAGAAAGTTTCATTGCTGGTTTTTCGCTGCTTATTGTTTATTTATTTCAATTCGTTTAGCATATTTACATATTTTTGATTATTCGCTGGCCCGCTTGTGGCTTTGCTCCCATTGTTGGCCGCCTATTTCGGTCAGTGTTCTCTGGTAACCGAGATTTTCGGGGGGTTAAGAGCTCGCATTTTGGTATGTGGGCTTCTGAAAACCTACTAATCACACACGTGATGGCATCGGGGTGTTACGTCAACCGGGCTTTAAAAAATAATGGATGGCTGTTATTCTGGGAAATGAAAGTTGGTGAAAAGGGAAACCACGAGGAAGAACAAGATGAAGTATCTGCTTTAACATTTCATTGCTGATTTACTTTTAAAAGTGAACGAATATTATAATGAAGAGCAACTGCTTGGGAATGCTATTGTTTTTAGCGGTAGCTAATCTTAATAATCAGCTTTTCATACATTGCTAAGCAAAGAGCAGTAGCGCTGCGTGTTTATGTGAAAATCGGGTAATCAATAAAATTCCGTGACAAGGGCGCCCGTTGAATTCGGTCATGAGTGCGGCCACTTTCCTTTTCAAACAAAACCGAATAAGAAATTCCGAAAAATCTCGCTGCAACTTTCTTCGCTTCGCTGCGAAGAGCATAAGGTCAACCCGTCTGGAGTTGGCGACTCTTGGGAGGCTTAGGCTTATGCTTCGGCTTTGGCTTTCGATATGTGGCAGGGTTCAAAAGACTGAGGCCACGAACCCGTTTTCCCATCTCCATTTCCATTTCCACATTGACAAGTGTCATTCGAGGAAAAGCGAAGAAGCTTCGCATTTTTGAATCGTTCGGTTTTGGTTTTGCGCAAAGCGAAAGCGAATTTTTTCGTGCCAATTGCAGTCGAAAATACACACACTGTATTTTTTTTCTTTCTCTGTCTTTTTTTTTTTGTTTTGTTTTTGTTTTTGCCGAGTTTTTGTAAATTTTCAAAGCCAAGGCGATGCAGCTGGAAATGAAAGTGTTTTTGTTGCTGCTTCTGCCACTGCAAACACGTTTCGGCAAACATGTTTGAGCGAACCCCAGTCGACATCGGCTCTTGGCTCCCAAACCGACGAGCCCCGTCCCCCAGCGAGTTTTCCTAATTAGTCGCCGTGTGAAAGAAAAGCGAAAACGAAACGCGGCTCCCAAACATCTGGCATCTGGCATCTGTGCATTATTATTCGCATTATTATGAGCCCGTGTTGCGGGTAAGAGTTTCCACAGAACAATTAAAGGCTACACGGGGAAATAGCCATGTGCAATCTGCAGAGACAATGGCTCATGAAGTCATGTAGCCATAAGCCGATCCTACAAATTGGGCTAATAAAGTGCGCTTACAATGGCAGCCTATATACAAAGTTGGCCCGCAAAACTGCTTCTTTGTCCCTGGTTCCCACTGTATAGTACCATATCTGGGCAATCTTTTGCCAAAAGATTTGGGAAGTGAAGTGAAGTCAATAGGTTTAGTCGAAGACTCGACTAGTTCAAGGCATAATTCATCATCTTAAAACCGAGTTAGTTCCGCAATTGTGACAGCAGCTCTTGGTCAAGTTACTGTGTTTATGCAATAGTACCGAAACCCAATCCAGATGGATCAGTAGTGGGTAATAAGCCCGGGTGTCAAGTTTCACCATGTAAGCCCATCGGACAGCCCAGTTACGAGAGTTAGGAACCCCTGTCAGAATGCCTGTAATCGGAACACCGAAACCAGCGCTCAAATATCACATGTCACGGTGTGTGTCGAGTACATTGTTGCACTCAGAAGTGGAGACACGTGCGCCGTGTTCCAAGTGGGAACGATGCGGAATGGAGCGGAAGTGGGGGAACGTTTGCGGAATGGAGGAACAGAGGAACAGAGAAACGGGAACGGGGGAAGGGGGGGATCGGTGGAAACGGCAGCTGTGACAGCTTTTCACTAATTTCCCTTCAAGCAGCCGCCGCAGACTCTGTTTTTCTTGGAGTTTTCTCGGTTTTCTCAGTCGCAGCTGCCACTCAATCGTGACGAATTAATAACGGAACGTTTGCCGAACGAACGGGGGAAAGCTGCAGCTGAACAATAAACGGCTGGAGGAGCCCTCCTCCTCCTTCTCCTTCTCCTCAGAGCGGGGAACCAAAAAAAAAACCAAAAACCGAATAAAAAAAAATAAAGACAGAAGACAGAAAACAAATCCGACGACAAGGCGACTTCAGCCGTAAGATAAAAGCGAACAGCTTTGACCTCTTCAAGGAGCGTTTGCCACCGCAACTGTCGCGCTCCCACTCTCTCCGGATACACTGAGCGAATTTTGCTGAGTTTAACAAACATTTCACTGAGAGCATAAATCAAAAATGCAAAAAAATTCAAATGAACCTGTATTTGTACCTATTGAAAAGGTTACGAATTGACCAAAGGCCATTGAATGCTGAATTAATTTTCTTTTCAACAAAATATATTATAATATCTAATCAACAGTACATTTAAAAAAACAAACAAGAATTTTTGAATAGGTTTCTTCATAGCTGATTCTCCTTAACCAAAAAGTATGTACGTGCGTGCTGGATTATCTTTCGATCCGATCGGATCGGGAAAGACCACGCTTAGATTGCGTTACCTGATAGATGGCTTTTTTTGTTTTGGCCGGGCTAATGGCTAATGCCAACAATCGGTGACGGCGACGTGACTGCGACCGATTCTCCGATTTTCTGGCCAATTGAAAACTGGGTTGCCTTCTTTTCTGGGTGTGTGCCTCTTCGCAGTTAAAGTGGGTGAAGTCGGAGTCGGAGTCGGAGTCGGAGTGACTCACTCGCCAACTCGACGGCCTACGAGCTCAACTAGCAAGCCACACCAATTATTGCAATTCAAAATGCAATCCATCGAGGGATACACATGAAAAAGCAGACTAGCAACTTTTCAATTTGGTATTAACAAAAAAAATGCTGTGTTTGCATCTTAGCCGTAAACATCTTTAAAATGCGTAATTGTATTATATGTATTTTTAATCAATCTAAAGGTTTAACGCATGCTTAGTAAATATTTTTAAACGAAATATAGTAAACTCATATTTTTAGCAGTGTACAGTGACAGCTTTTAAGTTGGATTCACGGCTTTGTTGTGAATTCCAAATGAAGTAGAAAGTTCTCAGTTTAAACAAAAAAAATCGATCATTGGAATGCCGCTGGGCGCTTTCTTGGCCATTTGTTCGTTTATTTTTCTTCTGCCTGCCGCACCTATTGCCTTCTCTTTCTCCGCACACATCCCCTCCTGCTCTTCTCTCCCACCGTCTTCTGGGTTGAAGAATTGCCTATTCAGAATGCGATTCTACGGGTCGAAAAAGGAATGGGATTGTTTCTCCATGGCTGTGATTATGTGGGAACCAAGGCGGATTTTAAAGAAGACCTTACAAATTTCCATAAATAATTAATAAATAAACTAGACAATGGATAAAAAAAAACGGGTTAATGAACCGAAGGATTTAAAATTTGCATAAACAGAATACAAGTAACTTAAGCTTGTTATACAATAAACTTTAATATACAACTTACTTGCAAACTTTTGGAAGCTATAACAACATCTGTTGAAACTTCGTAATGTCTAATTTCAAAATGTTTCTTCCGACAATTCGAAATCAAAAAGATGGCATTCCCACAATTTCCCAAAACATAAAAAAGTTAATTTCCGCTGCGATTAGCATATTTAATTGAAATTTTGCAACTATTTTGGCTGGCCAACTGCAGCAGGAAAATGCCACAAAAGGTAAACAGCTTAAAATCCAAAAAGAAAACAAACCCAATAAAACAACCAAAAAAATAACAAAAAACACGCCTTGAAAAAACGCAAAAAATTGAAAACGTTTTGCCCACGCTGCTGACGTCACTGGTTCAAGGCTGCAGTGCGCTTTTTTAGCCAACTGCAAATGGTTTTCATAATGAATGCCATAAATCCAACAGATATTAAATATTTATATGAAATTATAGGAGCACAAATATCATAAATCGCAGATAAGAATAGTGAAGAGCAGAGAAGAGGGGGAGAAAGGAACTGAAGAGAGCTCGAAGACTTGTGCCACTTTCTTCTGAGAGCGCAGACTCTTCTTTTGTGGCTTTTGTCATTGCCTGCCTGGTTTCCCTTCTTCATTTCTTCAATTCTCACACTCCCCTCTTGATTGGCCCCCTTTTGCTTCTAATTTATTTCAATGACACTTTACGAAAAATGCAACTAGTTAGAGAAAGTTCTTTTCTCCCTCTTGCACAAAATAGTGATTTTATAACCATTAAATACATTAACTAACGATCATTTATAAAAGGTTTAAGCTGCACATGATTCATACAAGTCAAATACACGTTTCCAGTGCGTTTCTTTCCGCTCTTTAGTCGATTAACAGCTTTGCTGATTTAATGATTTGCTTCTTTGCTCTGTCAAAAGGTCGATTCAAGAAATATTTGATTGTGCTCTGGCTGGCAAAAAAAAGCCAAGCTTAACCCATTACCAATTATAAATGGTTTTGAAAATTACGCAAAAATGGTATAGTAATTCTATAAATCAATTTTTTTCAGATGATTAATTCCCTTAAAGAGCTAAATTAATAATTTTCTGATATTTATACTTAAAATGTTGTTTTAAAGTAGGAAATCATTTTATTTGCAGGGGGTTAAGCCTTTTTCTACCCAAGCAAAGTTGTTGCTGAGTTGTGGCATTTGGCCAAATGGCAACAACATTTTATTTCATATTGTTGCTGCTGGCTTTTTGTTGCTGTTGGATTTTCTTTGGTAAGGTGAACCTGTTGCACACGACTGGAAAATGTGACAGCCCGTAAAAAAGACAGCTCGACTGCAGAGAATTTGTATTTCTTAGTTGTTTTATCAGCTTATAGATTTTCACATCTTATGGTTATTATAAATCTTCAATAAAACTACATCATTTCATTTAAGTTTAAATCTCAAAAGGCCTTGAAGAACTACAATTAATTAAGGATATTTTGAGCTTAGGTTCCTTTTTGTACATTTTGCGATTTCTGGCGTCGCTGGTGATTGTGCAAAAAAAAAGAAAAAATGGGGGAGAGTGGGGAAAAAATCGCTAACGAAAACCGAAAATAGCTGAGACAATAATGGGGCCCACCAGTCAGATAAGCGTAGAAAAACATAGAAAAAATAGCCGCAAAGGCAAAGTCAGCAGACAACTGAAAGTTGTTGCGTTTGTTTCTAAGCCAAACGAGTTTGTTGTTGTCGCTGCAATCACTTTTTGGCGCATAAACTCAGCTCAAACTCAAACTCAGCTCAACATCGGGCTCCAGACCCAGACTAGACCCATGGACTTATTGGAATGCCAAGCCGCACACATATGGCGAGGCACAGCCGTGGTCAGGATAATAGTAATGAAAGGAGAAATAATTAAATACCTCGTTGATTAACTAAAAGGAGATGATTTCAATAGCTACACAAATAAATCATAAATATTCTAAATACCTCAGGTAACTTAAAACCATTAGCCTTGATTATCTAAATCTTTTGAAAGGAGTGTTCTCCGCTCTTTATATTTTTCCCTTTTAAGTACTATAAACATAATTTTTTATTTAACAGCTAGCCTACCATATCCTTTCGACCGCTGCTGTATTTATGCAAACGTACTCCTAGAGATCGCAGCTTAAATTACAGCGGGCGGACTTAAGAAAAGAAAACGAAACGAGCCCACAACAATCACAGCATAAACTCTAAATCGCTCGATAGTCGTTGTTCGCCTTTGGCGGCCAACACCAGCAATTACAACAACAATATACAATAGCAACAAGAACCACATCAATTTGTTGGCCCTATGGAACACACACGCCCTGCAACAACCAACAACCAACAACCACCAACTAACCAACAGCAACTATTAACAATAAACAACTAACAAGCGAGAAAAACTTTGGTCAAGCCGAAAGCCTTGGTACAAATACAGTGAATAATACCCTTAACAAATCTTTCTCAGTTGCCTGTTTTTTTTTTCCTTTAACCCATGGCCTTGGTTCACTTGGCCAGCCCATTAGAATCCAACTTCTAGTGGAGACAATTTGCTAAAATGTTCAGAAAATGATTTGCAAACGCTTTTTGAGATACTCTTGGTTTTAAGATATCTTTTGGGAGTAAAGAGAATACTTAAGAATGAAATAAAAGGGCATAATGTATTCGCTGTTTTTTGACCTACTCATTTACTAATATTGTTGGAAGCGACACATTTTGTTTTTGGAAAATTCTCATCAGTTAAGACAACAAAAGAAAGAGAAACAGCGACAAACAGTATTCAACGAGTCATTTCACAAACAAATTTATACACGCCACTGAAAACAGTTGTTGACGTCTGGGAGAAATACTCAACAACGGGGGAAACACCATAATAATAAAGAAAAGCTACAGAAACCGAAATTTTTGCATGAAAACAGCTGCAAATTAAAATCGCTGAGGAGAGAAGACCGAAGACTGAATACTGAAGACTGAAGATTTGCGATGACGAAGAAGACGACAACGCACTCTGCACAGGAACAAATTCAGGGAATATTTTTAAAAAATATAAAGGGGTAACTACATCTTAAAAGTTTTGTGTTTGCTAAAATCAACAACTTGCTTTTTTTTTTTTTATTACGTATCTTATGGATAACAAAGTATATCTTTAACTTTTATCTTTCAACCAAGATGATGATACATTTCTTTGTGTGTGGCAAAACTTTTGATTTCTTTCGGTAAGGCGGGCCAGATTTTTACAGCCAAGCGCCCGAGGCAAAAGCAACAACAACAACAACTTTAATAACAACAATAATAACAACAAAAACAGCGAGCGGCAAAAGTAAGTTACTAAGTCAAAATTGGCTTATAACGGGACGCACTTTCACTTAAACGCAGCTGAAGTCGCTGCTCTCTTTCCGCTGTGTGTGTGTGTGTGTGTGTGTGTGTGTGTGTGGGGATGCTGCCCCGAAAAGGGGGCGTGCCATTATGATTTCCATACATTTTACAGTAGCTAATATAATATCGAAAGTTTTGCATTGCCAAAAACAATTGCAACCATTAATTAGTTACTATTATATTATATTAATGACCAAAACAATTAATTGCAGGGCGTTTGCTTTCAGTGTGGCTCTGTCGAACTATATGGTATAGGTATACTATATATAGAGCAATGCTGGATGCTGAGATGCCGTTAGCGATTGGAAATCGTTGGCAGGTTACCGATATCGCCGACTAGTGCAGTCCGACATTATGCAATCGGCAGCACGACAAAACAAATAACAAATAACAAACAACAAATACGAATAACAAACTGGCAAACAGTTACTGTTTTTAACGACGCTTTTACTTTTGTTTCATTAATTATGGCTGCTCAGCGATTTCCAATTATGACAGCGATTGGAAAGCCGTTTCAGCCGAGAGACCAAAAATAAAAATAAAGCGAAGAAAACCAAGCCGAATGACCAAAGATTGTTGCCCTTTTAAGAATCCCCCCATCATCGCAGCCAGATCGGCAGCAGCCACATTTTGTGGAATTTTGAAAGCCACTCCGAACTCCGAAGGTACGGCGAAGTACGGCGAAGTATGGTAAATGGCCCCCAGCGATCCGCAGATATTTAAATACTCTGTCTGGGAAATGTCGAAACAATGCACTTGGTTTTGGCCCCCTGGCGCAGGGAGAGGTTTGCCTTTAATCGTTTTCGCCTGCCGTCCACAATCACCAAATATCCCAGAGGTTTGGAAAGTATTAGAAGTTCGATCAGTGAATTTATGTTACACATGTCTAGGATCTTCTGAATGCTTCACTGTTTTTAAACAAAAGAAATTTGCAACACTTTTGTAGAACTTACTTGTAAATAAAATAAAGATTTGACAGTCTGCAGTTCCATTTTTAATTTCTTTTTTATTATAAGACTTTCCGTTTCCTGACGGCCGCCAGTGGTAATTGATTTGAACTAGAACTCTAATCGCTCACCTGACTGTTGCTGCAGTAGTAGATGTCCGACATCCTGGATCTGGATCTGGATCTGGATCTGGATCTGGGTTCTGATCTGGACCTGGATCGGCTGGCTGGCTCCGCAATCGCGGACCTGCGCTCCTCGCGAACCTTTCAGCGCTTCTCCCGCTCGCTTTTTGGGTAAGTGGAGGAGAATTGTGTGCCGCTAAGGCTGCATGACCACCAGGTGATCCGGGGATCCAGGTGAACTGGCAAACTGGCAAGCTGGCGAACTGGCGAACAGGTGAAGCAGCGAGGCCCGAGCCAATGTGCCCTAGGTGCTGGCCAACTGGCGGTAGTTACAACCTGTTTTCTTCGCTGCGCGGAAAAGTGTCACACAACTCGGCTCGGTAGTACGGTAATCGATAGCCTGTTGACGTCGCCTATTGTTACGATCCGGAGGATTAGGTTTTCCGCATATTTATCCGCATTTAGGCAAGCACAATACAAACAAAACAAAATACAAATAATAAAATGCAAACAATGCCGCACTTCACGCTCCGTCTTGCAGAACACACCACTCGCTTTAGCCGCTTTAGCCGCTTTAGCCGCTTTTCCCGCTTTCCATGCGCATGCGCACCTTTCTTTCTTTCGGATATTGCCAGGCTTGTACTTCAAATCCATATACCACTGGATGCGTCTGCGCCGATCCGATCCACGACCGTCTCGAGCCGAGTTAAAACGCCAACTAACTTGGCCGAAACGGGGCGACTTCTTCGGCGGCCGCAACGAAAGTTGTCGCAACCAGTTTTGAGTCTTCTCGGGCCTCATATTTTTTCTCTCACACCGAAAAGAAAACAGCACTTGGAAATTTAATTAGAATGTAAATAATGTGCAATCAAAAGGATTGCGGTTCCTATAAACTCTGAATTTGTAAGTTAAACTTAAAACACTTTGTTCCAAATCATTTCTGAGTTTGCTGTAGGATTTTTAATTTTTATAAACTAGTTATAACATCATACACTGCCGCTCAACTGAATAGGTTCATGATCTCAGAGGAAGTAATTTGTCTATAATTCCTAAACCAGTGTACCGATTTCCATAATTTTTTTTCTTTAACTCTTGAATCATTTTATAATAAAATGCTGAAGAAGGTTTTTCAAAAACATATTATTTATTCCTTATTTAATTTTTCTTCTGAAAGGTTAACCAAATTCATGATTTTTTTTTGGGTCATCTGAATAGGTTCAACCTAAAACAATTAAAATTATTTAAGTAACTAAGGATAATTTTCATATTTTTTGAACTTGGCTGATACTTATGAACATTTTTAGAGTACATTTTACTAATTTTAATAAAAAGTGAACTCTCCGTTGTCCGATATAACATCATATACACGACCGGGAAGCGAGCTATACAAATTGTGCAGTATTTGCAGTGAAATGGTTGTCCAGGCTATTTTAATTGCCTTAACTAAAGTTGTTTTGCAAGAAAATTACCTGCCTCCTTCATATATCTTGCGCGATAGCAACCCCCATACGATTTCGATTATATTAAGGTCAGGTGAATATGGGGGCCGTTCAAGTAAGTCCACATTTTGAGCCTTAATCCACTCTTTTACCACCCTAGCTGTATGATGGGGGCGTTATCGTACTGGTAAGACCATTTGATAAAGTGAAAAGTACTTAAATAATCAGGAAACGCAGCCTTTATGATAGATTTGTAGGTTTCCGCGCTCGTTTTGCAAGTAACAAATTAAAGGTCGCAAGTGCCAAAGACTGATACCGACCCCCACACCATTACCCCACCCTCACAGCTATGTCGACGGCTAAGGAAATGCTCTTCCTTTTAAAGATCGTGATAATAATAGTTGTAGCTATTGATTTAAAATTCTTCTAAATTAAATTGATTTTGGTGTGGGGGTCGGTATCAGTCTTTGGCACTTGCGACCTTTAATTTGTTACTTGCAAAACGAGCGCGGAAACCTACAAATCTATCATAAAGGCTGCGTTTCCTGATTATTTAAGTACTTTTCACTTTATCAAATGGTCTTACCAGTACGATAACGCCCCCATCATACAGCTAGGGTGGTAAAAGAGTGGATTAAGGCTCAAAATGTGGACTTACTTGAACGGCCCCCATATTCACCTGACCTTAATATAATCGAAATCGTATGGGGGTTGCTATCGCGCAAGATATATGAAGGAGGCAGGTAATTTTCTTGCAAAACAACTTTAGTTAAGGCAATTAAAATAGCCTGGACAACCATTTCACTGCAAATACTGCACAATTTGTATAGCTCGCTTCCCGGTCGTGTATATGATGTTATATCGGACAACGGAGAGTTCACTTTTTATTAAAATTAGTAAAATGTACTCTAAAAATGTTCATAAGTATCAGCCAAGTTCAAAAAATATGAAAATTATCCTTAGTTACTTAAATAATTTTAATTGTTTTAGGTTGAACCTATTCAGATGACCCAAAAAAAAATCATGAATTTGGTTAACCTTTCAGAAGAAAAATTAAATAAGGAATAAATAATATGTTTTTGAAAAACCTTCTTCAGCATTTTATTATAAAATGATTCAAGAGTTAAAGAAAAAAAAATTATGGAAATCGGTACACTGGTTTAGGAATTATAGACAAATTACTTCCTCTGAGATCATGAACCTATTCAGTTGAGCGGCAGTGTATGTACCTACTTTTCTTTCTGCGTATTGGCTGGTGCGCGGTAGAACGACGAGCACTTTTGTGCCGGTAATTTATCCTGCCCGCCAAAGATCCTGCATAAAAATCCCTTTATCTGAAAAGGAAAGGTTGTTTTTTACGTGTTTCTATCAATTTGGCAAAGTTCTAGGTTTGTGGATAAGCATTGACCATTTGGACAGCCAAATTGGCCAAATTGGCGAACAGAAACGACCAGCAGGTGCTTCCTTAATTTGAGGTATCTAAGATTAACCAGTTGCGACCTACTATGGATTCTTATTATTCAATCGAAAACAAATAATCCTGGGGAGTTTGGTCAATTTGGACAGCCATAACGGCAGTTTCTGGAAACCAATAACAGGCGAACAGAAATGTAGAAAGTAGCTACAAAAACCGAAATAAAAAATCGGCAGCCCCATAAGATATGCAACACTTGGTATCTGTGGATGATATTTAAGATCCATGGTTCGGAACTCGACTACATACGATCAGCACGAAATTCTTGGTTAACTAATATTAATATGCACCTGCTGGGCATTTCTGTTCGCCTGGTTGACCCTCCATTTTTTTTCCGAAATCGATTTTTCAATTTTATATTAATTTTTGACTATAGCAAAAATCATTTTATAAAGCGAAAAGTATGCTTTTCAAAAAGGCGCCTAAATATTCTGATTGGGACAAATTATTGACGTGTGAATGGCCAAACAAAAACTAAACAGCTGGCCGCTCGCGTTGCCAACTGAAAGCAAGCTGTGGCAAATTAATAACACAAATACAATACAATACATTAAAAGCTTAACCGGGCTTTTAAAAATTAAAAGTGATTTAAGAGAGTGGTTAATAACCATAATTAACTACAACTGACAAATAACTATCAAACCCGATAAATATGCGCGCTCGGTCAGCTGTCAACGCGGCAGTTGGCAACGCGGTCCGTCTGTCAAAGCAAACCGATAAAAAAGTTGTCTCCGCATTAAGAGCTCCACAGGAATATTTTCCAGCATTTCGGTAGGTTTTCATCAACTTTTTGGTGCCTAGAAGTCAGCCAATACAAGTGGCAGTGTGGCTTAAGTGGAGCGGCATCCTTTCGAAAGTTCCACTAGCTGGCAACAATCGATACTCGGGAAATGCTGGCTGCGTACCTAATACACTTATGTAATTTCTTTGGGTCCTCCGATTGCAACTGAATTTTGGTTACTCTATCGCTGCAGAAAATATGATACGGGCACCGCTAGTCAAGGCGCTGGGCGCTCTGGGCTCGCCCACACATCAGATGGCCAGCCGGGCGGTGCGAACCAGCGCCGTGGTGGCCCAGACACCGGCGAAGGCGCCTGAGAAGATCGAGGTCTTCGTGGACGACATTCCCGTGCAGGTGGCACCCGGCACCACCGTCCTGCAGGTAGGTCATTGCGTTCCTTTGCCGTGGGAGCCTCTCGTTAACCATGTTTTTCCTTTGTTTTCCCCCTAGGCCGCTGCCCAGATTGGCGTGGAGATCCCCCGATTCTGCTACCACGAGCGATTGGCTGTCGCCGGCAACTGCCGCATGTGCTTGGTGGAGGTGGAGAAGAGTCCCAAGCCAGTGGCCGCCTGCGCCATGCCAGTGATGAAGGGCTGGCGCATCAAGACCAACTCGGATCTGACCCGAAAGGCACGAGAGGGCGTCATGGAGTTTCTGCTGATGAACCACCCATTGGATTGCCCCATCTGCGATCAGGGCGGCGAGTGCGATCTGCAGGATCAGGCCATGGCCTTCGGATCCGATCGCTCCAGATTCACGGACATTAACTACACGGGCAAGCGGTAAGAAATACTATTTGAAAGGCTTTAATTGAAAAAACCCTCCTTAATAACTTCCACCTCTAATTCCTGCAGTGCTGTGGAGGACAAGGACATCGGCCCGCTGGTCAAGACCATCATGACCCGCTGCATCCACTGCACCCGTTGCGTGCGCTTCGCCTCCGAGATCGCCGGCGTCGATGACCTGGGTACCACTGGCCGCGGCAACGACATGCAGATCGGCACGTACGTGGAGAAGCTCTTCCTCACCGAACTCTCGGGCAACGTGATCGACCTGTGCCCCGTGGGCGCCCTGACCAACAAGCCGTACAGCTTCGTGGCCCGCCCCTGGGAGATCCGCAAGGTGAGCAGCATCGATGTGCTGGACGCCGTCGGCAGTAACATTGTGGTCAGCACCCGCACCAACGAGGTGCTGCGCATCCTGCCGCGCGAGAACGAGGACGTCAACGAGGAGTGGCTGGCGGACAAGTCGCGCTTTGCCTGCGACGGTCTGAAGCGCCAGCGTCTGGTGGCTCCCATGGTGCGCATGCCCAACGGCGAGCTGCAGGCCGTCGAGTGGGAGGGCGCCCTCATCGCCGTGGCCAAGGCTGTCAAGGCGGCCGGCGGACAGGTAGCTGGCATTTCTGGCCAGCTCGCCGACTTGGAGGCTCAGGTCGCGCTCAAGGATCTGCTGAACCGTCTGGGCAGCGAAGTGGTCGCCACCGAGCAGGGCTTCGTCGCCGGCGGCACCGATTCCCGGGCCAATTACTTATTGAACAGCACCATCGCCGGTCTGGAGGAGGCCGACGCCGTTCTCCTGGTGGGCACCAATCCCCGTTACGAGGCTCCGCTGGTGAACACTCGTCTGCGCAAGGCCTACGTCCATAACGAACTGCAGATTGCGTCGATTGGACCCAAGATCGATCTGTCCTACGATCACGAGAACCTCGGCGCCGATGCTGCTCTGGTTAAGGACGTGTGCTCCGGCGCACATGCGTTCTCCAAGGTTCTGGAGGCCGCCAAGAAGCCCGCCATTATTATTGGCGCTGATCTTTTGGAGCGTGCCGATGGCGCCGCCATCCATGCCACCGTTGCCGAATACTGCAAGAAGCTGAAGAAGCCGGTGAGTCTGGATATTCAACTTGTTGATCGTTTAGCTGTAATGTGTTTGTTGCTTGCAGGACTGGAACCCCTTCAACGTGCTGCAGACCAACGCCGCCCAGGTGGGCGCCTTCGATGTGGGCTACAAGGCCGGAGTACAGACCGCTCTGAAGGCCCAGCCCAAGGTGCTCTTCCTGCTGAACGCCGACGCCGGCAAGGTGACTCGCGAGCAGCTGCCCAAGGACTGCTTTGTGGTGTACATCGGTTCGCACGGTGACAATGGCGCCTCCATTGCCGATGCCGTGCTGCCGGGAGCCGCCTACACAGAGAAGCAGGCCATCTACGTGAACACGGAGGGCAGGCCGCAGCAGACGCTGCCTGGAGTTTCGCCACCGGGCATGGCCCGCGAGGACTGGAAGATCCTGCGCGCCCTTTCGGAGGTGGTGGGCAAGCCGCTGCCGTACGACAACTTGGATGAGCTGCGCAACCGTGTGGAGGATGTGGCGCCGCATCTTACGCGCTTGGGACACTTGGAACCTGCCGGCGACGCTGGTGCAGCGGGTGCCATCGTAAGTTTGGGGAGAAGCTACAATTCGCCATGAGAAATCATGATTAATTTCGTTGTTTTTGTAGAGCAAATCCATTGGCGGCGGCCCGATCGATGTTAAGCTTAAGGAGCTGAAGGACTACTTCATGACCGACGCCATTTCGCGCGCCTCGCCCACCATGGCCAAGTGCATATCGGCGGTCAACAAGCAGCAGCGGGACGAGGCCAAGCAGAGCGTGGCCATCTAGGCACCCGGCCATCCCTCGCGTCTGATCTAAACTAATAACTAATTAATGTTTTTTTTTAACTCTGCTCTTCGACCTTTTGCTTCGCCACTCCCACAAATAACCAGCGGACACAAAGACACAGCACGGATTAGTCGCAGGAGCGGATTGAGGAGCAGGATCAGCAGCTGCAGAGGCAACCACAAGCTGGGCCAGTTGTAAATGATTATGTCTTTGAATTGTTCTAAACAACGGAGTTATTCAATACGAGAAATAGGAAAACCAAAATAAAAATGTAATAGAAAATAAATACGCAGTCCCTTTCCTGGGGGGGAATATCGCTTTTAGCAAGGCAAATAAGACAGGGCTTATTGTATTGCCATCTCGTTTTTTTCCGTGGTAAAAATGTTTTTTTTTTACCAATAATCACGCATCGTGCAGCACTTTATCTTTTTAAACAACCTTGAACCTTTTCCCATTTCCTCAAGTTAGCTCTCCAGGGTCCCATAACTTTGAGGTGATTAATTGCCCCCAGAGGCAAGTTACCACCCGAAACTGCACTTGAAATGAATTCCTAATTGGCTAATGGCTCGCACCACCTTCGGATTTAATGGCCAAACTGCGTATTGACCTTCAAAGAGTATTCCACGTCACGTCAACTAAAATTTAATAAGCCACAATAAATAAAAACTTGGTTTTTTGTGGGTGAAAAATTATATTTTCCAACCATACATTAGGGGATTTCGTGGATAACTTCATGGGTTTAAACAAATCAAAATTTTGAGTGCATGTCGGCGGCGCAGCAGTCGTGGGACGGGCTGGTCGCGCGGGCAGTTCCACCACCACTGTAGGAGGTCGGTCGTCCACCCGTCTCCGCTGCCCAGTAGCGCCCTTCCCTTGCGCAGAGCTATTGTTTTGGGTGTTGTTGCTGTGTTAATTGTGGAAACTACTTGAACGGGGAACTGGTGGTGGTGGTGGTGGTGAACTCTTCGATCGCTGGGCCGCGGCAACGCAACAACCATTCATCTACAATTCGGGGGATCCGGGTGGAGGAGGGCGGCGTCCCAGGCGGCTGGAGCTGCTGTCCCGAGCGCTTAGCTGCAGCAGCTGGCCGGCGTGGGGTCCAGTCCCGAGCGCTTGGTGATGGCCAGTCGGGTGAACTCCTCGGCGGTCGTCGGGTGGATGCCCACCGTGTTGATCAGCGTGTTGATGGTCAGGCCGGACTTCAGAGCGGCCGCGAATCCCTGGATCACCTCACCGGCCACCGGGCCAATGTAGTGCAGCCCATAGACGCGCTGGTCGCCATGGCGCTCGGCCACCGCCTTCAAGTAGCAGTAGCGCACGCTCTTCTGCGGGATGAAGAACTCGGTCGGCTTGTAGTAGCCGTGGAACACCTCCACCTCGTCGGCGCCGTACTGCTTGATGGCATCCTCCTCGCTCAGGCCGACGCAGGCGTACTCCAGCGGCGTGAACACGGTGGTGGCCACGTCCTTGTAGTCCATGCGCTGGGTAGATCCGCCGTACAGGCGACGCGCCAGCAGACGACCAGCCAGAATGGCCACGGGCGTCAGCTCGGGTTTGCCGTAGATAATGTCGCCCACCGCGTAGATGTTTGCCACATTGGTGGCCTCCTGCGAGTCCACTGGAATCTTGTCCTTCTGCACACTGACTCCCGCATTCGGCAGATTCAAGTCCTCAACCAGACCCTTGCGTCCGATGGCCCACAGCACCGTGTCGAAAACGTCCTCGGCCTCTTCGCCAGTCTCCGTGTTCTTGAACTTGACCAACAGCTTGCCATCGTCCTGTTTCTCCACCGAAAGTGGCACCGATTTGCGCAGGAAGGGAATGCCGCGCTCCTCCATCGAGGCGGCCACCAGCTCGGCCATCTGCTGATCGAAGCCACGCAGCACAATCGAGCGCACCATGACGGTGGGTTCGTAGCCGAGACCCTTCAGGAAACCGGCGCATTCCAGGCCAATGTCTGAACGGAAGAAGAAGGAAATTAGTTCCACTGCTGGAAAGGGAAACCTTCACAGTTTATTGAAACTTACAGCCAGCGCCCACAACCAAAGTCTTGCCGGGTTCGCGATCCAAACTGAACAGATCGTCGCTGGTAATGCCGTACTCCACGGCTCCGGGAATGTCCGGATAGCGGGGACGGCCGCCCACGGCGATCACGAAGGTCTGGGCGGTGATTGTGCGTTCGCCGCTCTTCAGCTTGGCGAGCATGGTGTGCGAGTCCACAAAAGAGCCCAGTCCATTGATGTACTCCACTTTTCTGGAGGGTAATTCAATCATTAGCAGCTGGTTTTATAGGGTAGCTATAGGTCTACACTCACTTGTCGCGCAAATCAACGCGCGTCACCCAGTTGACCGACTTGATGTGGTTCTGGACGGACTGCACCAGCTTGTTCCAGTCGGGCTTAATCTTGTCGTCCACGTTCCAGCCGTAGGCGGCGGCCTCATGGACAGCCTCGCCGAGCAGGGAGGCCTGGTGCATCAGCTTCTTGGGAATGCAGCCGACGTTCACGCAGGTGCCACCAACGCCCCATTTGGTGCCCAGCGTGGGCGTGGGCTTCACGTAGTCCAGACAGGCGACGCGGGCGCCATTCAGCACCGCCTCCTTGGCGCAGGCCAGGCCAGCTGATCCGCCACCGATCACAATTAGGTCGTAGTCGTAGGATCCTGGAGGCGAAGAGCAAATATTTATGTGATTAGTTTAACGAACTTCTGTGTTTATTTATTGAAGTGTTATGCTCTTACAACCTTATGACCTTCACAAAGAACTTAAATACATTATCTGGTTTATTTCCACACCCATATCACTATTAGGAAACGATAACAATAGCCCAGTTACTTGCACTTCTTTAATTCCCAGCATGTAATTCCCCTAGTTTTTCAGCTGGAAACCCTTATCACTGATGTTATGTGATTGTAATCAATTCATTCCTGCCTTTGACTAACTCCTCGCGAAGTCGTATGTCCAGGTAGGCAGATCGGTAGATGCTCCTCGGGTGGCGTGGTTCCCCCTCGACCAGCTGGGAAGCGGGCACAAACTCGAACAGATGCATCCAGATCGAATGGAGAACCCAAACTGTTTGGTCCCGGCAATCAGCGATTTACAATCTGCACTCCTTTTCTTGATTTTCCAGTGGCGAAGGAGCTTTTCCTTCAGATGCCGAGTGGCGATAGCCGGGCCAAAGTGCCACATGCCACTGGGTCAGAGTTCGAATCAAACTGGAGCAATCATCTGGCGACACGGCCACCAGCCACGCCCCCCTGCCCACCCACACTTACACGCCTGCACGCCCATTTCGGTTTGCTTTGACCTGCTGGATTTTACCATGGTTACGCCCCAAAACCAGTTGGCGGTACTTAGTGCTTATCGCCTGTGTTTGCTTTGCCCTAACACCCTGGCAGAAATTGAAAATCAGGAATCGGGGAGAATGTCGCGGTATATGCAAACAATTATCGCGTCACGCTGCAATTAATCGCAGAATTAAATGACGATGACGGAGGGCTGATGATGCAAGTATCAAAGATGTTACAGATACAGATAGCAGTGCCGATACAGATACGCGGAATGCACACTGATATGGTGAAATCGTCATGGGCACCCATAAACCGATTCTCGAACATTCCGCCAAGGGTTGTTCATCTAACGAAATTCACCCATTATACTATGTTTTTATTCCTCTTTCTCTTCTGGCTTCAGAAATAAAAGCTCTGTCACGACGGGCGATTGGTTAATTATTCATTGAACAACAAAAACTTGATCTTGCCATGTTCCAATGTGTGTAAAATAATAATCATTTTGTACGTTAAGACACACAAGATTAAATGCTAATGATATGCATTAAAAAACATTTTGATTCAAAGAGTGTTATGCCACTTTTTGCAGTGATATTGTAAAAACAAATATAAAGGTCTAATTTTTAAATGACTAATGGGTACTACTGTTTATTAATGTTTTACTGAAATATCTTAAAACAAGGAACAAGGAGTGAATCATTGTTATTTTTTAACCGTTATACTTAGAAGAGGCGCCCTTTTTGACGCCCAAGACAAGAGCACAGATCATGTACTTAAACATGATATACGAGTGCTATTTACGCGACCCCAACTGTAATTCCAGTTTGGACGAGGTGCGATGACGATTGACGATGACGTTGCAAATGTGTGCGCCGGCATATAGCCTTAGCGAATATGTACGTGCCGCAGGTAGAGAAACCCGATAAGCAAAATTAATAAGAGCAAAGTAATGGTCTTTGGCAGCTAACGGTTATTGCATAATGGCGACCACAAAAAACAACAAAACACTTGTGGAAACCCGGCTATCGACCGCGTTGCCAACCGCAGACCGGGAGATCAAATACAGTGGCTATCGATATCGTCGCTCACCTCCTTTGGTCCTCATTTTTCGCACCGGTTGTTCGTACATAGCCTGCCGGTCGCAATGGGGATGCTGGAAAGGAGGCACCCCCGCAGCCCCGCTGGCTGGAACTGCCGCCATGGGGTTTCCAGAGCTATCGCGCGATCCTCGCTGTCCAGTGGAGCTCATTGTTCGCTGGAAGTTCTGTGCTGGACTACTGAAACAACTGGGGACGTTTCTCAACGTACATTTGTTTTGTAGAATGCCAGACGTATAAATCGTCGAGCACTGCCTCACGAAAACGACGTTAAGTCTCAAGTTGCACAAGTTCATTTTGGCAGCTCCCCTTTTCTGCCCCCTCTTCAATTACCAACTGGATGCAAACTATTACTCGCGAAAGGCAAAAACAGCCAAAAAGACGGGGAACACAACACAAACACGTCGCTCGTCTGGCCGGGAATGCTGCGAATGCGGTGGGCAGGCAAGGCGCCGATAAACGGCTACGTAACAGAAGCAGAGACGAAAAGAGAGAGTACGCGCGCTGCAGACGCGAATGCTCCGGGCAAAAAGGAATCGAAGAGGAGGAGCAGGGAAACGAGCATGGGAATGCGGGACGTCAATTGGGCAGGCTAATAGGAATTTAAGTGTAAAACGTTTTCGGCTAAACGCACACGTTTGGCAATGCGCACGGGTATCGATAACTTGGGGATGGTTGGCAACACCGAACAGCCGGCCGTCAAATTGCTTTTTACGTTTTTAGTGTTACGGCAATAAAAATAAAGTCCGGACCGGACGATAAGCAGATCTGGTGAAATCCACATACGGAGCACTACAACTTTCGTGCCGCCCTTTATTGCACCATCACTGGGCCTATATTATCTCAAGTGTGCGATTAGATTTCCCCGAAGGAGACACTTGGATCGGATCGCAGAGTCGCCGCGACATGAACTCCATCCTGATCACCGGCTGCAATCGGGGACTCGGTCTGGGCCTGGTTAAAACCCTAGTCAATCTCCCCCAGCCGCCGCAGCATCTCTTCACTACTTGTCGGAACCGCGAACAGGCGAAGGTTAGTGTTGTTTTAGTTGGTCCAGCAGCAACCGGTGACTCACGTTCCCCAAGAAACTACGCGAACAATCCACAAGAATTGCGGGCCAGCAAACAATCTTCAATCCCCCTCTAATTTTCGTTTCCGAGCCGTAAACAGCCAACCGTAAACTCACCTTGAACTGGCGCCATTATATGTGTTGTCAGGAGTCTCTCCAGGTAAATAAGTCCGAAAACAAGGATCAACGGGGGATAGCAAATGTTGCGGCAACGCGGAAGCGGAATACAGTAACTGCGGTTTCAACTCGGCGCTGTTCTTGGGCACTCGCGAAAGCACGGAACGAATAAGCGGATCTAAAACTTGCAATAGCTTTTGTACTATGACGAGCGTGGGTAGAGGGAGCTCGAAAAACATCGGCACAAACGATATTATCGATGTTTTAAAATCGATATGTTTTAGCTTTGGCTATCGGTATTGGTTGGCGTTAAGGGATTCCTTTCCGGTTATTTTAAGCGCTCGTTTGAATTATCTGTTATGTTTCAAAGGAACTCCCAATATCTTAAAACCTGGAAAAGTTAGTTTTATTTTAATACTCCTTACGTTTTCCAACTCAGAATCTATGTAAAAATTATCATAATGACTTACATTATATTTGCTTCGCAGGAGTTAGAGGATCTGGCCAAGAAGCACTCCAACATTCATATTCTGGAGATTGGTAAGTATTTTGATTTAGGTAAAACTATATTCTTTGACTTGAAAACCTGTAGATCTGAGAAACTTTGATGCGTACGACAAGCTAGTCGCCGACATCGAGGGCGTGACCAAGGAGCAGGGACTCAACGTGCTCTTTAACAATGCCGGGATTGCGCCTAAGTCGGCAAGGATAACTGCCGTCCGATCGCAGGAGCTGCTGGATACTCTGCAGACCAATACTGTGGTGCCCATTATGCTGGCCAAGGCGTGTCTGCCGCTCCTGAAGAAGGCGGCGAAGGCGAACGAGTCGCAACCGATGGGCGTTGCCCGGGCGGCCATCATCAACATGTCCTCGATCCTCGGCTCCATACAGGGCAACACGGATGGCGGGATGTACGCGTATCGCACCTCCAAGTCGGCTCTGAACGCAGCCACCAAGTCGCTGAGCATCGACCTGTATCCGCAGCACATAATGTGCGTTAGTCTGCATCCTGGTTGGGTGAAGACGGACATGGGCGGCAGCAGTGCCCCCCCTGGATGTGCCCACTAGCACTGGACAGATTGTGGAGACAATCAGCAAGTTGGGCGAAAAGCACAACGGGGGTTTCATCAACTACGATGGCTCTCCACTGGCCTGGTAAACAACCACGGTACTCAGTCTAGCTGCATTTTGTTAATGATTGTTAATTGTTGTTGAATAAACTAGACCCTTGCGCCAAGAGTGCCTCACAAAACCATACAGTTAATTATTATATAAAATATATCAGATACGGACAGCTACCTCTTTTGACTTACTTGTTATTTATTTTTCATAATTGCAAATTGAATTAGTTCTTGAGTTTCTGGGGCTCAATCAGCCCCTAATCATGCACTATATTTCGTGAGGTGTCTTAAGTGGATTACATAGAAAAATATGGATTTTCCAGCCCGCCCGGGAACACAGTAATTTGGAGTTCGCTAACCTAGGTGCCCCTAATTGGGAATGTCTACGTGCTACTTCTGCCTTGGCGGCACCATGGCCACCGGTACCTTGGAGGGATCGATGCCGATTGCCTGGGCCAACGGTGGCAGACGCATGGCGTTGGCGTTCGCAGCTCCTCCAAATGTTCCCGCATCCGCTGCTCCGCCAGCCATGTTGTGCGGATCGGGATACGGCAACTGACGCTGGGGAGGCACCATGGCCACGGGACGTGGCGAGGAGGCGTCCAGTGATGGTGGCCCCTGGCCCGACTTCCCGTCCAGCGGGTGGGCCACGCGCTTGCGAAGATCGAGGCGTGGTCGTCGGTTGTTCGCGTTGCTGGTCAGGGCGTCTGCCGAAACGGGTGGCGGATCATTCCAGCCGGGTGTAAGGGAGCCTATCAGCGGAGCAGGACAGTAGATTAGGAAGGTAATCCTCAGAAGCTCGGACAATCTCACCTGGAAATGCGCCCGACGGCGCTATGTTTTGCCCCGTTGGCGGTGGAGGAATCGCCGATGGCTGCTGGTGCAATTGCTGGTGGAAATTGCCTGTGGCAGGAGTTGGCGGTGGTGGTGGCGCCATGGTGGCTTCGCTGTCCTGATCCTGTGGCTTATTTTGCTCCTTTGCGCAATCCTGACCAGAAATTCGTGCTCCGCAGTGCGGCCGTATTCGTTTATGTCGCAAAACCCAGTGTGGCCAAGTCACAAGAGTAAGGATTTCCAAACTACAAGCCTTCATAAACTTTCGATTTCAAATGAATTCAAGATATGAGCGCCAAATTTAAAATTGCTCAACAAAAATGTACTATTGAAATAATTAACAGTCCACCCAAAACAAAAACACTAGTTATATTTTATATTTCTTTGTTTTTCGTTTTTTTTTTTTATTATTATTATTAATATTGTTATTTCATCTGACTTTGTCCGCATTCTTGCGTTAGGGTTACTCATAAATGTCGTTAATTTCGTACAATGGCTATTAAACCGTGCCTATTTTGTAATCCGTTTTGTTTTTCTTTAGGTATTTGTTTCGTATTTAGTTTAGTTTTGCTACACCACACACATACATAAATAAAAACTTAAACAGATTTACTGCACACACATTTTTATACCTTGTTGACTACAAAAAAAAAAATATATATTTTCGAATTTTATTATTATTCGTCCCCATTCCCAGTTCCAATTTCGATTCAGTTTATTCAAATTCGATTCCCGAAAATACATTTGCAATCAAAGATAAGATATGATCTATCCAGATTCCGCCATAATGAATCGAAATGGAACCAAAGAGGAGGACCTTTATATGTATATTTAGGTATATTTCGATATCATTCACTTTAGAGTTTTTCAAGTGTTTAACATTGCGTAACATAGTTTGCTATTTACTTGACCCACACTTTGTTTTTAATATAAAATTCTGCATTTGGCTTCTCCAATGGAATCTGAATAGGTTTCTATATGCATGTTACATTTTTCGTATCGCAACTACATATGTCGGCTCGCTAGTTAGTTAGTTGTGGTTGGAGTTGAAACCAACGATTTCTCCCGCCCTCCCTGTTCTCTAGACGAATTGGTTTAAATAATTAATTACAACAACATTTACTTGGAAATTCATTTGTTTTTCTGTTTCTGTTTCTGTTTTGTTTTTGATGCCTTAGCTTAATGCGTTTTTTTTTTTGTTTTTGCCATCCTCCCAGTTGCATTCGTTTATTGGGTTCTCCATTATCTTACAGTGCTTAAAGTTGGCTAAATATTTTTTGTTTTTCTCCTCTTCCTCTTCCTATTCCGTTTCGGTTTTTGTTTTTGTTTTTAACAATTTCGCTCTCTAAGTGATTCTCCTAACACTTCGTCATCGTCTAGCTCCCATTTATTATTTATTATTATTTCTCATCTTTTGTTTTTTTGGCAATGACTTACTGATTTTGTTGTTTCTCTTTTGAACGGTTCTGTTTTTATTTTATCGCTTATCGCTTTGCTCTTGCATTCGTTTTGTTAAAAATTAATTGTATTAAGTACGCTTCGATTTATAATTTATGTGTATGTATATCCGTATAGTATATATTTTATAAAGTAAATAGATTACGTAATTGCAACACTTGCATCTGCTTCTGCATCTCATTCTTTTTAATCTGTATCTGTATCTGAATCTTTATCCGGGCGATGTCAACACTCGGGAGTCGCTTAATGGGTATTATTACACATTTTATTGGGTACCACATCATATCATATCGATTCTGGCCTTCCTTCCTTCCTTCCTTCCACTTCTCGCTCATCGTTATTTTACAATTTCAATTTGCCCCTTGAAATTAAGGAAGTGCTCAAGCTTAGTTTAAACAAAAAAATACACGTTTACAATATATGTATAAATAAGTGGTAGTTGTATATAAAAAAAAAATTAAAATAAAATAGTAAACGGCAATGCCACTGAAAGTGCTAATGATTTTTTCTGCGGCATCACCGCATCGAACAACGAATTTTGTGAACATACATAAAGTGGGTTGGGTTGGCTGGCTGGAATGCTTTCGAAACAGGCGGGGATACACTTTAAAACCTCTCGCTCTAACACTAAAATGCACATACGCAACGAATAGTATAAATATATATATATATATATGTATAATATTGGAGGGGGATTGGAGGAGTGGGGGTTAATCGCATCGGCAGGCAAACCGAACTACTGGACTGGAATCGATGATCCTGCTCTCCGCTTCATGGCTCAATTGAAAATTGTATTTACAAAGAGTTGGGTTCGCTTTTTGTTTTTCTTTTGCTGGGTGGGGGGAGGGTTGTAGGTTCTAGGCGGTGGATCCCATGGGGGAAGTGTGGATGTGGGGCTGGCCAGCGGCCACCCCATTATGACTCGTCGCGATTGTTGTGCACCCACTGGGCGGGCACCCATTGGGGCTCCCGCTCCAGCGAGTTGATCTCGGCCAGCAGCTGATGGTAGGCGCGCTCCGTGTCGTTGTTGATGATGATCATGTCGAACAGGTGGCCCCAGCGGGCCTCCATGTCCCTGGCCGTGGCAATGATGTCTTTGAGCTCTTCCTCCTGATTTTCGGAACAAAGCAGAAATGCATGGATTAGAATCAACAGCTCCATTTTATGTAGATTGGATATCGCACCTTGAAGGGTTCGCCGTTGCGCAGCTTCTTCTGGCGAAGCTTGTCCAAGCTGGGCGGCGCCACCAGCACCACGTACGGCTTCAGATCGGAGGCACGCAGCAGCTTGAGGCTCTGCGGATGCAGGTTGAGCACGCAGATCTTGCCGCTGGCCACCACGGTGCGAATGGCCTCCAGTGAGGTGCCTTCATTGCAATAACAAATAGATTTATCAATAGGGGATATATATATGAGTATTATAATCGATCTGAACTCACCGTAGTAGGCCTTCTCGTACTCGCCGTGCTCCACGAAGCGGCGTGCCAGGATGTCCGCCTCGAAGGCCTGTCGCGTGATGAAGTGGTAATCCACTCCGGGCACTTCGCCTTCCCGGCGGGCACGTGATGTGTCTACGGGAAATAGCAAGGTGAACCCATTAACTAATGAATGTTTGGACATATTTAAAGGTTCTTGGGAGGGACCTATTGGGAGGAGGGGTCTACTTGACTAGCTCTGGGAGTCGGTGGCTCTGAAGCGCAGCCTTTTACCCTTGACCTGAGCCTGAGCCTGAGCCTCGGCATGAGCTTGAGCACGAGCCTTGGCTGCCTGAGCCTTGGCTGCCTTGGCCTTGGCCGGCTTGAGCCGCTCCTCCAGCAAGTAGAAGACTGAGCGGCGGAAGAGAGAACCACACATTAACGAGGAGCAGACATTAAAGGGGGAACCTCTTTGAAGGCATTATTAAGCAATGCTAGGTAATTAACAACCTGCTGCATGGCTTATCAAAGCTAATTTCCCTGCTTAAGGGTTTACATACCAAAGCAAATAGCATTGTAAACTATCGAGTGTAAAGAACATCCATATAGGATAAGTACTACATTTGTACTTCCGAGAGAATAGAACTGATCCAAGCGATAGTTTCTCTATCTTTTGGGGAGCAGTGTGATCCCACCACAGCATCTTGATCCCAACTTACGTGGCACTGCGGCGGAGAATCGCTCGGAGTCGGCCATCAGGCGCTGGCGCAGCTCGTGCCTGCCGATGTTCGGGGGACCGATGAGCACGATGGGCCGTTTGTGGGTGGCGCGGGGATAGTACAGGGCCACCTCCTCGTAGGTGAGGATCTCCTCCGGGTCCGTTTCATCCGGCGTGGTGGTGGCGTACAGGGGATACCTATTACATAAGTAAATTAGTGAGTTTGGATGGTATGGTATATAAGAGGATGCTTACCCCGCCTCGGAGCTGGCCTTCTTCTTCTTCTTGCGCCCCTTGCGGGCACAGAGCAGCGTGGCCCCCTTGCTGCCCGATCCGTCCTTGCCGCGCGATCGCGCCAGGCCCGCCTCCTCGGCGATGGCCAGCTTCATGGTCTCGCGCTGGTGCTGGAACGACTGACTAGGAATGAGGCCGGCCAGCGTCTGGTCCTCCTCGCCCTCGCGGTACGCCTGCCACCAGTTGGGATCCTCGCGGCTGATCACGTGCAGCACGTCGCCCTTCTGGAAGCTGATGCCCAGCTCCCGGCACGGTATATACAGATCGTCCTCCGGATCGTAGTCGAAGTGCGCCCGCACATGCAGCACGGCCGTGTCGCGGTGTGCCCCTCCTCCTCCGCCTCCCAATCCGGATAATCCACTCCCCGTGGTGGAGCCCATCACTCCGCCCGACGGCGGACTGCCCGCCGGCACAATGAGGAAGGTGAGCGTGCCCTGCATGGCGCCCAGCAGAGCGCACACCTCGTTCACCGTCTTGCCGCGCAGCTCCTGCCCGTTGACCTCCAGGATCTCGTCCCCCTCGTGCAGCAGACCCGACTTCTCCGCCGCCCCGCCGCGCACAATCCGGCCGATGACCACCGCCTCGCCCTCGTTGCGCACGGTGGCGCCCAGCGGCTCCGTCGACTTCTCGATCTGGATGATCCGGATGTTGTCGTTCTGGTCGTTCAGCGTCCCGAAGCACGCGCTCATCGGCAGCGTCACCGGCATGGACATCGCCATCGGCATCGGCATCCCCCGACCCCTGGCAGTGGTGGCGGTGGCGGGGACTCGCCGCGCGGCAGTGGCATCGCACCGCGTTGCGCCAGCGGTGGCGGCGGCGGCACCACCGGCGGCGGCACCACCATCCCGAGGTTCCGCTGCTTGATGCCCGCAATGGGACTGCTGTGGTCGGATCCACCGCCCACCGCTGGCGAGGAGGGCGTGGCCGTGGGCGTGGGCGAGGGCGTGCCGTCGGTGTGGTTGGCGATGCGATCGTGGGCGAGGAGGAGGCCCTCCATCTCGTGGCTGGTGAGCAGGTTGCCCAGCTCGATGGCCGCCGCCGTGTTCGACTGCGTCAGCAGCTCCACGATGTCCTTCTGCAGACCCAGGGCGCTGTGGTGCAGCGGGCCCGAGTGGCGGGACCGTCGACGCTGCAGCACCGCCGTCCGGGCGGCCAGGACATGCGCCACACTCCCGCTCGCCAGGACACTGTGCGCCGCCGAAACGCGACCCGCCAGCGTGCTCAGGCCGCTCTTGCTCAGCTGACTCTGCAGGCGGGTCAGCGCCGCTATCAGATCGCCGTAGCCTGGAAGGGATCGGGGGATTAGTTTTCGTTTGATTTATATAGAAATAATTGAAGCCTAGTTAATGATGCAGTTATTTACCTAATAAAAAAAAAAAAAATAATAAAAAAAAAAATTGCAGAGGCTCTATGCTCCCGGGTGGAATTAAAGAATGTAATTCTTTTTGCACAATATATAATATCTTCAATTAAATTAAATCAATAACCAATAAATCAATGTAAAGATATTATAATCTGATATTAATCAGATCGCCGTAGCCTGGAAGGGATCGGGGGATTAGTTGGATATAGTTACACCACAGATAAAGAACAATCATCCTAACACAAGGAAAACTTTAGCTAACCAAAGATGGTTTAAGCACCACAAAATTATGAAAGGTTTTCGTTTGATTTATATAGAAACATTTGAACAAGAAGCCTAATTAATGATGCAGTTATTTACCTAATAAAAATATAAAAATACTTTTGATTGCACAATATATAATATCTTGAATTAAATTAAATCAATAACCAATAAACCAATGTAAAGATATTATAACGTGATATTAATCAGTGCAGATAAAGAACAATCATCCTAACACATCGAAAACTTTGCATAACAGATAATGGTTTCAGCACCACAAAATTATAAAATGTTTTCTCTTGATCTACATATGTACAAATAACTCATCTAAAAACAATTTTTTTTTTAAGGTTCCACAAAATAAACTACTTTTAATTGAATTAAACCAGTAACCAATGAACCATTGATTTACTTAAGGTTGTACAAAGTAAGGTATCTTCAAATAAATTAAATCACCAACCAATAAACCAATGCAAAGATATTATCACCAACCATTAGCAGTTCATAAAGAAGAAATCGTTTTAAGGAACTCTCATATAATTGCACCCTCAAAATGTTGAATGAGTCTTTAGAATAAGCAATATTAATAAATAAATAAATAATTAATAATAAATAATAATAATTAAGCAATATAAAAATAAGCAATATTTGATTTGACAATAGCATTATTAGGCAACCGTAAATGAATTTCTGGCTAACTCTTAAATCCCGCTCCACCTGAAATCACTTGAAAACCCCGTCTTAACCATTTGAAAATCAGGTATTGCCAGTGGCATAGGCACTCCCATGCATCCATGCATCCATACATCCATGCATCCATACATCCATGCATCCATACATCCATGCATCCGTACTCACCATCGATCTGCTCGGCGGTCTGCGGCTGCTGGTCGTCGTCGGGGAGGTACGCCTCGTTCTCGACGCCGGCCACCTGGACCTGGGTGGCCTGGGTGGCGTGTGTGGCATGCTGCTGGTGCTGGTGCTGGTGGTGCTGCTGCTGGGCAACCGCCTTGCCGGGCGTGGAGGCGGTGGTGTCCTGGAGCGCCTTCAGCTTCCGGGAGCCGCGCAGGCTGTTCCGCAGGAACTCGTTCTGCTGCGCAATGCGCTCCTCCTCCTCGCGTCGTCGTCGCAGTTGCTCCTGTTGAATGGATGGGAATTGAGAGTGGTCAGGAAATCAGGCTGTCAGCCGGGACATTCAATTCAAAATGGGTGGAGTGGAATGGGAGTGGAAGGATGCGGGATGAAAGGGGAAGGGGGAAATGTGCAATTGGGGAACTGGGCAACTGGGCGATGACTCTTAAGTGGCGCACTTAATCCGCATTCGCCGCAATCGCTAATTAAATTAGTGGCGCCCGGGCAGCAGAGGCCACCGATTCTCGCAAAGAACACAAACAACGATAGGGATTCGATTTCAGGCATACCCTGTACTTTATGCAACTTGCTGTTTAAGTTATTAAATATTAATACCTTTTTAAATAAATCAATTTAGTTAAGTACCCTAATTTAAAGCAAGCATCTCTATTGATTTTATAACCTTGTTGATCTTGGCCCAAAAAATGTTGATCAGCTAATTTATATGCATGGATCTACAACTAATTAAAAAGGTGTAAAACAAACAAGTTCCATAAATTTTGATTGTTTTTTTTTTTGTTTTGAATTAAATTTGCATAATATTTGCCCCCAATTAGTAAAACTAATTTGTTGGTGAAATACATTCAGAGTTTCCTGCATATCAGATAGATTGAATGGCTATTTATTAGAGGTAAGCTCACAAAATTGATTGGAGTTCATTTCTGTTGTGAAGATGACAACCCTAGCCATTTGTATATTGTGAAGGTGACAACCCTAACCGTTTGAAGGGTATTCATGCGACTGCAATGGCCCACAACGGTGTTGTTCAGGTGGGTGTGCAGGTTAAACTGATTGGTGGGTGGTGGGTGGTTGGAGGTGGTTCCTCCCCACCTCCCACCTCCCACTGAAATTCCAGGCAAATCCCGTCGAGGGCCTCGGCGATGAGTTAATGAGCGTAAAGGGTTGACAAAGGGAACAACTGGGGATAAAGGCGGACCGGAGGTGCCACTAACTGTTGCAATTGTTGCGGAAGCCCCTTAAGTGTTCGCCATTCATCGGAATGGGGCGCGAAAAGTGGAAAACAATGGGACCGACCCACCGACCGCCCAAAGTGGGCGGTTGGCATTCGAGCGCCCAGTGCCTGTCAAACCAGCCAGGGCCAATACCAAACGATAATGTTATTCAGGCAAATGGCCCAAAACGTGATAAATTCTCGATTCCGTGGCCAACAAAGAGAACGAAATCAAATCGATGACAACAATGAAGAGCAAAAGTTCCCACTATGAAAAAATAATAAAAAAAAAAAAAACCAAAACCACCACATGACAGCAAGGGGGAAAAAAATAAGAAAAAAAAGAAGGAAAAACTTAATTGAATAACAACAGAAAAGGCGCTCGACATTCTTCCGAAAGGCGGAAGAAACGAGGCGAAGAACAGAAGAAGTGGAAAACAACAATAGGAGGCCACTAAAAAATGAATTCTGCTGAACTTGCATAATCCATTCCATACGAGCAGCGGAGGGAATCAGCAGAAATTTCACGGGTTCTTCAAGGGGAGGTGTTCCGAACAAGAAGAAGAATCAGAAGAAGAAGAAGCAGAGGTTGCTTCGGTTCGCTTTGGTTCAGTTCGGTTTGGATTGGAATGGAATGGAATGGCTGAGAAATACCACTCAGCACCCAAGAAAACGCCATGTGAACCAAAACTGAATTTAACATTGAAACCTGAATGAAAAACGATGACAGCGGTTGGCAAAAAAGAAAACGACAAAACACAAAAAAAAAAAAGAAGATAAAACGGCGCATAAAAACCAAACCAAAACAAAAATCGCTCAAAGTCGCAGCATCGCAAAAACTCTGAATAACAATAAGATAGTACGGTTTGAGAGCCACTAGTTGTAATGCCTCCCAAACTGCAAATCAATAAAAAAGTTTTTGTTTTTTTGTTGCTCGTTTTAAGGAATTTAATTAAATCATTAGAGGGAATCCCTTCAAAAACAAAAAGTATTGCAGGAATTTACGGCTAAAACCCTGTTTAAACTGCAATTCGAGAGCCGAAGCGAGATTTAATTAATAATTCTGGGAAAAGAGCTCGCTGCGCAAACAAAATGTAATCCATACCTGCAATGCACTCTCCAGCAAAAAACAGTTCAGGTGCAGCAGGGGACTTGGGTTTCAGTGGTGGCCATTAAAAGCCTCACAGCCAACTCCCACGCAATGTGCAAAAACATAAAAAAAAAGCAAGAAATACACAAGCAGACAAAATAAGGTGAGCCTATAAATAGAGAGACGTAGATCAAATGAAGCCTACAAAAGACCATCAATCATCTTGCACACCGCCAACACCTTGGGCAATTGCAAAGTATTGTAAAAAATATTTATGAGAGGGCCTACACTTCAAAGACAATAACAATTGTCGACGGCAACGGCATGACATCACCAACCACTGCCAACAAAAATGCCGGCATAAATAAATAACAAATATTGAAAAATGCGCGTAGCGGGGAAATTAAAAATATATTACTGCCCATACCCAAATTTTCGACTGGGTATGCTCGACTTTTCGTTCACTTTGCTCTCATTCGGGGAGTTAGGGTACTTTGATTTCGTTGGCTCGGCGAATTCAGAAAACCCATTGCCACTATCGCTTCGGTAAATTGTTTTTAGCCTTTTCGTTTTGTTTCTAATTTTTATGGCTCAGCAGCCAGTTAGCCAAGTTGTCAACTGGTTGTTGTTGTTGTTGTTGCTGGCCTTTCTGGTTGCTGTGTTGTGTTGTCGTTAGCATATATGCAGATAAAGCCAGTTGTCGCGGCCAATCGTGTGTGTATATACACGGTGATATCCGATTCGATGCGAGTAAATGGACGGGGTTAAGGTAAAGATTTCCCTACTTTCTTGGCACTCATAAATTTTGATCAGTCTAATTGATTTCAAGCCACATGCTTTGCATATATGGTTGGTCGTACTTTTACTGAACCTCTGGGCACACTACAAGTTGTTGTTTGCTCCCAATGAGTTCCCAATAAACTCAGGTTTACCTTTAAAGTTTCTTATTAGGTAATAAGCCACATTTTTTGTACTTTTACCATAAGTTTAGCATAACCCTTGAGGAACTTGCCTGCTGTTGTCGCAACCGCGTCGAGGATCGCTGAATTTGAATGCCGCGACGCAGGGCGGAGGCGCTGCGCTGGGGCGTGGCAGTTGATGAGGCAGGTGAGCCGACGTATTGTTCCGGGAAATCGGGCGACACCGATACCCCAACTCCATTCCCGTTCATATCACAATAGTCGCTGTTGTTGTTGTTGTTGTTATTGTTGTTGTTATTATAGTTGTTGTTATTATAGTTCTCCTTTTCGTTCTGCTGGTGTTGTTGTTGCAACTGCAACTGCTGCACCGACAGCACGGCAAACTTGGTGGGCGATGTTGCCGCTGCCACAGCAGCAACATCAGCTGCAGCAGCAACAACTGCTGCCTGTCCGGCAGCAACATTGCCGTTGTTCTCCAGCGTTATGTGCAAAGTGGACACGACCATTTTCGAGTTGCACTTTCATCGATCTCGGACTCCCTCTCTCCCTCTTTCTCTGTCTCTCTCTCTCTATCTCTTTCTATCCTAACAAACCGAAACGGAAATGGAAACCGAAACTGTCAACCAAACTGTGGAGCAGCAGCAGCAACTATGCTAATGCTAATGGCCACGCCCACAGTTGGGCAGTGCATAAATTTGAATGGGGAATTGTGTGTTCCAAATGAAATGCAACTTAATGCGCATTTCAACTCAAATTGCTGATGTTGCTGCTGCTGTTGTTGCTGCTGCTGCTGCTGCTGCAGTGGATAAAAAGCCATAAAAAGCGAAAGTTGAGCTGGCCGAAATAGTTCTGGCCCAGACACGCATCGCCAGCACAGCAGCAACAGCAACAACAGCAGCAGCAACAGCAACAGCAGCAACACGAACAGCAGCAACAGCTTTCCTTTTAGCTCGTGCAATTTACAACTATTTACTTTTACACATTTGTTTATTTGTTTATTTATGGGCTTTTTTGTTATTGCTATTTTGTTCACTATTGTTGCTGCTGCTGCTGTTGCTGCTGCCGCTCAGCATTCAACGTGTCTGAACTGGGGAATGAGACGAATTGCTGCCGTTGACGCTGCATTTACGCTTGGCACATCAATAACAATAAGAAGCACACACTCGCACACACACACCCAAGCTCATGGCAAGGAAAAATAAATAAAAAACAACGACAACGGCAACGAAAAAAAAAAAAAACAAAACAGTTCACCTCAACTGTTTATCATTTATATTAAAATTTTTCAGCTGCCTTTTGTAGGTATTTTTTTTCGTATTTTTTGTAATGTTGTTGCTTTCGAGTCTGCAGGCAAATTAACGTCGTGAGTCAGAGCAAAGTCCAAGCACCAGGCGATCACTTCGAGGGAGTATGATAAAATGTATATTATATGGTGTATTTATTTGCAATATGTATTTATTTATCCACTGCCTTTTCTGGGTTTATAACCACTGTTTCTCGATGTGTTTTCTTAAATTATTTTGCCATTTTATTCACATTATTTCGGACACATTTGCGTTGTGAGTCAGAGCAATGACCAATAGTCAGGCGATCACTTCAATGGAGCATGCTTAAAATATGTAAGCATGTAATAACACTTTACATGCAAAGTTGGTTACACTTCCTTTGAAGTACTGGACACTCTTTTTTTATTTTTTATTTTTATTTTTTTTATTGTAGAATATGTTATTTAACAATAAAGAATCAGTTTCTTCTTCAATCCTGTAACTTTAGTTTGTATTTAGCATGTTTTGCATTATTTCCCGCGCTGGTAACACTGCTTCCGAAATCCTGGGCACACTTTGTGGTCCTTTGCCTTGTTGGCCTTCCTGTTTGAAGCACAAATAGGCGCTCGTAACCCGGCGTTGGTTTGTGTTATTCAGCCTGCTTTTTTTCAATAAGGCCTGCCACCTTTTTCGGGCTATTTCATTTATTTCACATATTTTCAGTTGTTTATTTCTGGCTTTTTTTGCGGTTACGCGAGCAACTTTCCGTTATGGCTGCAACTGCCACGCCTGTTTTGCCGACTTTTTCCCGTTGCTGCCCATAAAATGTTGTCGAATGTTGTTGCCGTTTTGGGGCACTTGGAAATGGTTGTTCGTGTGGCGGTTGGTACGTGCTTTCTGGTCCCAGAATTTCTGCCAGTTATGGGCGGTTTTTGTAAGCCGCGCCTTATTTGCATGGCTCCGAATGCACAAAAACGAGCATACCGAAAAAAAAAAAAAAAAAAAAAACGAACGAAACCAAGCCAGTTGTTGTAAAACCGCTGCACTTCAAAACAAAAGAAATAATTTCCACCGGAGGGAAATGCATTCCATTTAAGGTGGAATTTTTTTGTAGAACACCTACATATATGCATATGGTCTTATCTAATCGGTTATCGGTTCTTTGTCACGCACTTGGCCCGAACAGAAAAGTAACAACAAAAAATGAAAAGACGGGGTAGAAAAAAGTCAACAAAAATTGCGGCCGATCGCAGAACGCGTAGAAAAACAACTAAAAACGCCAACTCAAAATCATAACAAACCAGCGCTGCCAGACGACGTTGACGTCGACTGAGGCAGAGGCGTAGGCAGAGCGCCACTGGAATATGTAGAAGGGGCCGTCAGAAGAAATGAGAGAGAGTGGAGAACAGGTGAGCGGAGAACGGAGAGCGGAGAACTCGAGACCAGGTGGAAGTACATACGCACACACATACATACCCGTATGTGTGCGTTAAGCCGGTGCAAAAATGGAATGTCTAACTAATTTGCGAACATCCAAAGACGGGCTCGAAAGGGGGTTTTCCAAAAGGGGGAAAGGGGGATTCGGGGGCGATAACAACCGCCAGTGGCAACCGACAACAACAGTAGTAGCAGCAACCCCTTCGGACGGCAAACAAACCGAATACCGAGCAGCAGTTCAAACAAGCAGGTTAAATTTAAACACTGCTGGGCGCTCTATTTGTACAAGATTTACGATAGCGATAACGAAACGCGATAGCCATGTCAAACACGATAAATCCAATAAGAATGGCTATTAATTATGGCCATGATAAGAGCCATGAGGGGGTGCAGCACTAATGAGATCCAATTACATAGCTGCGATAAAGCTTAAGCGGAATAATAACTATGATTCGGCGGTGCAATTTCGATCGTTATCAAGCTTTTTTTTATCGAATTAATCGACAAATACCTATCAAACTTGTTTAAGGAACTTGGGAATAGAATTGTAACAAGCCTTTCGGCTAACTACAAACTATTTCAAACGCTATATGCGGTGGCAAAGCTGTAATTAATGTAATAGGCTTACACTCTCAAATGTAAATCGCTTTTGAAATCTTTCCTAAGCCGTTGATTTTCACTTTTCTCGGTACGCACAAATGCATGAAGGTGGATTTTATGTGCGTTCCCATTATCCATTATCCATTGCCCCCCCTCTTCCACCTCTTCCACCACTTCCCCCCTTTTCCCCTTGAGCTTGTCTTACCCATTTGTGGCTTCGTTCTCTTAATGAGCTTACATCCATAATCGCCACCCTCTTACGCTTTTCACTCAGAAAAGTGTGCTTTTTCCAGACCAGTGGCTGCCAAACTGTTGGTGGCACTAGTCGCATTTAGTTTTCAATTAATTGCATTTGGCAAATGTGTTTTAGCCACCACTCTGTCTATGTCTCGTTTCCCCATTCCCCCTTTCCCCCTCTTCGCTTCTTCCTTTTGTCTCTTTCACTCTATTTATTTATTTGTCGGTGGGCGTGGCGAAGGGCGGAACGTAACAATTCGATTAAAAGTTGCATAATTAATCATTGCATTAAACAACTTTTTGCCACCCTTCTTTCCTCGTGCTTGTTTCCTGTGAAACACAACGCCTATGGCAAATGTTCCTACATCCCCCTTACCCATTTTGGGTGAATCATGAACCCCGCCCCTGGAAATCCCCACCCACATGGCCTGCAGCCTTCCGAACGAATGCGAAATGTTTTACTTTTAAACAGCATTATAATTCCAGCGCACCCCCTTTACCTTTTCCCCTTCCCCACCGCACACACATATTACCCCCCTTTTAGCCGGCTTTTGAGTGAACCCCGCCCCCTTCTCGCCCCGCTTTTGTGTCCCACCTCTTTGCACTTTCGAGTGCACAGACAGAAAAAGTTGTTGGGCAACTTTTTTAACGCCCCCACACACACACACACACAAATACCGTACTTTAAACTGTGCCACGCCTCTCTTGCCACCGCCCCTGGGCAAAGGTTTATTTGCTTTCGGCGCGGTAAACGTTTTTAATAGCCTTACTAGTTAAATGCAATGCTCAGGTGGTCGGGAAAATCAAAAATTGGGAGAAATTCTCTCGGCTTTTTAGTGCCGTATTTAGTTATGTTTCCGCTAGGTGCGATGATTACAGTTTGGCAGCCACTGGCGGGGGTCAATGGACAATGGGCCTCCGCCAAAGAGGTAATCATTGATTGTTGGGGGGCAGCACAAAAGAACGTGGCCCAAACCGGAAGCGTTGCCCGGGCATTCATCAAAAAGCATTTATTATGAGTTTCGGAGGGGCAGAAGACAGAGGAAGTGGCAGAGTGAACGTTCTGCATGCTAACGAGCTGCATTCGAGCTCAAACGAGTGTTCTAAACAAACGCACTATTATTGTAAATCACCAATTGCCTCATCACAGAGCTGGCAATTCATCGGTTAAAAAGCCAAAGCAAAATATATTCCACTTAAATTTAACAAATTATACTTTTATACTTTTTTAAAATTTGAAAAGATTGAAAAGTGTTTTTCCACCATCAAAATAAAATGACTTTTGGCCATTTTCTGCAGGTTTTACCGAAAAAACAAACTTTATCAATTTTTAAATAATTTCTTTTACTTAAATGTAACTTTTAACAGTAATTCGTTAAAGCACCGTTCCCCATTGCACAGTTTGACACGCCGGCTTTTTCATAGCCTAACCGTTAGGAGGGGGCCGAAAAGACAGTTTGGTAGGCACTCACCTGATACTTCTTGATGCTGTCCAGTTGCTCCAAAGTGGGCTCCACGATCTGGGCGATCTGCTGCTGCTGCAGGGGGTGTGGCATGCCGCCGCCGCCGCTGCTACTGCCGCTGCTCGCATTGCCCGGCGCCCGCCGGTCCGGAAGTTGGGGGCGGGGGAGCAGTTGACCAGCCGCCCGTCCTTCTCCACCCGCAAATGATCTCGGGGCGGCGGAACGGGCTTCGCATTCCCATTAAGCTAAGCGGAGAGTATCAAAAAACAGGGTGAACACCATTAGTTATGTGCCATACTGCATGTCCTTAAGTGTACACTTCTCTCTGTGTGTGTATTTTATGTGTAAGTTAGTGTGTGTGAGTGCTTATGAGAGTGTATGGCTGATGGCTGTTGGTCATTAAAGTTGAATGAGTTTATTTGTTGCCAGTGTTCTGTTTTGTGCATTTTGCCTGCTGGATGAACGAAACGAAAACGAAAACGAAAAAGGTCCTTACACTAAGTGAGGAGTGTACACGAAAACCTTCACCTTCTGGCAGAGATGTGGAGCCCTCCTTTAAAAGGGGCTCGTATTCGTTGTTTAAAATGCAGAAAGTTATTGCGTGACTTGAAGTAATATTATCTATAATATATTATATTATAATATAACTACCTTGGGCAACCTAATATACTTTAATAAATAAATATTGCTTCCTAGATTGTAGTTTATTGTATGGGTTTAAGTGATTTGATGGGTGTTCTAGATGTTCTATAAAATTCCTGAGAAGGGTATTTAATCCCCATAAGCACCTACGCCACTGTATGGTATGTCTGCCTCCTTAAGAACCACTTTTTAAAGAAGCCCCTCATTACTTTGCCTCATTTTCGGTGTCGCTTACTGGCGCGAACTGAATGCCATCCGCATTTAAATGCATTTACTCTTTGATTCCTTTATGCGGAGGAGCATTGTCAGTTTGGAAAGCGAAAAAGAATGCGGAGGAGGGAAAGAAAGGCGCCCATTTCGCCTTTGTTTCGCGGCCATTCGAAAATTAATCGAGAGCAATTTCATATAAATGGCATTTATTTTTCCATCGCCTGAAAGGAGCCCACAAATAAGGGAAATGAGGAAAAGCGAGTGGGAAAGCAGCGAGCGAGCTGCAAATGATGAAATAAGCGGAACAGCGGGCTGCACCACCACCCACTGAGTGGTTGGTTCAGTGGGTGGGTGGTTCAGTGGGTGGGTGGATGGGTGGATAGGTGGGTGCCGCAATGTTGTTAGGATTATGCCCGCGCTAACGAGGCCAACGCAGCGTTTCTGATGCCGTGAATTAGGCCAACCAACCAGCTGAACAAGGTGACAAACCGAGTGCTTGGTTGGGGCTCTCCCCCCTTCCCCTTCCCCTTCACCACCCGCTAACAAATGGGGGTTACGGGTCAAAGGGGGAGGGGTGGCGGAGTGGAGAGGTGGCTACTGGCCAAGGAAAGGGAATCGATGCGTACGCGGCGGCTGTACAAAATGGGTTAAGTGGGCGCCACATTAATTAGCCGAGTTGAGCGATAAACGGCGCGCCGGTTCGCTTAAATTATCGATTCATATTTTATAATACCTCCCCCTCCCATTCCCCACATAGAGTATACATATGTACTATATCTACTATATCTACTATATGTACTATATGCACTATATGTGCCATGCGATACTCCACAATTTCCGGTTGGTTCTTGGGGCATTTAATGCAATATTCATGGTACCCACTCAACTGTCATGTTATTTCTATTTTAAAACGCTATTACCGGGCATTTTAAATGTTGTTTCTATCAAGGTTTCGCGGTCATGTTGTTGCCTTTGCGGATTATTCAACCTGCCTGTTTTGCCATTCAAATAACGACAACCGACAACCACTTTCGCTAATTTTTCTAAACTAAAAAGTACAATTGTTTGTAGTAACTATTTGCAAAAGAACTGAAACTAATGATTTCAAATTCAAATTCTGCACAAGTTTAAATTGCTTCTCGGGTCAAACTTTAAATCGCAAACTGTGAAACTCTATGTGCTTTAAGATTAGTGTCCTTAAATTCCTCCCAGTTGCCAAAACACTTCACTGAAACACACTAGGAGACTTAAAGATACAAATGCAAGATACAGATACAAGATACAGATACGGAGAATCAGAGAAGAGCGAAACGAAACGAAACGGATAGCGGAGAAGGTTCTCCAGTTGAGAGAAAGAGAGAGATTCTCCAGTGAAAAGTCGAGACAAGTAGACAAGAAGACGGAGGTGTAGGAATGCAATGTGGTATACCTCATCGGCCGCCCGCCTCGCATCGCCGTCAGCAGCAGCAGCAGCTGCAGCAGCAGCAGCAACAGAAACCGCAGCAGCAACACTTGCGGTTGCACATGCCGTCGATTGAGTTGTTGCTGCTGCTGTTGCAACAGCTGTTGTTGCTGCTGCTACTGCTGCTGCTGCTGTTGCTGCTGTTGCTGTTGCAGGCGACACGCCCAGCGAGGAGAGCGTTGTGTGGGCGGTGGAGGCGCTGCCGTTCGACAGCAGCGATCCGCGCGAGGAAAGGTGAGCGGGTGGCGGATATCTCGGCGGAGTCTTCACCATCTCGATGAAGCTGTCCGGCACGTCGACGGGCAACTCGCGATGCTTGGCCATCGGCGGCAGCAACACCGAAACGGGAGCAACCAACTGATGTTGCTGCTGCTGCTGCTGATGATGATGTTGCTGCTGCTGCTGATGTTGCTGTTGCTGCTGTTGGCTCACCTCGTAACCGGGCGGCGCCAGGCTCAAATCATCGGGCACCGTTGAGCTGCTGGTCGATGTTGCACTTGCAATGTTGCTGCTGCTGTGCCCGCTGCTGCTGCTGCTCGTGTGCATCGAGCTGTTGCTGCTGTTCAGCGAGTTGCTGTTGCTGCTGCTCGTCACTCCAGTCACTTGGTTTACTTTACTTGTCTCTGTCAAAATATTGTTGTTGTTGTTGTTGTGGGTTGTATTGCTGTTGCTGCTGCTGTTGCCGTTGCTCGTCGCCTGGTGTTGCTGCTGCTGCTGGTGCTGATGCTGCTGGTGTTGCAGGTGACGATAGGCTATGCTGCCGAAGGAGTCCAAGGTGTGCTTGCTCATCACCTCATCGAAGGCGCTCGATGAGGGCGAGGCGGAGTCCTTGCGTTGATATAAACCGTCGACAACGCACAGGAATTCATCGGTGATGCTGCTGTTGTTGCTGCTATTGCTGTTGCTGTTGTTGCTGCTGCTGCCGACGGTGTTGCTGTTGCCATTGGGATCGCTGCTTAGCGTCGCCTGCAACTTGTGGCTGGGCGTTTGCTGTTGGGCGATTTGTGTTGCTGCTGTTGCTGTTGCTGCTGCTGCTGTTGCTATTGCTGCTGTGGTTGCAACCTGCAATTGTTGTTGCTTCTGCTGCTCGAGTTGTTCAAGTTGTTCGTGTTGTTGCGATTCCAGGCAGTTTTCATAGTTTTCGAGTTGTTCCAATTTGTTTTGTTGTTTTTGATTGTACAGATTTTGTGTTGCCACATCGAGTGCAATTGTTGTTGTTGTTGTTGATGTTTTTTGTGGGTGATATTGTTGTTGTTGTTGTAGTTGTACATGATGTGATGGTTGTTGTTGTTGTAGTTGTTCATGTTGATGTGAAGAATGATATGCAACAATTAACATTTTGTTAGCATGATCATTGTTAGTCATAGCTGTGATTGTGGTGGTGGTGGTTGTTGTGGTTGTGGTTGTAATGGTGTGGTTGGTGGTGCATTTCTTGTGTTTCTGTGTGCGTGTGGGTTAAGTGGTGTTGGTAGTGGTGGTGCATGTGGTGTGATGGAAAGAGAATGGATGTATGTGTGAATGATTTTGATTGTGGATTGGAGCGACTGGTTGTCTTTTTTTGGTTAGTTGTTTTGTTAATTTACGGTGGTTGTTGTTAGCGGTTGTTGGTTCAAAATACATTTTCGGTGGTATTGGTGGCTGGTTTTTCAAAAAGCCTTATTCAATTTTAGGTAGTGGAAATCGGTTTAAGTTAGTTGGGTGGTTGTTGCTTTCAATTTGGTTGTTACTCTTGTTTTAAGCTTAGTTCTACCCAAAGTGGTTGTTGTTCGGAATTCAAAGGTTTCGTTTGTTTTTTTTGGATAAATGGAACACCTTTTTTGGCTATAGTTATTTGCTTTAAATTTAAAGGGGTCATTGCTTTTGGTAAGACTAATTGTTTGCGGTTGTTATTGGGCTTTCGGGACACTCAAAGCTCGATTGTTAATGGCCTAATTGTTTGCGGTTGTTGTTCGGGGAGCCTATGGGTTCTCTACAATCTAAGTGAATTAGTTTAATTGGAAGTTGTGGACTTTTGTTAGTGATTGTTGTGAAACTACTGCCGGGATGGATGCAAAGTTATATTGTTGGCTTATGGTTTCTGTTCGCTGGGAGTTTGTGTGGCTGTTGTGGTTGGTTGGTGTTGGTGTACAGGTGGGTGGCTCTTGTACGGATTACGGATTACAGATTACGGATTACGGACTACGGATTACTGTTGAAACTCACCTGCGGTGGACGGGGTGGCGGATATCTGGGCGGCGTCTTGTTGCGTGCGATGAACGTGTCCGGACAATCGACGGCCATCTCACGGTGTGGACCTGAATCGAATCGAAATGCAACGAATCGAAGCGGAAAAGTCAGTTAAATGGTGGGAAAATGCGTTGGATCCGGACACTTACCGTTATCTTGGTTCATGGACAGCATGGTCAGCATTTCCTGGTCAATCTCCCTGATTTCGCCGGAGTGCGTGCGATAGTGTTGCTGCTGCTGCTGCTGTTGCTGCTGCTGTTGCAGTTGCTGCTGCAGTTGCAACTGCTGCTGGTGCTGGTGGTTCAGGTGGTGCTGGCCGCTTATGTAGTCATCCGGCAGACATGGCTTCAAGTCGTCGCCGTCCAGCACAACAATGCTCGATCCGGAGCGCCGGCGATTCCTGATTGACAACGAAAAAGAACAATAGGGGGTTTCTGTGAGTTGAGGTTTGAGTGCATATTATTCGTTGATAGTAAAAAAGGAAATTCCTCGTTAATTGTTAGAAAAGAAGCAGCAATGCTTGTGCATAAAGTATCCTAAATTCCTCAAGTGCAATATTTAAGCAGCTGCTCCTTTTTGGACTGCAAATTGCCAGCTTCTGTCGATGGCCTTTAATTTTTGGCCAGGTGGAGGACGCAGTTTGGCAGCCACTGGACGGATAATCGGATGGGCGGACAGACAGGCTCCTTTATTATTTCAAAAGTTATGTACACACACAAAGGGGAACCTCGGGTGGCATTGGGTGGCAACTCGAACTCGAAACCCGAAAACTTTGATATAACTTTGCACTTTTGCGTGGGGCTCTTTCATTATGCAAGGCGGCAGGCAGGGGAATGACTGGTTTGAAGGCAATTTGCGCCTTAATTTGTTCGCCTTTCGGATTATGGGCTTAGGCGACTGCCACTGGAGGTGATGGCTGCCTACCTAGTTGGTTGGTTGGTTGGTTTGTTGGCTGCCTTTTTGCCGGTGGGCCAGGCCAAGTCGGCTGGCTAATTGCAAAAAGCTCAAAGTGGATTTTATGCCGGACCAGCCCAGAAGTATGCAAGTGCTCCCTTGGCCGCCGCCTCCCATTTCCCATTTCCCCAATTCCCAATTCCCGCCCCCAATCGCTTTATCGCCCATCTACAGGCGCTGATGCGACAAAAGCAATTTCAGCCGCAGCCTGGCAACGACATCGGAGTGCAGTTGCATCCTCATCCTCATCCTCATCCTCATCCTCATCCTCATCCTCATCCCCATCTCCACTATTCATATCCATCCAAGCCGATCCTTGGTCCTTTGGCTCCTGGCAAACGGAAGCTGCAGTACGTGACCCATCCACAGTGCGAAGTACAGAGTAAAAATGTCACTAAGGGGATTTTCGGATTGAAAAGTACACATAACTGACTATCTATAGTTGGAGCTAAAAGATAGTTTATAAACACAAGACCAGAACTGTAAGGTAAATGAGCCTTACAATCATTTGAAAAGTAAGAAAACTATATTAACAACCTCAAAATTATAATACTTTTAAAAGGAAATGTTTCGTTCTGCCTCTCTTTTGTTGGGATAAAAAACTTACTTTGATAGAATGGCGCAACATCAGGGTATAATTAATACTTCTTCTCTTTTTCTTTTCGATCTCAACTTCCTGCTCGTTTCGCACTCATTTTTCTAGCGGAATTCAGTTCTGATCCCAAGAGATGCGCTGCCATACAATCATACAATGCCAATGGCCGTGTTGCAAGGCATTAAAAACCGATTTCTGGGGAATGCAGCGACGACAAGATGGCCAAGATGGCTCCCCCTTACGCCCAAGAAAAGGGGGGATAAGATGGAGATGGAGATGGAGATGGAGAAGGCGATGGAGAATGGGGATTGAGAATAGGGAATGGAGAATAGGGAGTGGGGAATGGGGAGTGGGGGAATGTGAATTCAACACGAGACAACGGGCGAGACAATTCAATTTGCGTAACAGCAGACGACCAGCAAATGGGTGAAGAGATGGAGCCAGATGGAGCATCACAAAAGGGGGCTAAAAGGGGGAGGGGAAACAAAGGGGGGATTGGGGGGCCGGAGGTGGATTGGAGTCAAGTTAACGGGCAGTGCAAATGAGTCGAACGGACGAGCTGAAAAGACTGATGGACTGATGGAGGGGAAAGCGGTGGGAAAGCGGAGGAAAGGCGCGGAAAAAAGCGCACCATAAACGAATTAAAATGCCTTTGGCTCTGACATCAAGAACAGAACAGACCAAGGCCAAACGCAGAGGCAAAAGAGCGGGCGATATTAGCAACAACCATTGCTGTTGCAACTGCAACACCAGCAGCAACACCAGTAGTTGTAGTAGTAGTAGTGAGTGGAGTGGAGTGGAGTGGCAGCAACAGAAAACGGAGGGAACTGCAACAGCTGGTCGGTCGGTCGGTCAGTTGGCCCACTCTGCGTCCCATGGTTTCATGGCCCCACATCAATCTGTCGACCTCTTTTCAGATTTTCCCCCCTAAGTTTCCCTGTCTCCCGCAGATGTTCGATTAGCAAGGCAAAAGAGAAAAACAGGGCGGCGGACTTTTCCACCTTCTGCAGCTATTTCGTGTTTTAATCAGACGTTTCTTTCAAAGCTTTTTCTGGAAAGCAAACCTGCATTGAGTCGAGCAAAAAAGGTAAGTAATTATATAAGTCAAAATCACGGAGTGGGAGATTATTATAGGAAAAAATTGATTGACTTTATAGAAGAAACGATTTGGTTGGAAGTTTATTTAATCATCTTTCATTCCGTTCTAATCTAGTTACCTTTAAAGTAGGAATCAATTCAATTACAAGGAATATATGAATGTAGATATCATAACAGCGATTCCGAGTGGCATATCAATCGGCTTGCTGTCAGCCGCATCCTTGTTTTGCCAGCAATTAGCACTCGACTCGCATAGCCGACAGCTATCTGTCGTGCATCTGATTGTCAACCTGACGTGCTCCATCTAATGACCGCATCGGTGTTCCCAATCCCAATCCCACTCCCAATCCCCATCCAGTCCCAATTCCCAATGCCATTCTGCCATTCTGCATAGGTATCTGTGTAACCATGAATCGGTATCTCTTTCTGTATCCGTATCTGTGCATCTGTATCTGTGTATCTGTGTCATAACAAGCAGAACAATGTGAGATGGCCGCAAATATCGCCCATTCCCCTCTGGTGGGATCATCAATAACCCAAGGGGGCAACGAAATGGGGGATACGAGCAAAGGGGGAGGGGGTTTTGGATGGTTCTGGGTGCTGGGTTGGTGGGTGGTGGGTGGTGGTTGCTGGCGATGAATGGAACTGACGGGCTGTCAAAGTGGGCAATGCAAGTCCGCAACGATTCATGCATCGATGACAAAACGCAATGGCATTTTGCGGCCCAGCCATGTTTTTATTTGTCAATCACAAAAATATTCCAAACATTCAACGAACGACACACATAATCCGCAGTCCTACGTCGTATTATTTATTTTCTATGTCTAAAATGCCCAATAAATATGTACACAAATATTTATGGAAATTAAATGTTTTTCAGAGGGCAGCTTAATTCTGTTTTCTTTTTTTTTTTTTGTGGCATGCTCTTCTAATCTACAATGTTTGTTATTATTCTTATTCATCGTTTGTTTTTCCTCATTTTGCATTGATTAATCATTCATTGTTTAATTTTGCAGCATTTAAACTACAATTTATAGTTTTGCTCGTAGAAATAAATTGATTTTGGCATAAATGTATACGAATATCTACATCAATAGTGCCCCTAAACAAACATTTAATTTGCATATCATTAACTTTAAAATGCTTGTTGAAAATGTATTTGAATGAATAGGAAAATTCTTTAAAATGTATTTAAATGAACAGGGAAATTTAAAAGTTTGTATTTATTTTGAAACAAATAAAGGAAAAGAATCTTTGTTGTTAAGCAATAAATAAAACCACTCATCTTAATTGCCAACTTCCTTTGCCTAAAGATTTAAATACCCTTTTTTTCTGCCAGTGCATTTCGCTGCAGGTTAAGGATGGCAATTAGCCAGGATGGAAGGCGGTCGGAAAAGGGGGCGGGGCGGGGCGGGGCGGCGTGGCAGCGATGAAAGGAGACAGATAAACGCAAACAACACATGGGGAAACCATTAAATGTATTTTGCATTTCCAGCTGTCCATCTGTGTGTCTCTCTGTCTCTGTGTGCGTAATCTGCCATCTGTGTGTGTGTGTGTTGTCATTTCAGTGGTGTGAGGGTAGCTGGTAGCAACTGACCAGAAGAGCGACACACATTGCTGCTGTTGCTGTTGCTCTTGTTGCCGCTGCTGCACGACAGCAACATGCGACATGTTAATTGTTTACGGCCAGCAAGCGAGCACGAGACAAAGTTGCACAGGGGTCAAATCCACAATTGTGGACACTCAAATAGCACTCAAAATTTATTATATCATATATGTATATATGATATATGACAGAGAGTGCTCAGGAATATTCCTTGATAGAAAGCATACGTAGTAATTTATGATTTCAATAAGTGAATTTTACATTTGTGTATTGTATATATAGATATATACAAGTATATAATGTGATTGATTAATATATGATTGTATATATAGTATATCGTACTTAATCTACTTTAGGTTTTGAACCACTTCGGACCTATTTGATGCTACCTTTTTAGACCGCAAATGCAATGGCAACAGGAGGCGGGGGAACACCCCCTTCAATCTCGATAAAGCCAACGATTTCGGGAGGGTTCATGCTCGAGGGAGTGCAACAAGTGGCTAAAAACAGGTGCAGTTCGAGAACGAAATTATATAGGGGATCGAGAATCGGAATCGGAATGGGAATCGGTAAACGGGAATGGGGAATCCAGAGCGGTCAACTGCAGAAGGGGCGGAACCGGAAGAGGCTTATTTGCAGCGGAAGTGGAAGTGGAAGTGGCAGCCATGATGAGTCACTCGGTTGCCTCGAACACACCGCAATCTGATTTTCTATTCCAGCAGGTAGAGCCATTAGAACCACTAGAACTCCACCTCCTCGATTCGAACAAGAGTTTGTGGGTGTGACTCTGGTCAGTTGCAGAGAGCCCAATATATTAATTCGCATCTGGGGACTCAGAACTCCAAACTGGAAACTCAGGCCGAGGGATCGTAATGGATTGCGGTTGGAGGAGCGCTGCAGGAAAAGTGTTGGGTAAGCAGAAGCAGAAGCGAGAAGCGAGAAGCGAGAGGAAAACCAAGAGCAAAGGGGCTTAAAGGCGGGAAACTGTTCATCTGAAGCCGAATCCGAATCCGAATCCGGCATTCCATTTGCATTATTCATTGCCAAGGCAGCCACATGGGGACTGCAAGTGGTGGAAATGCAAGTGGAAATGGAAGTGGCAATAGCAATTGGAGCTGGTTTAATTGCCGAGCAAACCGAAAGCCAA